ACGAATTCTTGAAAGAGAACCTGGAGACAGGGAGGATTAGAGTATCTAAATCCCCTTACGCATCCCTGTTCTTCTTTATCAAGAAAAAAGACGGATCTCTCAGACCGGTACAAGACTATCGGAAACTTAATGCCCTCACGATTAAAAACCGATATACGTTACCCCTCATTTCAGAATTGATAAACCGACTCAAAGGAGCTAGATTCTTCACCAAGCTAGATGTCCGTTGGGGATATAATAACGTTCAAATCAAAGAAGGAGATAAGCACAAGGCCGCCTTCAAAACTAACAGAGGACTGTTCAAACCTCTGGTTATGTTTTTCGGACTTACAAACTCCCCAGCCACCTTTCAAACAATGATGGACCGACTTCTCCGAGACCTAATCAACGAAGGATCCTGATATTCACCGACTCGTTAGAAGAACATAGGAAGATTGTATCCAAAGCTCTTCAGATACTTGCAGACAATCAGTTATATCTCAAGCCAGAGAAATGCGAGTTCGAGAAGAAAGAGGTTGAATATCTAGGAATGATCATCTCCCATGATACGATTTGCATGGACCCGCTAAAGGTACAAGCGGTCGCAGAATGGCCGATACCACGAACCAAGAAGGAGTTACAGTTGTCCCTAGGATTCTCGAACTTTTACAGACGATTCATTAGGGACTATGGAAAAATTGCCAAACCGCTGACAATTTTCACCGGAAAGGTAGACTGGGAATGGGCTGAAGACCAACAACAAGCGTTTGACGTTCTCAAAAAAACAATCACCACCTCGCCCACACTTGCAATCCCTAACGATGAAGATCCATTCAAAGTTGAATGTGATGCCTCCAACTATGCCACAGGAGCGGTGTTATCCCAGCAGCAAGAAGGGAAATGGAGACCGGTTGCATTCCTGTCAAAGTCGATGAACCCTGCAGAGAGAAATTATGCTATCTGGGATAAAGAGATGCTAGCGGTAATGCACGCGTTAGAAGAATGGCGACACCTTCTCATGGGAGCTAAACACCAGTTCACCATATTCACCGACCATCAGAACCTCACCTACTTCTGAGACCCCCAGAAGGTAAACAGACAACAGGAGGAGATGTCCGGAATTTGTGTTATCGTAACACTACCCCCCCTCTAAGGCTCGACTTCCAGGCTCGACCAGATACCGGAGGTAGTAGTAAAATTTTCGGGCATCGGTTGGAAAAGAGAATTAAAAAGTTTCGAATCCATGCCTCTAAGCTTCCTGGGAGCTGCGGGATTCTTGGAATAAAATTCGCAAACAGTGTCGCGGGAGTTTTCCAGATGGGTTTCTGGTTCCCACGTTCTGTCCTCGTCTCCATAGCCCTTCCATAGGACCAGGAACTCTAATTTTCCACGCTTCAAGCGTGCATCTACCACTTGTTCGACTTCAAATTCTTCTTCACCTTCCTGGGTGACTACTACCGGTCCGGGCCAGTCTACACGTTGTCCCGGCAACGGTCCCTTGTAGGGTTTTACACGGCTGATGTTAACTGTGGGTACCACCCTCATTCTTTTTGGGAGTTCCAGCTCTACCGCATTAGGTTTGACTTCCTTAATCCGGTAAGGGCCAATCCACTTTTCGGTCAGTTTTCTAGACTGCCGATCTTTTAATTTTAAGTGGTCGGTGTCTAACCAGACCAGGTTGCCGACTTTGTAATCAGGGGCTTTAGAGCGTCTACGCTCTGCCCTGTCTTTCATCTGCTCTGCAGTTCTAAATAGCGCCTTGCACGTTTTGTCCAAGACAGACTTCATGTCTTTCGCCATGTTCTCAGCAGCCTCGTTCTTGCTTTTGCCAGGTTCTACACCCATTCTAGGAAGGTACGATCTAGTAACCTCAAATGGTGCCTTGCCTGTAGCCGACGACTGTTTGATATTGTAAGAGAACTGGGCTATCTTCAGCCACTTAGCCCAATCTGTCTGTCTGTCATTAATAAATATACGGAGATACTGTTTCAACTCCTGGTTGATTCTCTCCGTTTGTCCATCGGTTTGCGGATGGAACGCCGTGGACAGTTTAGGTTTGATGCCCAGCATCCGGCATAATTCTTTCGTAAATTCGCTAGCAAATTGCGGTCCTCTATTGGAGATCATCGTCTCTGGTAACCCATGGATGGACCATACAAAATCTTTAAATAGGTCTGCCGTACCGGCGGCGGCGATGGTTTTATTGGTGGGTATGAATACCACTTCTTTGGAGAAGCGGTCTACTACCACCATTACTGAATTGTACCCGTTTGACTCGGGCAGATCCATTGTGAAGTCCACCGATATATCCTGCCAGGGACCAGCTGGTATCGGGTTTGGCATGAGTTTACCGGCCGGCGGTTGGTGAGAATTCTTGGCCATGGCGCATCTCAGACAGGATTTTACCTATTCCTGTACGTCTTTGACCATGCCAGGCCACATGTAGTTTCTGGAGATCAACTCCATCGTTCGTTGCCATCCAGGGTGCCCAGCCACTGGAGTGTCGTGATGTCTATCTATTGCCTTGATCCTTGCGGACTCAGGCACATAGATTTTGTCTTTAAAATGAAAGAGCCCGTCTTTCCATAAATAATTTTCATTGCCGTCAAGGCGTGCCTTTTCCTCTGGGGAGATGTCTTTCCTGAAGACTTCCAGAAGATCGGAATCTTGCCCAATTCTAACATTGGCAACCCTTGATTGATCTATCAGGGTGACACCTTTGTTGTCATCTTCAATGCCGTTGGCATGATCCTCTCTTCTGGATAAAGTGTCCGCTTTCCCCATTGAGCTTCCAGGCTTATGAATTAATTTATAATTAAACCTTGACAAGTACACCGCGTAGCGGGCCTGTCTTTGGTTCAGATCTCGGGCCGTCATGAAGTACTGTAGGTTCTTATGATCGGTCCAAATTTCGAATTGGTGTCTAGCACCTTCTAGGTAGTGCCGCCAGTGCTCTAAAGCTCTAATGATGGCCAGCATCTCCTTGTCGTAAATTTGATAGTTGCGCTCTGTAGGCGACAAACTATGCGATAAATAGGCACAAGGCCTCCAAAGATTGTCAGGGCATTTGATTGATAAAACAGCCCCAGTGGCGAAGTCAGAAGAGTCGGTTTCTAACCGGAACTCTTTGTCTAACTCGGGAAATGCCAATATGGGCGCTGTTGTAAATGCCTGTTTAAGCTTATCAAAAGCTTCTTGTTCTTTGGCGCCCCAATGCCAAACAATGTCCTTTTTTGTGAGATCGTTCAACGGTCTCGTGATTTTTGCGAAGTCTTCAATAAACCTTTGGTAGAAATTGCCTAAGCCAAGGAAGGCCCTAACTCCTTTGACGCGAGTAGGTTCTGGCCATTCCAAAATAGCTTGAACTTTCTCAGGGTTCATCCTGATTTTGTTCTGGCCTATGATCATACCGAGGAAGTCTACTTCCTTCACTTTAAAGTTACATTTTTCGGGTTTGACGAATAGGTCCCATTCCTGTAAGCGTCGAAGGACTTCTTGCACGATCTTGTCATACTCAGCCTCATCGTCCGACTTCGTAAATATTAAAAAATTGTCAATGTAAATGACGACACAGTTTTCCATATCCGCAAAGATCTCGTTCATCATGCTCTGGAAGGTTGCCGGTGAATTAGTCAACCCAAAGAACATAACAAGGGGTTCAAAAGATCCTCGGTGGCACGTGAACGCGGCCTTCCAAGCATCTTCCTCTTTGATTCGTACATTGTTGTACCCCCATCTGAAATCCATCTTTGTCAGGATCTTGGCGCCAGCCAATTTGTCCACTAGCTGACTAATCAAAGGCAGCGGATACGCATTTTTAACCGTGTGCTCATTCACGTAACGATAGTCCATAATCATTTGCTTCTTACCATCCTTTTTAGGAATGAAGAACACCGGGGACGTCATAGGACTTTTGGAAGGTCTGATGTAACCCTTCCTAAGTTGTTCGTCTATGAAACTAGATACCTCATCTCTCTCTGGGGCAGAGAGCGGTATCATGTGTCCTTTTCTTGGTTTAAAGGTGTCCTTCAAATCTATAGCATGGTCCCAAGGCTTAGCCTCTGGGAAGCGCTCTGATTTGTGTTTCGAAAAGACTTTCCAGAAGTTGTGGTACTCGGGAGGCACCAGCCTCTTAATCTCTTCCTCAGGCTTCACCTCATCATCGTCATCATCGATCTTTTCCAAAGATCTGAGCTCGTAAACGTGACTAGCGTTTAACTTCTCGAGACGCTCATCGTGACGGACGTGATTAGGTTTACCCAAGTTTACACATTTCTGGGGACAACGTGACAATGTGACAACCCCTGTCTGCCAGTTGATTTCCGGATTGTGTTTAAATAGCCAGGTCCAGCCTAAGATTAAATTAATCTTCCCTAGTTGGGTAGCTTCGGCAGTGACTCGTTCTCTGTGCCCTTGGTATTCGACCACAAAAGAACATTTGTGTGTAATACAGCCACCTGCGTTAAGCGTACCGTTAATGTTATAGACAGGAATAGACGCTTCTAATTTTACAAGGGGGAGTCCAATTTGCTTCGCCCAGACCTGATCTATGAAGATTCCGTTAGCGCCTGAATCAAGCAGTGCGCTCGTTGAGTGTACTTTGCCCCTGGCAAGGTTTTCCACGCCAACGTCTAAACGGATCTCCTTTTGGAATAAATATGTGCGCATCAACACACGCCTTGGGATTTCGGGAAAGGGTGGCTCCAAAGAAGAAGAAGAAGAAGGGGAAATCTCGAATGATACATGTTTTTCTATTTTTGTTTTACCAGAATCAAGCACCCTAGTGTTTGTCTCGCCGGGGCCACGCTCCAAGGGAGACGCTGGTGCAGCGGTAGTATCATAAATATTACAGTTACATTTCTTCATACAAGTACATACTTCTGATAACAAATTTAGGAATTTATTTACAAACTGGGGAGCCATCCCCGTCATTCCGTTATTGCTTGTGCAACACCCCGGAGCAGGGGCCACCTTGTTGTGGTTTACTTCATTTTGAGGGGGAGCTAAGGTACCCAAGTGACCTAAGCTCCAAATGCTTTTCCCTGGGCCTTCATTTCATTGACCTGCTGGTCGTAGAAGAAAGCCCGGATTTCGTTGTAAGAACGACCGGCTAATGAGTTAAGCCGATCGTCCGGCTTTTCTGATTCTAGTTGGCGCGCCTGGCGCCCTTGGTTATTTTTTTGTTGAGCGGCCTGCGCTCCATTTGGACACTTTCGGGCTATGTGCCCCTCCTGCCCACAGTTGTAGCAGGTAAATCTGCGGGTCTGTCTGCCCTGGACCGCGCCGATATCCATAGGGGCACCCCGACCTGGTTGCAGCCCAAACGGCTGGAACCCGTGAGAGTGATTTTGATGTTGGTTTGATGACCCAGGGCGCCTCTGGGATGTGTTGTTTTGTTTGGTGGACCCGCCACCTTGGTGCATGGTGTAGAGCTCTATGGCTCTACCGACTCGTCGTACTTCCTCAGCCGCCAGGGCCAAGTTGTCGCTTCGTGTATCTTGCAGATAGATCTGCTCTGCAATGCGAGGGTTCACATTGCGTTCTAGCAGTTCTACTGCATGTTCATTGCCAAGACCCCCTTGGATTGAGAGGGCCAGGAACCGGGTTACAAAATCATCCGTCCTCATGTTTCCTTGTTTGAAGGAACGGATTTGCTGACGCGCCCAGTCACGCTCAGCTTGCGGTTTGAAATATTTTTCGATCTCTATTTTGAGATCGTCCCAGGTGGGCCACACTCCCGCAGTGTAGCACTCCTGTAATTGTACTTGGGCCTATTGACCCGCCACAGGTCCTTTTAGGCGGGATAGCACCGCAGTGGCTACCTCAAAATCGTCGGCAAACACGTCCCAGTTCACCTTGACCCAAATCTGGAGTTTGATCCACCATTCGGCAAATTGCGCTCTATCTCCTTTGAAGGCGCCAGGGTCAGCGACGACTTCGACTTTCTTGTTAAACTTTTTCTCTACCGAGGGGGTTGCTACAGGGGGATTGGCCTGTATCTCGGCGAGCTGCGAGGTTAATGCAGCTATCTGCGTACGCATTGCGTGCAGTAGTGCATTCATGTCTTGGGGTTGCAATGACATGTTGACTTGTTCTCTTTGGGTAACGTAAAAATAGGTAACTGGGGGTCCCCGCTTGCTATCTGCGGATCAACCTCTTCCCAGCTGAGTATCGGATCTCAATCTCCGACTACCCACACTATAGTATTTGAAAATGTATATAAAAATGTATTTGTAATAAACCCTGGTCCGAACGGTTGTCAGGGGGTGGTCCGCTTGTTAAGCTGTCAACCCTTCTCCAGACTGGCGGAGGCAAGTGCCAGGCCTGGTCAGAGGTATTTGAAAGTGAAGTTTGGTATTCTAAATCTAATCAACAGTGGTTCCACACCGACTGCTGAGCTATAGTACTCCCCTTAACGCTGGGGGCCGCGTATTGAAGGTTTGGGTTCTTCTCCCTGAGCACTACAAGGCCGTCGCTAGGAGCGCACCTATCTGCTATTTGGGATATTCCTAACCCTAGCCAATCTCCTTCACCCTGGAGTCCGGGTGCCCAATGGGACTTTTTGCACTAATGTGCGAGAGAGTAATAAGAGCGAGTCCTAATGTAACAACCAAGAGTGATCTACTCTGGCGCACACAGAACACACTCAAGTGAAGATGAAGTTTGGGGAGTGGTTACCCCTTGAGCTGCAGTGAGTTAGTTGGTATACAACAGGAGGACTCGCTGAGGAGTCTCCTGGATCTATTGGGGTATATATACTACTACAGGTTGTTTGTACATGTGTACTATACAGTTGATGAAGGCAGTGGCTTGATAATGTCATAGGGCCTAGCCCGTATGGCCAGCTCCACTGCGTGAGAGAGTTAAGTCTAAAAATAAAAAGGAAGGCAACGCGGCGCGAGAAAGGGAAATGTCGTGTGGCACTTAAGGTATAAAGTTAAAGTGGAGAATAAAAGGAAAAGGAGATGTCCGGAATTTGTGTTATCGTAACATCATCACTTTTGAAAGTGATTGTCATCCCCTTTGATTAGAGTCCTTCTGAGCACTACAGTTTGTGCGTCAGGAGCCTGCTATCACTGGGAACCTCGTCACCTTGTCATCCTCGTTGTTCTCAAACCTACCTTGTGCTACAATTAGCAAGGTAGTGCTCGTCTATACTCGCTGTCATGCACCAAAATTGATTGGTAGCATGGACAGGTGTCAATAACAAAGCAAATATTCAAAAAGACTCGCCTTTGCGCCACACAGGCACAGTGCCACTTGGAATAGTAATTAATATTGCCTGTTTTGAACTTGTGGCTGATCAGCACCACCTCTATTAGGCAATCCAGTCACGCTCACCTTTGCTTTTCCATCCTGTACTTTCCGTGTTTCAGCATTTTGGCAAATTTTTGCGTCGCCACTGGCTACACATTGCATTGCGCCCTCGCTTTTGTCATTTCCCTTACTCCCCTTCCTTTGCCTAGCCCCACCATGGGCCCCTTCCTCTCCTTTTTATTCTCACCCGACGGTTGTTTCTGGATCCCCATTCTAATCCACTTTTTCGTCACCTCCACCCTCCTCCTCCTCATATTATTTGCACCCCCACCATTTCTGATGTCACCACTTCCTATCCGCTTCCGTCGCCAATCTGTTGACTACCACGTGCCACTGCTAATATCAGCAAAGCCCTGGTGGCCGGTCCAAATAGGGCAACAGGTCCATCTTCATGACGTCGATCTGCCATCACATACTATCAAAACATCGGTCACTCGTCTTGCCTGGTTGGAGCGTGGGTGGGTAGTTTTTGAGCTGGAGAAGGTTCATCCCCTTGCGTTGCCCATGTTCATCGCTGTCCCATTCATTTGGGTACACTTATCTTTTGTCCATCGTCTTCGCTACAGCTACACCTACCACACGCTGCCTGGGACTCACTTGTTCCAAATTGGAACTACTCCTCTCCCTCCCTCGTTTGATCAGGTGGTCCAACACAACCAGTCCATTGGTAAGGCCATGGAACTGTCGGATTTGGACTAGGTGGTGGACCGGTGGCTCCAGTTTCTTTTTTTTCAGCAGAACATTCATTTACAGTGCAATTATTTTTGATTTTTGAATCATTTTTATGGACACATATTTTTTTAGAATGCCTGACTGACAATAAAGGAACTGTGTTGATACTGATAGTGTTTTTCCTTGCCCTTTTTTTACTGCATCTTCCCATGACATCATGATTTTCTTGCTCTCTTTTTGCTATTGGACTTTATTTTATGGCTGTACAAACCTGTGACATTACTCACAGCATTCATTGTTCTATCCCTTTCTTTCCCTTATTTTGATGATCTTATCCTGTAGCAACTACGCAGGATTCATCAGCGTACATTCCTTCCTTCATGTTCTTTCTCATTTTTTTTGCGCAGCTATACTGTGCATAGCCTGCCTTTCTTTTCACTATATAAACCCCTGTATTTTACCTTGTAAAAACAACAAAGAACTCGATTCCAGACTTCTTCTCTAAATCTCAAGTTCACTACTCTGCTACTTGTGATCCAGTGTGGTCACAATACTTCCCACTGTTACCACTGCTATCTGCTGTCATCGTCACTCGTCATTTTTAAAAGTCACTGTCATCCCTTTCAATTAGAGTCCTTCTGAGCACTACAGTTTGTGCATCAGGAGCCTGCTATCACTGGGAACCTCATCACCTCGTCATCTTTGTCATTCTCAAACCTACCTTGTGCTACGATTAGCAAGGTAGTGCTTGTTTATACTCGTCACAAAGCCCCTATCCTTCTATAAATTCAACTATCCCTCCTCCTCAAAACCCACACCCATACCTCTCTGGGTTTTACTTTGAAGGACCTTCATACATACCACCCCACGAACAACCAGAGCACCCACTGTTCTAGGAGACAAAGCCCATAAACAAGTTCCGTGGAATCTGGGAGGATTGTTTGTTAGTTTGTTTTTGTGTGTGGTTTTCTAACAACAGTTCTCATCATCGACATCGCCACAAACCCTCTATCTTTCTATAAATTCAACTATCCCCCCTCCTCAAAACCCACACTCATACACCTCTGGGTTTTACTTTGAAGGATCCTCATACATACCACCCCACAAACAACCAGAGCACCCACTGTTTTAGGAGGCAAAGCCCATACACAAGTTGCATGGAACCTGGGAGGATTGTGTGTTAGTTTGTTTTTGTGTGTGGTTTTCTAACAACAGTTCTCATCATCGACAATGTCAGCTCAGAGACAACGTAATATGACTCCATGGAATTCCTGAAAAGATCATCTCTGATCGAGGTCCTCAATTTATGTCACGGTTTACAAGAGACTTTTATGATTTGATGGGGATAACACCGGGCCTTTCTACAGGTTATCTCCCTCAAACAGATGGACAGTCTGAATGGATCAACCAGGATCTTGAGCACTACCTCCATGTTTTTGTAAATCATAGACAAGACAATTGGGCAGATTGGCTTTCCATCGCCGAATGCACGTACAACAATCATCTCCACACTGTAACAAATCAGACACCTTTTTTTTTAAACTATGGACTACACCCACAAACAAATACCACCATTGTATTGTCCCCTTGATCCGCATTGGCGGCCGAGTTTGGTGAACAAATGAAACGACTCCATGAACTCATGAAATCTTCCCTTCTTTTAGCAAACAACAATCTTAGACAATACTACGACCGTAAGAGATCCCCACCCCGAGAATATCAAACTGGCGATAAGGTCTGGTTAGAAGGACACAACATCACGACAGATAGACCAATGAAGAAATTGGACAACAAACACTTTGGACCTTTTAAAATCACCCAAAAGGTTGGACCTTCAGCCTACCAACTCAACATCCTGAAAAACTGGAAGTCCATTCATCCAGTATTCAATGAAGCCATTCCATTGCCATATCACACTCCCAAATTCCCTAACCAACTAATTTTTTCACAACCACTGCCCCAAATTGTTGAAGGAGTGGACAAATACGAAGTAGAAAGTATAATTGCATCTAGACCGACCAAACTGAAAGGCACTAAACTTGACTACTTGGCTCACTGGCATGGTTATCCGGTCTCAGAACGTACTTGGGAACCCAACACCAATCTTACACACGTCTCTGACTTGCTCGCCACATTCCACAAAACGCATCCTGCCGCCCCTTGTATCATCACCGCTTCCCTTCACTTCCGCCCTTACAGAAATTACACCGCAACTTCTAAATCTCCGGTGCTTTTTGATTGGATTACCAACAAGTTTCAGAGTGCCGCTTCTGGACTCATGAGGACACGAGTCTTATAAAAGGGGAGCTAATGTAAGGAATCAATTTTTCTTATCGCATTCCCATCATGTCATGGTTATCCGATTCATTCCCTGTCACTCCTCTCGCTCTTGGACTAGAGATTATAGCTGGCATTTTATTACTTTTATCCTTTTTCTTCTTATTCTCCATTCATACTCACGTTCTATCATACTTACAACGAAGGAGAACCGTTGTAGACCCTCGAGAAGATATCCAGACAACATAGCAATGATCCAATGCTATGTCTGGGAATACATCGGAGGGATATTTGTAACAACCAAGAGTGAATTACTCTGGCGCACTCAGAACACACTATAGAAAAGATGAAGTTGGGGAGTGGCTACCCCTTAGGCTGCAGTGAGTTAGTTGGTATTCAACAGGAGGACTCGCTGAGGAGTCTCCTGGATCTATTGGGGTATATATACTACTACAGGTTGTTTGTACATGTGTACTATACAGTTGATGAAGGCAGTGGCTTGATAATGTCATAGGGCCTAGCCCGTATGGCCAGCTCCACTGCGTGAGAGAGTTAAGTCTAAAAATAAAAAGAAGGCAACGCGGCGCGAGGAAGGGAAATGCCGCGTGGCATTTAAGGTATAAAGTTAAAGCGGAGAATAAAAGGGAAAGGAGATGTCCGGAAATTGTGTTATCGTAACAATATTGATAAGCAAGGAAGGCTGTGAGTCAGCGCCTTCTCATGGGCTTACTGATACAGCCAATTGCACACCTCTTACCAATACTTTCTCTCATGTAATTAGTAAATACAATAGATCGGACCACTTTCTCTTTCTTTTCTTATTGGTTAGTTAATTGGTCAGACCACTTTCTTAACTCTTCCCTTTCTTGGTCTGACCATTGTTATGATCCAATGCTATGTCTGGGAATACATCGGAGGGATATTGATAAGCAAGGAAGGCATTCTTCTCTTTGATTTCAAGCTCATTCACATACCTGCTGATTGTCATTGTGGTCCTGATGCATTATCTCGCCATCAACCAACAGAGGAAGACTTTGAAGATGCTCAAGAATCCAATGATCGGCTTGATCATATTGCCCTTCTAGTTGATTCAGACTATGGAGCTGCCTATATTTTCCTCTCTTCAAGCCCAAAAGTGCTTTGTCAAGCAATCACTTCAATTCTTCTTGAAAGGAGACAGCATATTCAAGTGTTGTCAATCTGCTCCTCCTCTCAAAGTCATCTTTAATCCTGACCTTTGACTTCACATCCTTACTAAAGCACATAAAAGGCTTGGTCACAGAAGAGTCAATGGTGTATTCTCTACAGTCAGAGAGCACTTTTACTGGCCCCATATGTTACAGGATGTCAAGCATCATGTTTACACCTGCCATGAATGCCAGATTTGAAGTGTATGCAAAAGTGAAGTCCCACTTACCATCTCATCACCTCCTACAATCTTCATCAAAGTCTATGTTGACATTATGCTTATGCCAAAGGCTAGAGGATATCAATATCTTGTTGCTGCAAGAGATGATCTGTCACTTGCTGCGGAAGGAAGAGCATTGAAGAAAGCATCTGCACATAATCTTGCTTGCTTTTTCTGGGAAGAAACTATCCGTTGCTATGGATCTATAGGAGAAGTTGTCACAGACAATGGAAGCAAAGTCAAAGGAGCATTTAAAGAGCTTGTGGAACGTTACCAGATCCCTTATATTCGCATTTCTCCCTACAATTCCAAGGCAAATGGTGTTGTTGAGCGTGGACACTTTGTCATAAGAGAAGCACTTGTCAAGTCCTGTGAAGGGAATGTTGAGTGATGGCCAACCAAGGTCCATCATGCCTTCTTTGCAGACAAGGTCACTACACGCCGTTCTACTGGATTCAGCCCTTTTTATCTGTTGCACGGAGTTGACCCAGTCCTACCATTTGATTTAACAGAAGCAACTTTCCTTGTCCATGGATTTCATACTGCAATGCCAACAGAAGACCTCATTGCTTTGTGCATTTGTCAACTAGAAAAGAGACAGGATGATTTGCAACAAGCTGCACTCACTATACGCAAAACTCGTCTCAGATCTAAAGTGCAGTTTGAGAAACTCTATGTATGAAGGATGTTCAAGGATGAATACCAACCTGGAGAGCTTGTTCTAGTGCGGAATACTCAGGTTGAAAAAGAGCTGGATCATAAAGCAAAGCCTCGTTACAATGGCCCTTATGAAGTCATGCAAAGTACTAAAGGAGGATCATACATTCTAAAAGAAATGGATGGATCAGTATCACGAAGAGGAATTGCAGAATTTTGCCTACTTCCCTATTTCCACTGCCACTCCATGCCCCTCTTGGACGAGCTGGATGACCATGATAAAGACCTAGATGAACCAGAAGATGAACCTGACTATGAGCATGACAACTCAGATGATAAAGATAACGATTAATGACTTACCTGAACAAATTTTATGCTGACATGACCCCTTAATGTATTGCCATGTTTCATTCCCTATGACCCTACCTTTATGGAAGCAACTGGGACAGTTGCAATTGCAAGTTGTCCATGGATGTCATGCACCAAAGTTGATTGATTGTAACAACCAAGAGTGATCTACTCCGGCGCACACAGGAACACACTATATAAAAGAGGAAGTTGGGGAGTGGTTACCCCTTAGGCTGCAGTGAGTTAGTTGTGCTAGACAACAGGAGGACTCGCTGAGGAGTCTCCTGGATCTATTGGGGTATTTATACTACTACAGGTTTTGTTTGTACATGTGTACTATACAGTAGCAAATAAAGTTTAAAGTCCGCTTGTCTATCATGTGACCGGTCACATGGTGAGTCTAGACTTTGGTCAGGTGATGTGTCACGTGACTTGGTCATGTGACTTATAAAAGTCGAACATGTAAAGTAAAGTAAATGGTCACATGACTGGTCATGTGACTTTGAAAAATGAAAAGTTAAAGTACAAAAATGAAGCGTAAGTAGGTGCTGGTATGTCTATTGTAACATTGATAGCATGGACAGGTGTTAAAGATGAAGCGAATATTAGAAAAGACTTGCCTTTGTGCCGCACAGGCACAGTGCCACATGGGATAGTAATTAATATTGCCTTTTTCAAACTTGTGGCTGATCAGCACCACCTCTATTAGGCAATTCAGTTGCGCTCACCTTGGCTTTTCCATTCGGTGCTTTCCGCGTTTTGGCAATTCAGCAAATTTTTGCATCGCCACTGGCTACACATTGCGCCCTCGCTTTTGTTGTTCTCCCTTACCTTATTTTCTTTACTCAGTCCCACCATGTGACCCTTACTTTCCCTTTTATTTTCACCCAACGGTTGCTTGGATCCCTATGCTGGTTCATCTCCTTGTCACCTCCACCCTCCTCCTCCTCATCTTCTTTGCTCCCCCGCCATATCTAATGTCACCACTTCCTATCTGTTTCCGTTGCCAATCCGTCGACCACCACGTGCCACTACTGATATCAGCAAAGCCCCAGTGGCTGGTCCAAATAGGGCAACAGGTCCATCTTCATGATGTTGATCTGCCATTGTATACCATAAAATCATTGGTCGCTTGTCTCGCCTGGTTGGAGTGTGGGTGGATAGTATTTGAGCTGGAGAAGGGTCATCCCCTTGCGTTGCCTACGTACATTGCTGTCCCATTCACTTGGGTACATTTATCTTTTGTCCATCGTCTTCGCTACAGCTACACCTACCACACGCTGCCTGGGACTCACTTGTTCCAAATTGGAACTACTCCTCTCCCTCCCTTGTTTGATCAGGTGGTCCAGTACAACCAATCCATTGGTAAGGCCATGGAACTGTCGGATTTGGACTAGGTGGTGGACCGGTGGCTCCAGTTTCTTTTTTTTCAGCAGAACATTCATTTACAGTGCAATTATTTTTGATTTTTGAATCATTTTTATGGACACATATTTTTTTAGAATGCCTGACTGACAATAAAGGAACTGTGTTGATACTGATATTTTTTTGCCTTGCCCTTTTTTTACTGCATCTTCCCATGACATCACAATTTTCTTGCTCTCTTTCTGCTATTTGGACTTTATTTTATGGCTGTACAAACCTGTGACATTACTTACATAGCATTCATTGTTCTATCCCTTTCTTTTTTTTTTTTGACAATCTTATCCTGTACTACCTACGCAGGATTTTTCAGTGTACATGTTTTCCTTCATATTCTTTCTCATTCTTTTTGCACAGCTATACTGTGCATAGCCTACTTTTCTTTTACTATATAAACCCCTGTATTTTACCTTGTAAAGAACAAGAACTCCAATCCAGACTTCTTCTCTAATCTCAAGTTCACTACTCTGCTACTTGTGATCCAGTGTGGTCACAATACTTCCCATTGTTACCACTGTTAACTGCTGTCATCGTCACTCATCACTTTTGAGAATGATTATCATCCCTTTCAATTAGAGTCCTTCTGAGCACTACAGTTTGTGCATCAGGAGCCTGCTATCACTGGGAACCTTGTCACCCTGTCATCTTGTTGTTCTCAACCCTACCTTGTGCTACGATTAGCAAGATAGTGCTTGTCCATACTCATCAACTAAGCCCCTATCCTCTATAATTCAACTATCCCCCCTCCTCAAAACCCACACCCATACATCTCTGGGTTTTACTTTGAAGGATTGTCATATGTACCACCCCAGGAACAACCAGACCACTCCACTGTTCTACAAGGCAAAGCCCATACACAAGTTCCATGGAATCTGGGAGAATTGTGTATTAGTTTGTTTTGTGTGTGGTTTTCTAACTACAGTTCTCATCATTGACACCAGCTGAGGTCCGTCCATTTTGTGTGCCATAGTTCAAGCATGGGCACAACAGACTGCATGGACTCAAAGTATCCATTATGGATTGATAGGTCTTTTTTGAGTCTTAATATTTGATCAAAAGTTTTCCCATTGCCACTAAATATAACAAATCAGTCTGCTAATGTTTTGTCATGAAGGTTCATTTGTGTCTTCAAGAAATCCTGGATGGTGTCTTTTATCCCACTAACCTGCATCTCGTCTGCGCTATTAGTGGCCAGCGGGATGACATTAGTTTTCCATGTTAGAGGAATGGGTTTTTTTGCAACAGCAGCTGATATTTCACGCAGGTTGGATTGATTGACTTACAGCCCATGTACAAACTGTATCAAGACATCAAGGAAGTGAAATGCTGAGACAGCTGCAAGACCCTGGAAGTCCAAGTCTTCAAGGATAACATCTGTGGTAAGTGTTTTCCTCTCTTGAAGTTTGTGATGTCTCACTAATTCCTCTACATTAAATGCAGCTGGATCACAGCCTTCCATCTCCACTGCTGTGCCCGCAAAGCCCTTGATTAAGTGGCTTTCTCCTCCAATCCTGGAGTTGCGCTGCCTGGCAAAGGCCTGGATGTTGCCTCCAACAACAGAAAAAAAGTGCCCGGAACCATGTTGCATTGCAGCCTTCAAGTTGGCCTGCATTTCATAGGCCAGTGTCTGGAGTGCTTTGTACACTGTGTCATATGCTACGGATTGCCCCAGTGAATCAACCGGAAAAATCAAACGGTGGGCCTTGGTGGCAAAAAAATAGAGGGCTCAACACAGAGCTGGGAAGTTGGCTTAGTTTGACAGGATAAAGGTGAGTGTCAGAAGTACATCCACTGTACCCTAGAGCTAATATGTCAGTAAAAGCCATATATTCTGCTGCTTTGTCTTACAAGCTGCAAAAAACAGTAAGTCCTTACTACCCCCACTTGTCCTTCACTGGCCTTGCATCGAGATGATTCTCGTGAATACTCACTCAACATGTAACTGACAAAACCGGATAAACCTGGTCTCTGCCAAAGTAGCCATTGTTCTCCATGGAGTCACCATTGTTCTCCTAGGAGTCATTATACTATAGCAAGTAGCACCTCCAACTATAAGTAGTAAGGGGTTTAGTATAGAAATACCTCAGTTGTTTCTATAGCCTCTTGGGCAGCGGCTGAGTTTCACATAGTTTTATTAGTAACAGGTGCATGTTCTTCAGCAATCACTAGGTGCATAGCCAAATATATACATGAGAAAAATCTGAAAAAAAGCTTGAAAACAAAAATACTTTTTGCAAGATATTTCTCCCATAACTATTTTTCTTTTCAAATGGATGGCTCTTTGCATCATCCAAATGGTGAACAGGTCCACTAAAATTTGAGTACATACTTACATGGCCCCTATGAAATATCAGCAAGGGCAGTCTACTACTTATTCTTTATAAATTGTATGCCTTTCAAAGGCTAAACCAGTGAAGTACTGTAGCATGGTAATGGTAATAAGGAAGCAATATACAGAAGACCCAAAACTGTGCTAAGAAATAAACTAGACTCAAAAAAAAGCTAGATACCATTCATATTGTCAAAACCCTTATTCCTCGATAAATATATATGTGGCTCCTGCCTGGATAATGACTTTCGTCTGAGGATGCTCTTGCAGTTTGAGTTAGCGCTCGCTGGGTTTCAAGTTGCTGAGTTTATGTTGAGTTTCTGCTGATCTCGGGTTTAAGTTTCAAGAAGTCGTGTTATTGACACCGAATGGGGGGGCTCCTGTACGCCACTCTTAGTTCGGATCAGACCTTAGTTACTGATATCGACTGTCATATCAGTAATTTGGTCTGACTGGGGAGACTAACAAATTGTGTCGTTTCCGACTGGGACTGAAGACTACTATCGATCTGAATTCAGCCGTAACCAAACAGGTGAACCATGCCCATCATGAAGCTCAAGCTCAGCTGCTACTTTCCGGTGGAGCCACCGTTTTTCACGCAAATCATTTTTGAGGGCAATGACACAGTCAAATCACTGTTGAGGGAGGTCCACAAGCAGCTCAAGGAGGAAAGCTATGATGTCCCACTGAGGGACCTTGTGCTGTACAAGGTGTGTCTGCCACCTAGTCTACGATGCCAAATGACTGACCCTGGATAGGCGGATGTCAAGATAAAGCCCGAGGTGGATCTGACAGACCGTGTCATTCAGTGGCTTCGCATCCAGCCAGAGGCAGCCGAGCTCAGTGTTCTACATGATATTGGAGACGTGTTCACCGAAGCCCTGCCAAATGGTACTCTTCATATCATTGTTGCCAATACCGAGAGTGCGTTTTTTCATGTGTTTCCATACCCCTCCCTAGCCCCCTCACCCCGTTTCAGTCAAGGAGCTACTTGACTTTGTTGACGATCCTCAAGCACGGTCTCGGATACAGATTAAGAAAAGTACGAGTCCACCCACTTGTCACTTGTTCAATCCTCATTATTTTTGCAGAGCTCGGCAAGCAGTTCGCCAAACTATCATCCAGCCCCTCCCCATCTGCAGTTGTAAGGAGCGCTGATGCATTGGCAAAGTTCCTCAATGCCGATGGCCATCCTGTGTGCCTCGATCAAGTCCCAGCCGCCATGTTCAGCCCGCCACTTGCGCACCTACAACGGGCCCTCGCCGAGCTTGGCGACCTCGAGGTGACCGAACATGATGTCAGCCACGCGTCTAGCTTCCTCAGCAGTACAATCATGTCTTATCACAATGAGGACAGTCGCCGGAACGCCATTCGGCAGCACGTCGACCACTTAATGGGGGAGCCTGGTCAGTGGGAGGAAAGGCTTGACCGGGTGGGGAACATCCAGCCTGATGCGAGTTGGTGGCAAGGTGAGTTCCCTGTCACAATCCTGAAGCTGAAAAATGCCCCTGGTATTGGCGGAGATCCTTTTGTTCAAAGTCTTGCCGACTACAGCAAGATTGTGTCGGACCCCCAGGTGCGGCAGCACGCATCCACGTTCGTATCTCCGTTGACGTGTTCTTTCTAGCTTGCGCACTTTCAAGGATCCTGCAATTTCCCTGTCTTGCTTCTCGGTCTCTCGGGAAATCGGATCGAGATTGGTGTGGCTGTCTGTGTTGGCTCTATCTACGCATCCAGGCTAGTCGCCTTCAATATCACCCCCGGATTTCACTTGTCCGAGAACATCATCCATGCGGCTCGAATCTTCAGGTGCCTTTCATCGTGTCGAGCGGCACTGGCAGCGCACTACCGCGCAGTTCAGGGCAACCACGTAACTATTGCGGCAATCTACCCTGACCCAACCTCAGTCTCTGGCAATGCATTGCCGTGCCTGACCTACCACGGTGTCCTCTTGCGAACCGGCGAGCACGTTTCGACCAGCTTGGCAGACCTGGAAGTTGGGACCACCGCGCTGTACCGGGCTACCCTTGGTGACGCTGCTACCCCTGATGGTGCTACCGAGGTTGTCGTCAAGTTTGCGAGTCGATACGGTAAAGCAGCCCACCGCCTCTTATCCGATGCCAAACTGGCCCCAAAGCTCCACTGGTGCGAGCCAATCATCGGGGGCCTTTTTATGGTCGTCATGGACCATCTCGAAGACGGTGCATCAATCTGGCGACTGCGAAACAGTTCAAGGCCCAAACCTGTTCCCGAAGCTGTCTTGAGGGATGTTAAAAGGGCACTAAAGCTCTTGCACGAGAATAGGTTTGTGTTCGGAGACCTGCGTGACACGAATGTTGTTTCTTCCAAGGAGCAAGGGTTTCTCGTTGATTTCGATTGGGCTGGGAAGGAAGGAGAGGACAGATACCCAGCCGCGCTCAATGAAAATAATAAGTGGCATGACGAGGTTCGTGCGCACGCCGTTATGAGCAAGGCGCATGATGATTATCAGTTCGAGCAGTTGGAGGCTCAGCTGAAGTAGTTTGTTATATCCTTTCAAGACCTTTTGTACCATAGCTCCCAAAATCGCATTACATTTGTCACCCACTCATTTTCACCGGACTTTCACAGAATATGCAGTTGGGAGGGATAACATGACTTCTAGTTCTCGCACAGGTTTGATATCACAAGTGCAATGGAATAGGCTGCTAAAAGCTTGAACGAGCTGTAAGACTTCTCATTTTAATCTGACGTAGTTACTTGCAGATAATCCAAGAGTATAGTGATGCATTGAATCATCTTTATATTCTTGTGGTGCACGTGTAGTAGTACCTAACAATAATTAATAGTATTGAGTAGAGAGGATACTGACAATGAAAAATGGCCATCTATGCTTCCGACTTTTCTTTTTCTTCCTCCGTAGGATCGTGGATGATCCTCATAAAATCCCACCATTGTGGTCCATACAAATAGTACAACACTCCAAAAGTCGCGCCGCTCAAATGCGCATAATGATCAAACATCCTGTACCAGAGCCAGAGATCAGCAAAACAAAATCAAAGCAGTAGCAATACAATCTCTTACTTCCAACCACGCAATATACCAATAGCGTCCAAGGCTATAATAGCACCCACACCTGACTGGATAGGAATCGCAAAGAACGGGAGGAATATGAGGCTGATACTAGCATCAGGGAATGCCAGTGCGCTGAGTGTGACAGCTGCGTAAATGGCGCCTGAAGCCCCTAAAGATGGGAGAATCTCCTTTGCCGTCGCACCAGCAGCGGATTTGGCAACTGTTCCAGCCGCCAGAGTGCCACTAGGTTTCGAGAGTTGCGATACTAGGCGCGGGAATAATACCTTGGTAGACGCAGCGTGGCTAGCCAGACCGGAGAAAAGGCCAGCTTAATGAGGAGTGTATAAGTAAACTCTGATTGTACATAATAGTAAACATTACCTGCGACATAAAATGCCAAGAAATGCCATTTCGTAGTTGACTCTTGATAGCCTGTTGGACCTCTTTGCTGCTCTCTGGCAAGGTAAAGGGTGGCGGCAGAACCTGGAAGCTAGTTTCAGAGAGAAACAGCGTGATTGACATTAATGACGACCTTACCAAAGCTTATAAGAGCCATTGAATTAGCCACAAGATGTAAGAACGAGCGATGGCTTCAAATATACCAATATATGAGTCTGTGACACATGCGAAAGACCTCAAGGCATACCTGAATACACTCGTTAACAGAGTGTAGGATAGCCCAGATAGTGGGTGATGCATAAAGCTTCTGTTCATCGATGGAACAAACCGAGGAATCTTCCACGCTAGGTATACGACAGTATTCAGACCACATATCCACCAACACATCCTCCTTCCTTCTGGAGCATCGAGGTACGGTTGTGCAAAACCGACATATGCAGAGATGAAGAGACTTTTGAGTGCTATAGGCCAATCTGCAAGGGAGTCTTTGAATCCGGATAGTTTCGCTTGTAGAGTCTGCGATGAAATGGATGCTGAGCGTGGAAAGATGCAAGCAAGGGATGAAGTACCTTCCCAAGCTCGATATACTGTGCGCGCCTCATTTCATCGCTAGTGGGAGGTCGTGACCAAACGCTTTCCATGATGACAATCCTTTTCGACCAGTACTCGGTATCAAGATGGGTTTTCGCCGCAGCCACGGAAAATACAAGCCAAGATCCTGCGACAAAAAACTACTACAGCGTCAGCAATGCTGTACATACAAGTTGTATCCACCAAACTCTCACCAAGACCTGATTCCGTATTGTGGGACGCTTTATTCGATCACCAAAAGGCTTTACTTCGCTTGCCCTAGCTAATTGGTCTCGAAACGATGGGATGCTCGACGATGCTTTCTCCTGGCCAAACCTAGCGAGCCTTGGGAATGTGCGAGAAAATGAATGTCCAAATGAGCGACTTTGGAGTGGTCCATTCCATGTTTTGAACGACCGGGGTGAGCTTCTGCAAAACGCCGTCCAGAACATACCTGGACGCGCACCGGCTGGGCACAGCGGGGGACTTGAGAAGAGCTTAGTTTAGGGTTATGGTTTACGATATCTATCTCTGACCTCGACACAATATTTTTATTACGGACATGTTTTATTATATTTCTTTTCTGCGTCCACCGCCATTGCAGGCTGCTCTCTCTGGGTCGATATCCATCACACCGCAAGTCGCGAATGACCTCCGTACAGAACCTTTCGACGGCGCACAGGACATATTTTATTGCTGGTCTGCCACTTCTACCACACCCGTCGCAACAAAACCCACAAAGTTGACCACCTGGAGACAATCTAATGCGTACAAAGAGCTTTCCGTTCCATTACCTCCAAATTTGAGGTCAGGACAATCATGGCGCCTCGTCCTGAGCTCGCGCGCGCACGGTCAAGTTTCCTCCATCCAGTTGGACGAAGATGCGCTCGGAGACACGCCTTTTCCTGTCATATCCATGCCCATCGTGTTCAGTCCTCGCCCGGGTAAGGCTGTTAAGCAGGAACAAGTAGAGAGGATATACAATCTCTTGCTTAAATCTAATGATGATCCACTGTCTATGGTGATCAGAGAACAAACATCGTTTGATCTTGACAAGGTGGGCCACCCTGTCCCCGTGGCAGAGTCTGTCTTGATCCGGTGTAGATTTGCTAGAAAATATGGGATAGTGGTATCGGACTGAGTTCTTGGATACTGAGACACTATAACCACTGTTTCGAGAATACGGCTCCATTGACCGAACTGCACCGAAGACTGTTTGGCAGTAAACATGGGAATATAATTGAACTAGGTGTGTACTGGATTAGAGCTCTCCAAAGTAGGTTTTGTAATTGCGATGTCCAGGTGCTGGAACTGGTATTGTCGCTCTAACTCTGGCGATTCTTCGCTCCTCCACCTTCACTGAAGGTTTTGAGGCCCCCAATCGTCTTATAACGACGGATCTTTGTTCGTGATATTGTTCTCGCTATTTTTTACTTAATTCATATCTCAAAACTAGCTTCTGCGATGCCTCTTTTGGAACGTAACATCTCGTCTAATGGTCATTTATTTCCCCTGGCGCGTCCGGAAGCTGTGGTCTTAGATTGGGACAACGAAGAGCTTCCACCAGCTGTTCATGATCTTGAGAATGGACTGGATGTAATTGTGTACGTACTTTCACAGATAATGGGAGTTGACCTGACACTTATTGACCATTCCACAGAATGGCAGATGTCACGTACAATACCTCGTCCTTCCCTTCTCTCATCAGGACCCTGTCTTCTCTTATCGAATTCTCGATGACCAAAAACGCCGCTCCCCCGCTCATATTGCTCGGATACAAAGAGCGAGATCTTGCAGAACGTACTTTATGGGGCATGGCGAGTGAAATAGGAATATCGCTGGAGAAAGTGAGTGAGCTGGCAGGAGCTGGGGGTGCACCAATCGAAATATGGGTGGGACAAGCGAAGAATAAGTCGGATCAGTAATATGAAAGAACACCTATTGAAAGAAATTAGGATCGTAAGCTCGCATGTCAGATAAATGAAATGATCTCCAAAAGACGTCAGCTCTTTGCAGCACTGACATATGCCATAACACATACAGACTGTCGGCTTCTTTCCGTGCGTACACTGAGGTCTTCCCAGTCACACCCGCTTGGGAGCTTGCCTCTCTGACTCCTTCTCTACTATAGTAGATCTGCATATTCGATATACCCCATGAGTACCAGCTTGATCAAACTCTCTCCTGAAACAGAACAAGTTCACGATGCAGACGAGGAGGTTAGCCGGAATTCCTCAGCCTAACTGACATCTAAAAGCCCAATCGCTTTGTTCATATGACATTGATATCTTCTCTTTGGACTATGTTGACCAGGTATTCATAGTGTATACGAACCTAAAAAGTGCTTCGAAGGATTTAGTGGGCCCTGATGGATTTCGGGGACTGGGACACGTCGATTCCCGCCAGGACACGCTATCGGTCAAGTTCGAGCTGGTGGCGCCTCTGCAGCCTGACAACTCTCTATCGTTAACCTCTGGACCTGTAACGACCCCACCAGCAAAGAAAGTAAAAGGCAAGAGGAGAAAATCTAGGGATAATGCGCAGGCTCAGCTGAAGACGATAGAAGTTGAACTTGTCCAGGATAAGACTGCTTTGCGTACCCGAAAGGGCGACACAGGGAGTGTGCTCTGGAGAGCTAGGTGAGGCATCCACGATACAAAGTACTGAGTCAGAGCTCAACGTGTGGTATAATCCTAGCAACGAGTTTGCACAGGTTGTTCTTCAGCAACATAATTTCAAGATGGAAAATTCGATCTTTGATCACGCCTTACTCGCCGAGTCACACGTTGTAGAGCTTGGGTATGTATCTGTCCATGACACCGCTATTCTGTTCTCTCATTATGAAAATTTGGCAAATTTCCTAGTTCGGGTACTGGATTACTGAGTGTCGTTCTGTCCCCGCTTGTCCGCAGACACACAGCTACCGACATCCCAGACCTCCTCCCACTTATTCGCAAGAATGTAAAGCTCAACTTCAGTGGTTGGCCGAAAACGACTGGTGTAGGATCGAATATATTTGTAGAAGAACTCGACTGGCAAACTCTGCAGACTCTACCGTTATCGTCACGTCATCGATACTGTCCTTGGATAGCAGAAAACCCTGCAGACCTCGTCCTCGTCGTCGATTGTATTTACCACCCCTCCCTTTTGCCGTCGTTGGTTGAAACAATTGACTATCTTTCGGAGCCTGGGCGTACCTGGGTAATGATTGTGGTCGAGCTCAGACAGGAAGACGTGGTAAGGGAGTTTCTAGATCTGTGGATCAAACGAGATGACTGGCTGTTGTGGCGGGTAAACGGGTTGCTTGATCTACATTTTGCTGTGTGGGTCGGACACAAAAAAGGTCCTCGGAACGAGGTTAGCTCACGTCCATAATTCAACCTCACTGTTCTACTGTGCTGACAAGACGTCGTATCGCCATGTGTAGGAGAACAACGATTAAAATCGGTTCTAACCCTGCTTGTATTTGCTTCGTGTCGATGTAATGACACTTGCTGCGCGCTTGGCGATGAAAAGCTTGGGATCAGGCTGTACACTCGTACCTGTCCATTACATCAGTGTGCAGCTGCCAAGGGCTTGACCAAGAACAATCGCCGCCTACGAAGGTAAGAATCACACTATTAGAAGAAGGACGCTAAGTGAGCAAAGGACGTTGCACAGCAAAGCCCTTTCCTCGCTGTTCAAACGTGTTTGAAATAGAGTGGCGCCGGGATATGAGTCAGTGGGTTACAGGTAAAATTGCTCTTAGTCGATAAACTTGCCGGATCAGTCATAGCTATGGTCAGGGAGCCGTTGGAGCAGGTCGGCTTGGGTGTTCTCGTATGGATTGCATCCGCTCTGTGATCAGGTCCCACATTCTAACCGACGGTCTCGGGTGGTACGATGAGCGCGTCAAGACCACAGAATTGAGCTGGTCTATGCAGTATTGTTCGATGGTGTTGTTTTCTGCCACGATGCAGACAAATGGGTGAAACGGTGGGTATGGGCGTTGTATCCTGGATACTATTCCCAATATAAGTGCAGACAAGACAAGTGCGCTGAGACTGAAAACAGGCGAAAGGTGCTGTGTCGTGCACTGCCGGTTCGGCCAGCCCCGATTGAAATAATGTCTTAGGATTGTTGGAGTGGTTTTTTCCGCAGCGCTCTGGTCGCCCACCATTCATCCTTCTTAAGAGTCTTAACATAGCTCGCAGTGCGAGTCTCACAGCCTGCACCTACAATTCTCCATTCTTTCCCTCCATCTACTCTTACCTCCCTGATTCCTAATACTCACTGACATGCTTTCCACGATATCACTCACCCTCACCGTCCTCCTTTCCATCTCTTCAGACGCTTTCGCTGCCCCACGCTCCTCTTTTGCTCTTCCGGGCCAGTCAATACCGCTCGTCAGACGATCTCAGCATCAGAAAAATGCCACAGAATGGGGCATCTGGGCCAAGAACGAGAGGGAGAACTTGATGGCAAAGTACGGCGCCGCCCCACAGAAGAGGAGCTCAGGGACGAACTTGTGTGTTTTCTTTAGTCTTTCCACTCGTTTTGTCTCTGACACGTATCCAGGATCACCAACCAGAACGCAGATTCAAGGTATCGCATGGCACATTTCTCGTAACCACTGTTACGTTGTTCTAACATGTTTATGTTTCTCAGTTTCTTTGGGTCCGTGGCTATTGGTACCCCCGCTGTTGCATTCGACGTAATCTTGGATACCGGCTCATCGTACGTCATATGCTCCACCTTTGGGATTCGTTGTTTACACTTCACACAGTGATCTTTGGGTGGCCGACAATAGCTGCCAAACAGGGTGTAATCGTGTTGCAACATACGACGTCACAACCTCATCTACGTTCAAGAACCTCTCTCAGCCATTCAGCATCCAATATGGTAGCGGTGAAGCAGCTGGATCTCTTGGACAAGATGTCGTGCAGATCGCAGGATTTTCGGTGGCTAACCAAACATTCGGTGCTGTTAATGCTGTCTCCTCGGGTTTACTCAACACCCCTGTGTCTGGTTTGATCGGTCTCGCGTGGCAAAGTATCGCTTCGTCTGGTGCTACTCCTCTCTGGGAGACTCTCGCCAACTCTGGAAAATGGGACCAACCTTTGATGGCGTTTCAGCTTACACGGTAACTACGACTTTTCAAGGACAGCTGATCATATTTCATTCATTATATCTCGTGCCTCAGATTCATCAATGCCACTAGCCCTCAAGCACTTGAACCCGGAGGAACATTCACGATGGGTAGGTGACGTGGTGTAGACTTGGTAACGACATCTCATCTTGTTCTTTTCTGCTCGTAGGGTCTGTCAACCAAAGCTTGTACACTGGTACCATCGACTATCAGAATATCCCCGATACCCCTTCATACTGGATCTTACCGATGACCTGTGCGTTGCATCAACCTGGGTCTGATAGCTTTGATAAACTGAACTTTATGGATTATTAGCTATGACCGTTCAGGGCAACTCTGTCAGCATTCCTACCGGTTCAGCATCGTACTCTGCTATTGACACCGGCACTACACTCGTCGGTGGCCCATCAAGTGCCATTCAGAGCATCTTCGCACAAATCCCAGGGTCTGCACCGGGAACTGGCAGCTGGCAAGGTTACTACACCTATCGTGAGTAGATTCAAATCAGAATGTTCCATCCATCTATTCTGCATTGTCGCACACATTTTCTCACGCCGCTCCCATAATAGCTTGCAGCACCCAAGTCAATGTTGCTATCTCATTTGGAGGCCCAAGCTGGTCTGTCAGCCCAGCCGACTTCCAGCTTACACAGTTATCTCAAACGCAATGTGTTGGTGCGTTCTTTGAGCTTTCCACAGGCGGTAACGCTCCTTCGTGGATCGTAGGCGATACATTCCTTGTGCGTACTCTCGGTTTACTTTTCTCATTGAATCCATCGTGAGAGATTGATATTTTTTACTAACGTTCTATTCTAGAAAAATGTCTACTCTGTTTTCCGCTACAACCCTCCTTCAGTGGGTTTCGCGGCCCTCTCCCCGACTGCGCTTGCCATGAACGGTGTGAACGCTGCACCTCCAACTGCCACGATTGGCTCTGCCGCCGCCACAGTAACTGCAACAGGTGCGAGTGTCAATGGTAACGGTGCCTCTGGGTTGCACTCGTTCAACATGCCTACTGTTGTTCTCTCTGTTGTTCTCGGTTCATTCTTGGCTATGGTATAATTAGTTTTCGTGTTCCCTATAGTAGGGTCAGGTTTCGGTTTGGTTCTTTATGTGGTAGACACGCACTGATACGGAGCGGACTCGTTGGAGTAGTGACATTTTGTATTAACTATGAGGATATTTTTGGCGGCATAACAGTCGGACACTTGCACGACGGGCGGGGGAGTTCACACAGATTTAATTCATTATTATCAGTACAATCTGGGACCTTCTTATGATAAAAATACAAAATGATCCTTTCAAGTTCTATTTGAATGAACGAAAGCGCTACTTGAGACACGTCCTATGTTGCTCACAAAGCTCTGTAGGTCACGTTGAACTAGCATATGCCTACAACAAAACCTCAAGTGCCTATAACATTATACGGTGACCGCAAAAGGTATATCAGATATCAGTAGATTAGTGTTATTAGATAGCAGGTGCAGGGATATCTCACCTGCGAACAGGTTTCACTGGCAAGTCACTTGAATATCGGATAAGCATCACGGACATGTTACGAATCCAGCTAAATGTTCCACTTCATGTTGTTGCGAGTATGAGTGTAATGAGCGTCAGTTTTCCTTCACGCAATGGTGAATTATTCATTGTCTAAGTCTACAGATACAAATAAAACACCTTACATTCCACTTGTCTACTGACAGACAATATCTTAGTTATACAGTAAAATAGAGTAGTTAGTGTTTCATCTGGTGAAACACATTGGATTAGCAGCGAAGAGTTGCCTAGAAAACGTTTGCAAGACAATGGCGATGAATGACTCACACCAACCACAAATGGCGAAGAAAACCAACATTGATTCACGCTCACAACCTAACTATCCTCATTATAACAATAGCTCACATCCCACAAGAGATAGTTATAACCATAATATAAAGATAATGTCAAAAATACAGTAGAAATACAGTCCAGCAATAATAAATCACAATCTACGAACGCTCTCCCCGTAACCGACGAGCCAATGCGAGATCTTTTGGTTGGATAGTAACACGCTTAGCGTGGATGGCAGCAAGGTTAGTGTCTTCAAATAGCGACACAAGGTAAGCCTCAGCAGCTTCTTGGAGAGCCATGACGGCAGACGATTGGAAACGGAGATCAGTCTGTGGCAAATGTAAGCAAGAAATCAACAGAAGCAAGAGACGAAAGACAAACCTTGAAGTCCTGAGCAATTTCACGAACGAGACGTTGGAACGGCAGCTTGCGGATGAGCAACTCTGTCGACTTCTGGTACCGTCTGATCTCACGGAGAGCGACAGTACCGGGGCGGAAACGATGGGGCTTCTTCACACCACCAGTTGCCTGAGAATTTATTATGTTAATGGAAAGTTATAGAGAATAAAGATGCTAAACTTACTGCTGCGGCAGTCTTGCGAGCAGATGATTTGGCTGCAAGCTGTTTACGGGGTGCCTTACCTAAAAAGCCCAAAGGCCATGTCAGTAAAAGACCAGCGATGAATATAACAGACAGAGACCACTTACCACCAGTAGACTTGCGAGCGGTTTGTTTCGTACGAGCCATTGATGTTTAGATGTGAATCAAAAAGTGTCTGAGAGTCGTTGATGGTGGTGGTGGTCGAGGTAGAAAGTAAGCGGACTAATTTCTCTCCTCGTGCCTCTTCCTATATACGAACGCGTCGCGAGTCCACACGTGACATCCGCGTCCACTTTCGATCAACAAACAATGACAGCCACAAAAATCGACACAGCCACATGCCGACCATATATAACCCGCTGGTGGCTGAAAGTGGAAGCTCATTTCCGTTCGCACATTGAAACTTGAATTCATCACTACCACCACCACCCACACTACACTTTTATTTGAAACATGTCTGGACGCGGAAAAGGTGGCAAAGTAAGTAACTGAAAAAGTGAATTCTGTGTTTTCTTTGGTTGCTTACAAGTCTTTGTGTTTTTCTTAGGGTCTCGGAAAGGGTGGTGCTAAGCGTCATCGTAAAATTCTTCGTGATAACATTCAGGGTGAGTGGACTTGTGTGTGCGTGGAAGTGATTGTTCTCTAGGCTAATGGTGTGGCAGGTATAACAAAGCCCGCTATTCGTCGTCTTGCCCGTCGTGGTGGTGTGAAGCGTATATCTGGTCTTATCTACGAGGAGACCCGTGGTGTATTGAAGATTTTCCTTGAAAATGTTAGTGCTTTTTCCTCGTCGCAACCGTTATTATGATGCTTACTTGTTTCTCAGGTCATCCGGGATTCTGTAACATATACTGAACATGCCAAGCGGAAGACGGTGACTGCTCTTGATGTTGTATATGCACTAAAACGGTCAGGGCGTACGCTATACGGTTTCGGTGCATAGGTTTCGGACTATTTTCCTTGTTTCATGTATCGGTGTACTTTACTGTAATGTTATTTTTTCCCCTGGCATCACTTACGATGTGTGATATTCGGTGAATCAGTAGTGTATTCGCCTATATACGTCGGAAGGGTGTAGTATACCCGACAAGCGAAGGAGACAAGATTCCGTAAGTGCTGGTACCTAGTTTATCTATTACTCCGTGGCTTTGACTGCAGAATGCCGTGGTTTTACCGAATCCTTGACATGCTGCTTGTTATTTCTTGTATTTCTTCGTCTACTTCGACGTGCAACTATAAGAATGGGTGAAACGGTCAGACTTTTGTTCTTATTCCCAGCTTTCTATCTGACATTCATCCAGGTTGCTGCTTTAGGTGCCCACAGCGACCCTTCGCTCCCTAACGAGACACTCATAACTATTTTTCATGGCCTCGCACCATCCGTACTCACGAGGCTGGCAAGGGTGTGTGGTAGATGGAAAATAGTAGCGGAATGGATTCTATATTCCAACATAACGATAACCGAAACATTCTCGTCCACATATCGCTATCCATATTGTACCGTGCGATGCTGCAAAACCATCGCTCAGTATCCACACCTCGCCAGTGGTGTGAAGAGGTTTCAACTGCGGTGGACGAGCCAACGAGAAACACAGCATACGCATGGAATGTACTTGGAGATGGCACTCCTGGATATCTCGCAGGCCATAGGATGCATGACAACTCTCGAGGTGCTCGATTTATCACTGGGACTCGCTGATTACTACTCTACGTCTGTGCTACCTCACGCCCAACACACATTTCCTCTCTTACACCAGATCTCCCTCAGTGGCCTTGGTCACTATCCCCAGAACGCTCTCAATCCATTCCTCAATGCCGTTCCCTCCATACACCATCTCAGACTTACAGACTCACGCGAGCAACTCCTCGTCCTCCCTTGCGCCCTCCCTTCGCTGGTCTCCTTCTGCGGCTGTCCCCGTGCAGCTGCTACGGTGCTCCCCGGCAGACCAGTCCAATCTCTCGCACTCATTGGACAGGACTACGTGACCGATGTTGATCTGTCACAAATGGCCTTAACAAGCGTGCCCCTCCGCTATCTTGATTTATCGGCTATGTCGGTTACCCCGACATTGCTGCGAAATGTGTCCAGGTTTCTATCAACCGTCGAGTCACTCAAGGTCAAACTCGCGCTCAGGCATACCCTTCACTATGCTTTGTCAGGAATAGTGAGTTTTATCGCGGATTCTTCGGTTCCTCATTTGTGCTCATGATTTTTTTGCCCCTTTTTTCATATTTCCTATTCAAATCGTTCATTCCAATGCGTCAGAGATTACTGGCTGCCCTTTCACATCCACTCGGGGCATTTCAACGGTTATCGACGCTTGACCTGTCACCCACTCACATAGACGGTGATGGCCTTCGTAGCCTAGACGGCAATGGTGCTGAGGAATCTTCCATCTGCCAATCATGGCACACCGCTTGCCCTTCTTTGAGGCGCGTAGTATTTCCTTCCAAGACAGAATGGCTATATAAACAGGAAAGCGGTACATGGGTCCCCGTTCTAGACCAAGGATCGCGAAGGCGCGTAAGTACTTTCATTCCTCAAAAAATTATATGATTCTGACGTCAGAACTGAATGCATCTCCATATAAAGCCTCTTTGGTCACCTTCGACGAAGAAGTTCGCAGCCCCCTGACCTTTTTACGTTCCTTGCTCACGCTACAACTACTCGATATTTCTTGGCTGTCACTTACCACACTGCACCCCGGACTACCATCTCGTGAATTCGTTCCCCTAGACAATTCAAGCACTATCCAATTTTTCCCCTTTGTTATTCAATTAACCATCATCTTGCAAAAACCATGGGGAAACAACCTATGCTATCTGCAGCGAGTTAATTTTAGAGCAACATATCATCGACGCTATGCATTTTTTGTACAACACACACGTTTATCATTGTAGACCAATGCCGTGTCTTGTTTTATGGTATTATCTGGCGCTACAGCTATTTAAGTAAGAGCTTACATCTCTGAACGTACGACAAGTCGCCTATTTTCATATTTCTCCGCGTTATCTTACCGAAGGCAAGTTTACTGTAAGACAGGATTTAAATTACCAAGACTATCATAACTACTCCACATAAACTTCCATACAACAGCTGCGATGATGACAACACATACACACGCACGCACTATAATCCCAGTATACTATAAACCGAAGGCGTAAATATCTCAGGTAATAACAAAACTAACAAAAGATTGACCAGGGTGAAAACGTCCAAGTTGTTACATCCAGCTCGGAGATATTTCGAGTTCCATTCGGGGTATATTTGCGGATACAAATCAAGAAAGGAAAAGGAAAGGGCCGATGAATAGAGACTGGTCAGGCTATGGTTTTAGACACCGTCTGCTTCGTCCACGAAGATATCAGTGTAATGCTCTAGTATTGTTTCTATGGCCTAGTGAGAGTCAACGTAAATCAGACACTCTCCTTGTCGAGCGAAATTAAAGAAATATATATTTACCTTGTTCTGGAAGGGTGCATCGGCTATGCCACCATTCATATGACCCGCACTCCCATTGCTGGGCGCCGATTGACCAAAAAGAGTAGGACCAAACACTATGGCAAGGTTTTGTATAGACATGGAATTTTCCGCTTCGTATTGCGCAACCCTATCAAATAATCAGTAAATTGAATTGTGTCTATGACAGCAAATATCCACACTCACTTGTATAAATGGCCCATGAAGAACTTCAGAGTAGCATAGTTTGGATCCGGAAGATCGTTGACACGTTCGTGCAGACGTATGTGGCGCAGGCGATCATTTTCGATTTCTGAAAACTGTCTCAGCTATGTTGGTCGTTGAACGTCGTCCAATACTCACTGGCAGCATCAATGAACCCTTGGTGCAAAACAAAAGTCAAGATAGGGTCGGGAAGCTCACGTAGCCAAAGCTTGATGACGCTGGTAACGTTATTGATGTCCGATGTCCACTCTTCTGAATCGAAGTTAACAGCATCCAAATCTACGGAGTCTGTTATTCGAAAAAAAATTACAAAAACTAAATTATATGTCAACTCACCTCTGTCCAACCGCTCCTTGAGCTGGGCAACCTTGCTTGTCATTCCGCTTATACGATATATGCCCTGCGATTGTAACCCATATTTCTCTATAGTCTCACAGCACTTCTCCACAATAGGCGGGATCTCGACATTGTCTCGTGCCATTTGATTTGCAAGGTCTACACCAAAGGTTGGCCGACCTCGATCTGGCATCTGTGAGTTAGCAGTGCTGGGAGTACTGGAGTTCGCATGAACACCAGGATATCCTCCAATGATATGCGTTGGTAGAGGAGGCAGCTATATATATCACACGATGAGACCAGTGCTTCCCAACATCGAATATGGACTACTTACGAAACCTTCTTCAGCTGGACCTTCTCGCCTAGGTCCTCGTGGAGCGGCATTTCCACGAGCATATGCATAGTTTTGCATGTAAGTCTTAAAATCCGAACGGCTATCAATTGCCTCGTATGTAGGTTTTAGACCGAGACCTGTGTGCATCATTGAGGTTGGGCAGACTTGAGACCTATTTATTGCCTGACCTTCTTCCGCAGAAGCAGGGACTAGCGTAGACCCGTCACTTAATACTATGCTTTCAAATAAGAATGCATATCTTGTGAGGTGGTACTGAGTCCCCAGATCGATTTCGTCGGCACACTCCTTTAGCGCCTATATCGGGAGATTGGTCAGCCAAAGTGTATCCACAAAAGCTGCGAACATTCTTGCGTGCACTGACTCTTAAGATTCTAGGCAGCTGGAAGTTGAAATATTCCTGTCTCATTGCTTGAGTATCCGTTAGAGACTTTCGGTAGGTGTCTGAAGCGACCGAAACACGGGATCGGATATCATCTTCTTGTCTTTGGATCTTTTAGGCTGTCAAACGCTTGTTCAACTAACCGAACTGAAAAGCACCTACATTACCAGGATTTTTGCCTTTGAGCAGCAGCCCACCTTTGGCGACTGCCTTTCCCAATACCCGTTTGCCGCCCGCTCCGGTAGTAGTTTTAGCTTGTAAAGCACTATCCTTGAACGACTCTCCTTCCTTCTGAAGAAGAACACGCTCCAACTCTTCTGAAGAGACGTCAAGCCGAAGCTTGCTCTTTTCAGTCATTAGCTCGGACTCCTGTAGTGCACGTTCGTAACGACTAGCTAGCTCCTTAGTCTGCTCACACAATTGTGTGAGCTCCATCGGTCCAGACTCGATTGTTCGTACAACGCACATGTTTTCTGTTTTTATCCACTTCTTTAGCGAGAGAGGCCAGCTCTTCGCTCATCTCGTTCAATCGCTGCGAAAATCGTATTCGATTCTCAGCCATGACTTCATGAATTTTCATGGATGACTGCCATGCGTTGACAAAAGATCTAATTATTCCAGTACAAAACCTGTTAATCCGAGGACGTCGTGGAGACGTAGGGTAATAGCTTACCCCGCTTTTCCATCGTTCATAGAATACACTTCTGACGTAGTGCGAGCTAACTTTTGCATACTCTTTCCGTACTCTTCTTCCAAAACTGCTCTCTTCTTAAAGAATACAGATGCTTCCTAAACATGCCTGTAAATCACTATCACAGATAAACTTCAAGCTGCACCCTCACCCGACAGGATACCATACTTTGCTTTATTCGATCTAACAACAGAGGCACTCCACACTACGATCCAAACTTCCTAAGTGGTGGCGGGGTAGATAATTATCAAGATTGCTCACATCTAATTCACATAATGCTCGAAGCACATTCTCGTCGAAACTTGGTTCTACCAAGCTACCCACGTCACTAGGAATGGTAGACAAGGTATCCCTGCGCTCGACGGGGACTGTGAAACTATCACGCCATTTGGAAGTAGAGGATCGACCTGCAGAGTCAGAGCTGGAGCGTGGTGGGGGCGATGATGATTTTGGAGGCAATGAAGGTATTTGATGGTTTGGCGGAGAGGTAGATGATGATTCGTGGAAAACTGCCGGGTGCGCTGGTAACGAACGAGCATATGAATTGGTGTGGGTTGCGTTGCTGGGATCTGAATTATCTGTAGACTCCCAAGCAGATGAGGAATAACCATCGTCTGCCATTATCACATCCACACCAAGGTTATAAGAAACGGGACAGAAATGTATATCGAGAGCAAGAACCGCTGAAGCGGGAACACTGGTTAGGTTGCCACCGCCTCCGCATTATGTAAGCCCCGAATACTACCAGTCCACAAGATATCATTCATGGCTTGGTACCGTTACTTCATCTCCACAATCGACATGTACAACTGAGGCTTGCAGCACTGAAGGAACGTATTCGTATTTGGTTGACAATGTGTGAGCTCTAATCATTGCATTTCAAATTTGTTCGGTAAGGGTAATTCATATGGTCATCCGCATACTGCATCATCCTTTCTTGCCACCGCATTGTGTTCTCGAATAAGTAATCATGCATTAATCGATTCGAACAGCGTGGGGCACCACACAATAACATGGTGACCGTGAAAATCCTTATTAAATCACTGGCCTCAATTTTACAGTCCAAGTTAACCTCACATGTAAAGCAACAGTGATCGACTCCGCATCTAGCTCACCCTTATCGAACTTCACCGAAGCTCCGTCGTGATCCCTTGTCGTCCAAGCTTGGGACCCTCAAAATTTCCAGCCACATGCGTCTGCCGATCCAAGCAAAGTAGCAACTGAAGTAATTTGTGGTGCCGGAACTTCAGTTGACGTCAGGGGCCCCGAAAACGATATCATGGGTGGGGAATCAGTGCATACTACGTCAAGCCTCGCAAGAATAGTATGGGCCGACATTCATCGATTTTATGCCCCTTGTGGGGCTGCGAACCCCCAGAGAAAAAATTCGACAGTTGGTTACACCACGTCCATGAAGCCGACATGAAACACTCACTTCCATCAAACCCCCACTAGTCCATATCCAGTTGCACATCTGCTACTGTCGTTGCGAGAACTTCTGAAGTGCATCAATCTGACACGGACCACCGAGCTAGGACAAAGAAGTCCCATGACAGGAATTAGCACAAACATCGGTACGAACATTACGCTTTACGGCTTCATGCTTCTCACACGATCAACAGATGATGGCGGTGAATAGAAACCCAAAACAACGTTTGATATCCCAAGATCAATAACAGACTACTTATTCGGATGAGTGAAGTTTGGAAAGGCCCCCTAGTGGGTACCATTGGTTAAGCACCCAGAGCAAGAGTTATTATCCGTATCCATCACAAGCCCTTGAGCTGCCATCATACTGGGGATCTCGTAAGTACTATTCCGCCTTGAGAGCAAATAGCCAGATACCTCTGTAAGCACGTGTTGATGCAGTTGTGCTCTTCAGCGTTATGCATATTGCTGAATCGACACTTTTTGTCGTTACAGTCCACCTGTGATGAAATGAGGTCAGGTCTATCGGATTGACGCTCATGTAGCTGACACACCTTCTGACGCCTGGTGACAAAGCGATGAGAGCAAGCATACTCGACATATTGAATTATGTTGTAACACATATTGTGGAGCAGAGTTAGTTTCAGTGAAGTACAAGGGAAAGGTTGGGAAAGGTGGGCAAACCTTTGGATTTTGCTTGCTGATATACCTATCTCCTTCAACACCGTTTTGAGCATGAGGGTCCCTCCCCAATCTCGGGCGAAAAACTCCTTACTTGCTAGACTGAAAGCAAGCACACCACGCCGGGTTTAGACCGCACACCTTTGGGCCTCATCATGATCATGAATGTTGTGCATGTCGGACTGATCTGCCTCTATCCGCAACAGAACTGCCCTATTTCCGGCACTTGGGGCTCAGCCAAATAGTCGATTGGGCCCCGTGCCAAAGCCTATAAGTGAGAGACCTGCCCTCAGATTGGTACCGATGTAGTGAAATTCGTTTCACCCCCATTGAGAATAACGAAAAGACTGGATCTACTCGTTATTTCAACAAAATCGTCATTGTTTTTGGGATCCGAGACATTGCCCCACGACAAATACCGTGTATAATGAATGACATCGAAGTACTCACCATCAACAGGGCCAGGGGTATATCGAGCTTTATAGTTGTTGAGTGGTGGTTGAAAAGCGAGAGCGATGAGAGTACTGGTGTCTTGAAGAGACGAGAGGAGGAGCCCCGTCTGTTGAAAAAATCTTGGGTCACGAGAGCTAGATGTCCCATTGGCTGACAGAATTCTTCATAAAGATATTTTTTACGTTATTCGTAATCTGGCCATGCAAAGGCTTGAGGTTGCAGAAGGGTCACGGTATCGTGTCGGGTTTGTGTTCCAGTTCCCACAGAAAATTCCCCGGTCCTTGAATATGAAAAAATCATACTATTTCCCCCAAGTACCCACCTCATCACTACCACCACCACCCGGCGCCGATGATCATGAACATTTGACGTGGAGCACATACTGCGTTTGCACGGTGGTAAGGCCAGCCGATTATGGGCTTATATCAGCCAGCGGATGGTCTGGATATCCTGATGTTGAGGCGACGATCATTTGGTGATATAATTTCGCAGTAGTCTCCAGCTATCTCATCATACAGGCAAGGAAATTAGCAGTAATATCATGACCATCCCCCAAACTGTCAACTGACTGGGCTTACCACACATCAAGCCCACTCAATATTTTGATCAAGCGGCTAGTGCTGGTGGAGGTGCTTTCGGCAATAAAGGAAAATTTCTCCGGGCGATTTCGCTTCCACTGCCATCACACTCATTGTGAGATGTGAAACGATGTACAGTAAGTATTCAGAATATAACAGCAACTAGCAGCCAAAAGAAAAAAAAAGATGTCGCGCATTGACCAAATCATCTTGTTTCAGCAGAATGGATTGAAAATTTTGGAATGAACTAAGGACCACATAATAGTGCGAGTTTCTTGATGTAATTCAGGAGCCGAAAAAGAATGAAGGCTTGGACGCTTCCTCTATCAAAACATCCCAAAACCCGAAAAGTATTTCCTTCCACAAGGCGGCTGGAAATTAATCTAGAACAACCGCGTTTGGCTTATCTTATTTGACTAACGGTTATCGATACCCGTAGATGCACGTCTGCATCATCACGATTGCGGGACGTTAGCACTTGTCCTCCGAATGGGCCGCTTTAACACTCACCCTCACCACATGTCCTCCAAGAAGTCAACATCTCTGTCAAAAAATACGATAAAATTGTATATCAGGTAATGGATCAACAAACTTTAAAATGTGGCACTGGAGTTTTGATCGGCAATGGGCCTTCCCCCGGTCCCAATCACAGTACACCTGGCGAAGTATTTGGCCAGGGTCAGGCGGGTCAATTTTAACCGATCCAAAGCTTCCTTTTCCCTCGACGCGTTGGACTTTCTCATCAGCATGCACAGATAGTCTTCACCAGACCCTTGTGCAGCTCTCATGAACACTTCCTCTAATTTTTGAAGCAAGATATAGGCGCCGGAGTGGGAAAACAGAAGGGCCGTGCCTATTAAGATTCATATAGTCGAGTAAAATTAATAACATGCTGCAAGAGTAGATACAGTAAACACTCACTATATCGAAGAAGCTCGATAGAGTCAGACAGAAGAACACCCCACCAAGATTTCGGTACAATCTCCTCCTTAAACATAGTAATAAGGTCCCGTGCAGCGTCTTGATACTCTTGATTAAGCATGCGTTGGTGAAACTCCGCGTATCGGACGGCAAACATTAATCGGTAGATAAAAATGCCATGGGCACCAGGCTGTGTTCGATACGACTGCAGTGATGGAGCAATGTCCGCAACATATCGAGTGAATTGTTCGGGACCTGACTATAGATGTCAGCAATTTGCAATATAAATAGGGCAGCGAACACCCATTTTACCATTGGCAATGTACTCTTCCAGAACGCGGTCCACCACGCGGCCAAGGCCGGCCCAGTCTTCCGCAGAAGAGCAGTAGGACAAAGCGAGTCCATATTCCTGCTCTTGAACAAATGTCTGCGCAGCCATCTACAGAAGAACCTAGTCAAAAATTAGATATCGAGAATAACGAGGAAGGCCTACCCGACAAACAACCCTGCGCACGTCTTCTCGTCGATATTCGAAACATGTTTCGTTGACATCCTTTAGGAGAGCAGAAAGACCTCTTGTCCTCGCGCTTTCCACGGATTTATCTCTCTCCCCTATACGATGCTTATCTTGCAATCTTAATGGCACTCGAATCAATATCTCGTCAGCACTGTGAAGGCCTATCCGACCGCTTGAACACATATAAGCAACCGTAAGTCTCCATAGTGCAGGGTCGGAGTGTAAATATTGCGCATAAGAAAGGACGTAATACTCCCGAATGGTGAGTCCAGAACTAAACAGAAATTAAGTTTCTAAGTTGAGGTGTGAGAGTGTTGCTTACTCTTCGTTTACATCCCTTTCAATTAAGGAAAGAGCTTCCATTATATCCGCTAGATGGGCGGCTAGCCAAGGATCCAGCTGTGCAGCGTGGAGGAGGGCTTTTGATGGGTCGCCACTAAACAAGGCGGCATAGATCATGTCTTCCAAGTTTGTGGGATCAGGTGGCATGTCTTCCAAAACTTGTGCCACAACGTCGCTTGATGCAAATGGGGTCAATGCATGGCATTGGGGTGTTCATAAAACTGAAACACTTACGGTAAATCCTGTCTTCGCAATCTTGCATCTGTGAAAACACCCCACGCTGCACTTACTTCTTTCCAATCGGCCCCAAGGTCCTCACAGATCTTTTGGACAACAGGGCCACGACCTTCTAATATGGAAACGATGTCGCTGAAGCGATCCCACCAATTGTCGAAGCCATCGTTTCGGTCGACTTCGGGCACGCGATCTAATTCAATTCTTAGGGTTTTCACTTTGTCCTTCCAACGACGGGACGCGTAGGAAAAATCTCGTTCTGCAGAAAAATCTTGAAGGCGAGGCTGGCTATTGAGCAATGGAATAATTTCTTGAGATAGCCGCTGCAGATCATCGCATGGGTGCTGTAATAATACGCCGAAGAAAAACGTAGCCGCTTTGGATAGCCCTCGAAGTGTAACCCTACGAAACTTAGCAATAAAGCTATAAGGAAATAGGTAAACGGACCTTATTAGGTATGGCCAAAAATTTTCGTCTTGCCATGGATGCTCTAGGCCAGACAAGTGATCACCTTCTTCTGTTGAAGGTTCGATGAAATGTACATTTAGCCACTCCATTAGTTCGTCTCCCACAGGGGCATCTTCGAAACCGTACTCCGGGACGTATAATACCGTAAAAAGAGAGAAACACGTGTAGAGACATCGGTAGTGGTCGCCGGAGAACTGTAGCTCCTCTTCAGATGGATCGGATGATTGCTAACCGTTTGTTTTCTTTAATATAACAAGACATCTAGACATTCTAAAAACCTCACCGAAGCATGAATCCAACATTCTTTTGTGAAGTTAACATAGTCCATTGCAAGTTTTCTGACCATTCTTGAGCCTTCTTCGCTTTGTAACCTTGCATTGGTATCAAGAACCATAGACACGTGTCACTAAAAATGAATCGCACCATTCTGGTCCTTTTGCACTTGCTGTCTCTGTGAGGTTTTGGAAAGCGGCATATATTATGGATGTATCGCTGATGAACTTGTGATAGTGAGATATGAGACAGTGAGGATGATCCACTGGGACTCATTAAGCATACCAATCGCCTCTCTGAAGAAGGAACCATGTCTGCACTAGCAAAGTAAACGGGCTGATCATCTGCATCAGTGGATCCAGCCCTGCGGACCGATTGTGGTGACCGCTTGGATATATCAGAGCAAGAAGCATGTACACAATAGCATCACTCACAATGCTTGTGACTGCGACAGCAATGGAGTCGTTGAGTGGAGACTGTGTTCCGAACAAGGTTTTCCCTGCGTTTGCAAGTTCATCCGCGCATCCAGCCCCGACGAGAGGTGGGACAACGTTGAGGCGGTCTCTAAGCATCATATTGATAAGAATAGGTAATAGTGATAAGGAAGAGCTGGCTCCGCGTTGATGTGGGCTTAGTTTGAACAACTAGCCTGAGTACTGTCACCGGGGGCTTCGCCAACGACTAATTTCGCCACTCTGCGCGAATTGCTGTATTATGTCAGCTTCCTTTTCTGGCTTTCGAGTGGTTGGCTTACCGCCGCGGCCATGACATGCCAAGCTGAATGTTCCCTAGCCTCTCTACTTGATTCCTCTATTTGCTTACTACAAGGATATAATCAAATAACATACCCTCAAGAATCAAACAATCTAATTATCCAACATCGCTGACGATTTTCAAAGGCGCTCAGTCAAGTCGTTCGGATCTAGATAAGATAGAGGGTCTCAGAACTCGCGAATGAGTCTCAGTATATTCAAGTAAGTACCTAGATAAGATAGAGGGTCTTTACTAATGGTTAGCTAGGTATTCGAAAGGGTATAACATAAGGGTCTCACCTCAGAACTCGCGAATGAGTCTGAGGTGCTACGTGGCGACCAGGCCACTTTATAGGTAAGACGGAAGCAAAAATTTTCTGATGATATATAGTGGTGCACGGGCCACCCGTACTTACTCGCCTTCCTTTCTAGGCGCTTCGCGTTGGCTTGCCTCTTCGCTCGAAGCTCTTCGTCCAACACTCCCCCTCAAGCCATACAGAGTCCAAGTGCGGCAGCGAAGTGCTTCGCTTTTGCGGACGGTAACACCTTGGTAAGCGTGTCGGCGATCATATTGTCCGTGGGACAATACACTAATTCGATCTTTCCTCCCTCGACCGCGTGGCGTATGAAATGCAGTCGCACATTGATATGCTTCGTCCGCGCATGATATTGGCTGTCTTTGGACAGGGCAATAGCTGATTGGTTGTCGCAGTAAAGAGTGGTAGGTGGTGAGTCGCCTTTGAAGACTTCATTGATAAACATCTTTGCCCATAGAATCTCCTTAGTTGCATGAGTCGCCGCAACGTATTCGGCCTCTGTCGTCGACAAGGCCACAATTTCTTGTTGTTTTGAATACCAGGACACTGATCCTCCATCCAGCATTATAGCATAACCCGAGATCGCCCTGCGATTCTCGTTCATGCTACCATCAGCATCGGTATAGTCTAGAAGGTCAGTCCTTTCAGGTCCGTACGTTAACCGAAGTTCACGAGTTCCTTTCAGGTATCTAATGACACGTTTCACAGCTTCCCAGTGTGCTCTTCCAGGGTTTTCGACGAAATGAGATAGTATTGCGACGGCGTGCGCGATGTCGGGGCGAGTGCCAATTGCTGCGTACATCAACAATCCAACCGCTTCCTGATATGGGATGTCTCGCATTTCTGCGTAGTCCTTGGGCGTTTTAGGGCTTTGGTCCTTGCTCAGGTACGTGCTTGCCACCATTGGAATCGCTAACATTTTTGCGTCTTCTAGGTTGAAGCGTTTAATCACGGTGTTGATGTAGCTGCGTTGGGACATGCACAAGGTATGCGTGGTCCTATCTCTTTTGACCTCAATGCCTAGCATCCAATAGAGCTCACCCAAGTCGCTTACTTCAAACAGCTTCGCTAAGTCATTTTTCAGGCGCTCCATGGCGGTCATAGATGGGGTGACTAACGTCATATCGTCCACATGGACAGCGATGATGGTGAGTCCTTCCTTTTCACGTCTGTAAAAGACAGCGTTGTCTGTTTTGCAACGGGCTAACCCTATCTTTTTAAGCCCTTCGCATAGTGTTTGATACCATCAGCGTTGTCGATGATGAGAACTGTTGTTAGAAAACCACACACAAAACAAACTAACACACAATCCTCCCAGATTCCACGGAACTTGTTTATGGGCTTTGCCTCCTAGAACAGTGGAGTGGTCTGGTTGTTCGTGGGGTGGTACGTATAAAGATCCTTCAAAGTAAAACCCAGAGGTGTATGAGTGTGGGTTTTGAGGAGGAGGGATAGTTGAATTTATAGGAAGATAGGTGCTTTGTGGCGAGTATAGACGAGCACTACCTTGCTAATGGTAGCACAAGGTAGGTTTGAGAACGACGAGGATGACGAGGTGACGAGGTTCCCAGTGATAGCAGGCTCCTGACGCACAAACTGTAGTGCTCAGAAGGACTCTAATCGAAAGGGATGACAATGACTTCAAAAGTGGGAAGTGACGATGACAGCAGTTGACAGTGGTAAAAGTGGGAAGTGTTGTGACCACACTGGATCACAAGTAGCAGAGTAGTGAACTTGAGAGTAGAGAAGAAGTCTGGATTGGAGTTCTTGTTCTTTTTTACAAGGTAAAATACAGGGGTTTATATAGTAAAAGAAAAGTAGGCTATGCACAGTATAGCTGTGCAAAAAGAATGAGAAAGAACATGAAGGAAGGAATGTATGCTGACGAATCCTGCGTAGGTAGTACAAGATAAGATTGTCAAAAAAGGAAAAGAAAGGGATAGAACAATGAATGCTGTGAGTAATGTCACTGGTTTGTACAGCCATAAAGTAAAGTCCAATAGCAAAAAGAGAGCAGGAAAATCATGATGTCATGGGAAGATGCAGTAAAAAAAAGGGCAAGGCAAAACACTATCAGTATCAACACAGTTCCTTTATTGTCAGTCAGGCATTCTAAAAAAATATGTGTCCATAAAAATGATTCAAAAATCAAAAATAATTGCACTGTAAATGAATGTTCTGCTGAAGAAAAAGAAACTGGAGCCACCGGTCCACCACCTAGTCCAAATCCGACAGTTCCATGGCCTTACCAATGGACTGGTTGTGCTGGACCACCTGATCAAACGAGGGAGGGAGAGGAGTAGTTCCAATTTGGAACAAGTGAGTCCCAGGCAGCGTGTGATAGGTGTAGCTGTAGCGAAGATGATGGACAAAAGATAAGTGTACCCAAGTGAATGGGACAGCGATGAACATGGGCGACGCAAGGGGATGAACCTTCTCCAGCTCAAAAACTACCCACCCACGCTCCAACCAGGCAAGACGAGCGACCGATGTTTTGATAGTATATGATGGCAGATCGACGTCATGAAGATGGACCTGTTGCCCTATTTGGACCGGCCGCCGGGGCTTTGCTGATATCAGCAGTGGCACGTGGTAGTCAACGGATCGGCGACGGAAGCGGATAGGAAGTGGTGACATCAGAAATGGTGGGGGTGCAAATAATATGAGGAGGAGGAGGGTGGAGGTGACGAAAAAGTGGATTAGAATGGGGATCCAGAAACAACCGTCGGGTGAGAATAAAAAGGAGAGGAAGGGGCCCATGGTGGGGCTAGGCAAAGGAAGGGGAGTAAGGGAAATGACAAAAGCGAGGGCGCAATGCAATGTGTAGCCAGTGGCGACGCAAAAATTTGCCAAAATGCTGAAACACGGAAAGTACAGGATGGAAAAGCAAAGGTGAGCGTGACTGGATTGCCTAATAGAGGTGGTGCTGATCAGCCACAAGTTCAAAAAGGGCAATATTAATTACTATTCCACGTGGCACTGTGCCTGTGTGGCGCAAAGGCGAGTCTTTTTGAATATTCGCTTCGTTATTGACACCTGTCCATGCTACCAATCAACTTTGGTGCATGACAGCGTCCGGCCTGTTTGAGGCCATATAGCGTCTTATTTAGACGCAGTACCATGGATTCTCGACCACTGGCGCTGTACCCAGGTGGTTGGCGCATGTATATGACTTCGTTGTTGTCAAGTTCGCCATTTAAATAGGTGCTCTTGACGTCCATCTGGTGAGTCTCCCAGTCGTTTCTCGCGGCCATTGCTAATATGATGCGGAGCGAAGCCATTTTTGCGACTGGGGCGAATGTATTGAAGTAATCGATTCCCTCCACCTGACTGGAACCTTGGGCAACTAACTTGGCTTTATATTTGTCGACAGATCCGGACGCGGTCTTCTTGACCTTAAAGACCCAGCGGCTGCCTACGACGTTTGCGCCCTTCGGTTTCTCTACGTAAGTCCAGGTTCCGGCTTTGTCCAGTCTTTCTAGCTCCTCACTGATTGCATCTCTCCACTTGTCCCAATCAGGACGTCTTTTTGCCTCTTCGACGGTTCTCAGCTCGATATCATCGAGGTCAGCCATGCGCACCACCATGGCCACGTTTTGGGCCAGGTCCCTTAAGGCCTCATCGTCCCTCTCTTCTTCATCTGTCCCCTCAGGATTGTCGAGGTTCAGTTGGATGCCTCTGGGCAAGGTGGGTTCTTTATCATTTCCTGATATTGACCCTTTTCCTTGTAGGAGGTCGCGGACGTATTGGGCTGGTTGTTGAAGGCGGGTGCTTCGGCGAGGGGCCACTGGAGGTTGAATAGGAGGTTGAGCAGGAGGTTGGTCGTTTTGGGGATTGGGTGGATCAATGGGTGCTTGGGGATTGGGTGGATCGAGAGGTGCGTCATCCATGATCTCAACAATCTGACTCTCTTTAGGGGCTTGATTACCATCATGGAGGCCATTCTCCCCCTCAAGCCTAAAGGGGGTCTGACCGTCGTCAGTGTCTGGCGAGCCGTTTCGAGGTACGAAAGTGACAGATCGTTCCACGCTGACAGTTCGTTTGTCTGGCCAGAAAATTCTATGGCCCTTACTTTCTGCATCAAAACCCATCCATCGGCCTGCACAAGCGCGAGCATTGAGCTTCGTTCCATCACTGTAGTGTACCCAGACTTGGCTGCCCCACTCTTTCAGGGTGGAGAGGTCTGGTTTGACGCCATGGGCCGCCTCATGCGGTGTCATGCCGGTAAGTGCCTTTGTCGAGGTTCGATTCTTGAGCCAGACAGCATGTCTGACTGCTTCTCCCCACAGATTTTTGGGTAGGTCACTTGCATGTAACATGGCATGCACTTTCTCCATGAGAGTGCGGTTCACTTGTTCTGCCACCCCATTCTGTTCGGGGGTGTCATGGACGGTCAATTTCCTGACTATCCCCATCTTTTGCAGGTATTTGTCAAAATCCCCGCTCAAGAACTTGCCACCTCAATCACTGTGCAGGACCTTGATGGCAGCGTTCATATGGTTTCGTAGCCATGCCTCGTACGTGCAAAATTGCGAGAAAGTGTCGCTTTTGTTGCGCATCAGGAACAGGTGGGTTTCCCTTGTCTTATCGTCTGTGAAGGCAATGTAGTAATGTTTGCCTCCAAGCATCTCGACAGGTGCTGGACCCCAGAGGTCCGTATGTATCTCGTCACCATAGGCCGTTGCGCGCTCGCCAGTTTTGACCTTAGGTATGGCTTCTCGCATTGTTTTCGCATGCACACATGACTCACAAAAGGTGTTCTCGTCACTAGGTATTAACTTAATCCCTTGGACTAGCCCATTGTCGACCATACATTTTGCTGCGGCTGGCGCTATGTGTCCCATACGCTTGTGTAAATCCATTAACGTGAGTTTCTCTATTGCAGTATTCGCACTTTCGTTAATGTTTTTGCGCACGCGGGAACTGTAGATTCCTCCCGTCTTCAGTATCCATCCCACAACCTTGCCTGATGGACTTGTGATAATACAGATTCCATCTTTAAAGACGGTGCTGTAGCCGGCGCCATCGATCTTGCCAATAGAGACAAGAGTGTACCCTATTGCAGGGGTGTAGAGCACATCATGAAGCATGATGCTCGTCGGTGAGTGGGGATTATTTGGGACTTTGATTGTAAGATCACCCATGCCCACAGCTGAGAAGGAGCGTTGATTCGCTGCATTGATAGATTGGGGGGTGATGGGACAATAGTTTCGTAGGAGGCGGTGATAAGGCGTGAAGTGGGTCGTTGTGCCGGAGTCATAGAGCTCGATGGTCCCACCAGTGGGGGCATCTTTGCTTGCTGCGAATGCTGATTCATTTGTTTCTAGGGCCCACGCAGAATCCAGGGATACGGCACTCCAAATGCCTTCCTCGTCGCGCTCGACAATCGCGATGTTTGCCTGTTTGGCTTTTTTTCCTTTGGGATCATTCTCTGGGTCCTCGACCTTCTTCTCAGGTACGTTCTTTTTGCCATCATTTCGACGATTGCGCCTCTCACTTGGGCAGTCTCGGCTGACATGGCCTTTGCCTCCACAGTTGTAGCATTCAACCTCGCTTTTCTCGCGGGGTTTCTCCTTGGGGTCGTTCTTTGCGCGATTACGCCCCCGGCCTCCATGGTTCCCTCGTTGTGATGACGAGGATGTTGAAGTGGCCGACATGGCTGCGTTCTCCATCTTGGAGTTCGTGCCGGGTTTCTTGGAGGAGATGGTGAGACGATCATACTCCTGGAGGAGATACATGATCAAGGTTTCAGGATCGACTGTCTTCCTGTTCATGTGGGCGGCGGCGGATAATGAGGATACGAAAGAGGCGTATGCTGTAAGGACCTCATGATTATTGAGGATTTCTCCTTGTTGCTGAGTTGTATGCCTGCAGAGCTCAGTTGTTCCCACATGTCCTGTATTTTGTCAATGTGAGTGCGCATGTCCCCCTTCTCGGGGCAATGTATTGCGGCTAACCGATCTCGCAGATCAGCTTGAACAAGCTCAGTCTTATTTTCGTTTTCTTGACAGATCAGCTGCCACATCTCAGCAACCGAATCCTTGTGCAAGATATTTTGCAGCGTAGAATTTGGGATGGTTCTCCCTAGGATGTTCCTCGCGCAGAACTCTTTCTTCGTCCATGCAGACAAGGCTTCCTGTTGAGCCTGAGTGAGGGTGGGTACAGTCCCTCCTGGTGAGGGCGGGGGCGGCGACGGTTTTGGTACTATACCAAGTAGGTGTTCCACACACTCTTTGTCGGCCAGGGCCCTGTTGGAAGAATAAGAGAGAGAGACAAGCCTCGTACGGCGTAATACGAAGGCAAGTAGTGGCGCAGGCGCCAAACTGGGAAGGTCCAGTAGTTGGGGTGGCCCGTGCACCTAATATACTGCATCATTTTTTTTGGTTCCGTCTTCACTTATATACGCTGTCATTGTCAAGCAGACACCTCAGATCTTCAACAGAAGATCTGAGGTGAGACACTTTTATGATTAAACCTACGAGTACTTAGCTTATGCCTCATTTCCAGTTTACTTACTAGGTACATTCTTTTGAATATATATCAGATCTTCTGTTGAAGTCTGAGTTTACTTACTAGATCAAACCCAAACGATTTCAGGCCCTTTCTAATCTTGTCTTATACATAGACCAGTTCGAGCCATCGGGCTCGAGTTTCGGCACTCCGAGTAACTCTTTGTTGTTGACGCTGTCGACAGGGCTCATAACCTCAAGTCGTTCAGATCTAGATAAGATAGAGGGTCTCAGAACTCGCGAATGAGTCTGAGGTGCTACGTGGCGACCAGGCCACTTTATAGGTAAGACGGAAGCAAAAATTTTCTGATGATATATAGTGGTGCACGGGCCACCCGTACTTACTCGCCTTCCTTTCTAGGCGCTTCGTGTTGGCTTGCCTCTTCGCTCGAAACTCTTCGTCCAACACTCAGACGGGTAGAAGCGCGAGGATCAGCTGCCAGTGCGCTCTGAAAGATATCCTGGAAAATCAAAAGCTGTCGAAAGGGATCGACTATCCCCTATTTGACTGCTCTCTTATCAGTTTTTGCAATGCGAAGCTATATGTACAGCATATTCAAGCCGTTAGCCCTTAATAACCAGCTCGCAACATACTTTAACCTCGGCAGCACAGACTTCGAAGCTTCCCTTCACTCTCACTGGGAGAACTTTTTCTTTCATAGACACTTCTTTGACGCTAGCATCGTGATATAATCCTGTACATAAGATCTGCGGCTTTCAGGACGATGCAGCAGCAAGCTTGGCTTGGTTGGCCTCATCAGCAATAAGGCTTGAGCTTGGGTACACGATTATCACCGAGAATTAGCCCTCCCGGGTAGTCTGAAGCGCGTGGAGGGTTTAAAAAACAGACTACAAAGACGCTGAGCAGATATCAAACAAATGGTGGTATCCTTGCAATGTGAAATTAGTAACCCACGCAGCGGCGGCGAATCATATTTTCTTCATTTCAAAGTTCAGTGGACCCACTGGGACATACAGTGCGGTTTTAAGGCATGGGGATTTGTTAAGATGTTCTTCAAGTTATTTCATTGATGGTAGCTATAATTAGTCCGAGTCCGCGCTGATACGACAAGGGCGGAATGGATTACTGGTGCGCACTATACCACTGATCCATGACGCGCAAACTCAACCTTCGCAGTCATCGTATTTCTAACCATATCAAGTTTAGTGTACCAGGTACTCTCATCTTATCAAGTAAGGAGGCCCGAGCCTCTACACGCGTTCAGCTTTCTATATCTGATCCTAGCTTCCGCTGCGTGTGCAGTACACTGATGAGGGCAAGTTGTTCTCGTTTTCCAGCATCTTGGAAGGCACTGATCCTTCCCAGTCAAATGACACGCTTTGGCAGACAACTCACGCGTCCGAATACATTTCCAATACATCTGCGAATGAGCCCCTCTCCAAATGGCAACAGTAGATTGCCAAGGCGCAGGTTGGTCTCATATGCCTAGGCAGTGGAATGTACAGACATGGCGGGAGACCACAGGACATCCTATAGGTTGGTCTATATAGATCTACACTGTACGCTGAACATAACATATGATAAATGGACAGTAGTCGTCAGTTGCCGTCCTAACGACCTTACAGCACCACAACTCAATAGAAGAGTCAAAACCCCAAAGTTAGAAGTACAATAATAAAATAACATTACAGTAAAGTACACCGATACATGAAACAAGGAAAATAGTCCGAAACCTATGCACCGAAACCGTATAGCGTACGCCCTGACCGTTTTAGTGCATATACAACATCAAGAGCAGTCACCGTCTTCCGCTTGGCATGTTCAGTATATGTTACAGAATCCCGGATGACCTGAGAAACAAGTAAGCATCATAATAACGGTTGCGACGAGGAAAAAGCACTAACATTTTCAAGGAAAATCTTCAATACACCACGGGTCTCCTCGTAGATAAGACCAGATATACGCTTCACACCACCACGACGGGCAAGACGACGAATAGCGGGCTTTGTTATACCTGCCACACCATTAGCCTAGAGAACAATCACTTCCACGCACACACAAGTCCACTCACCCTGAATGTTATCACGAAGAATTTTACGATGACGCTTAGCACCACCCTTTCCGAGACCCTAAGAAAAACACAAAGACTTGTAAGCAACCAAAGAAAACACAGAATTCACTTTTTCAGTTACTTACTTTGCCACCTTTTCCGCGTCCAGACATGTTTCAAATAAAAGTGTAGTGTGGGTGGTGGTGGTAGTGATGAATTCAAGTTTCAATGTGCGAACGGAAATGAGCTTCCACTTTCAGCCACCAGCGGGTTATATATGGTCGGCATGTGGCTGTGTCGATTTTTGTGGCTGTCATTGTTTGTTGATCGAAAGTGGACGCGGATGTCACGTGTGGACTCGCGACGCGTTCGTATATAGGAAGAGGCACGAGGAGAGAAATTAGTCCGCTTACTTTCTACCTCGACCACCACCACCATCAACGACTCTCAGACACTTTTTGATTCACATCTAAACATCAATGGCTCGTACGAAACAAACCGCTCGCAAGTCTACTGGTGGTAAGTGGTCTCTGTCTGTTATATTCATCGCTGGTCTTTTACTGACATGGCCTTTGGGCTTTTTAGGTAAGGCACCCCGTAAACAGCTTGCAGCCAAATCATCTGCTCGCAAGACTGCCGCAGCAGTAAGTTTAGCATCTTTATTCTCTATAACTTTCCATTAACATAATAAATTCTCAGGCAACTGGTGGTGTGAAGAAGCCCCATCGTTTCCGCCCCGGTACTGTCGCTCTCCGTGAGATCAGACGGTACCAGAAGTCGACAGAGTTGCTCATCCGCAAGCTGCCGTTCCAACGTCTCGTTCGTGAAATTGCTCAGGACTTCAAGGTTTGTCTTTGGTCTCTTGCTTCTGTTGATTTCTTGCTTACATCTGCCACAGACTGATCTCCGTTTCCAATCGTCTGCCGTCATGGCTCTCCAAGAAGCTGCTGAGGCTTACCTTGTGTCGCTATTTGAAGACACTAACCTTGCTGCCATCCACGCTAAGCGTGTCACTATCCAACCAAAAGATCTCGCATTGGCTCGTCGGTTACGGGGAGAGCGTTCATAGGAGGATTTTTTGTTGTTGTAGATCTGGCAGTGTGTTATTATATTGTACGACTATTGTATTGAGCTATATATTTTATATTTGATCATCAACGTGCTCTGTTTGAGTTGGTTGGTCGGATAACTGTATGTCACGGGTCAGGCGAGGGTAAGCGTTAGTACAACCACACATCTAATTGGTTATTGTAACTCCTGCTCAACCAACGCAGTTTTAGAACGTGATTTACGTGTCCTTCGCTTTGTTTCATATCTGGCTTGTTCGTTTGGCAGCTGTATGTATTCAAAGTTGTTCTGCTGCGTCTATGATGACATTCCACGCTCGCAGAAACTACCACGATTCTGTGGTGTGCAGCAGTATACGTAGGAGGGTTTAACGAGAAAGATGACTTTCGTTATGAAGGTCAGATTTCACGTCGTAGTGCTTTCTCGCATTACTGACTCGGACTGTAAAGGTGCTGGTCCAGATTTATTATCCTCTAGGTTATGCAGCCGGAAGATGTACGTCAACGGGATTTCAAGCTCTGTTGAGAGTCGCGAACATCTGTCGACTCGGTGCTTGCAACACTAATTTATGCCGACCTGCTTCAAAACTTGAAAAGCAACACGCATCGTTTGTGTTATTCGATTGCCCTCAGCTGCAGCGTATATTATGTCACGATGCAACTTAGACGACATGGCTGGTACATTCTCTGAAAGGCCTACAACTTGAAAGATGCGAGGATTATCAGACTGGTGTACCGAGGATAGAACCGCAGAATATGACCGGAACTTGTTCAAGTTTGTTTCAGGCGTTATGCAGTAAGTTCATTGTCGAATGCTATACTTACATTTGCTCCCCGCCTTGCTTTTATAACAGTCTGCACATTAAAAAAGACTCAGCAAACTGAGCTGATGACGAATTGGAAAAGGCCTACTAGAGGCTAGTCTTCTTCGCTTCGTTTTCCCTCCTACCGGGCCACCTTTCTACATATGCACGAGGTCTCGTCCTCAAAATTGCTCTACCACCAACCCCTTGTCAAACCTGTGATTTTCTCGATCCTATCTATCCACGTTTGGAATGAGGTGGAGCCCCTGGCGAGACGTTTCGGCCCAAAGTACGGTACATGATAGCCACCGCTGGATAGGCACCGACGAAATATCCTGTGGTCTCAACGCTCGTTGCCTCAAGTCTTGCCAGTGCTTACGACGTCAGTTATGTTCACCAAGGACGAAATTCCTGTAACACCAGAAACACGTTACGGGCTGCACCATTCCGGAGGTCGAGTTGTCCAATTTGCCATGACGCTATTCCCATACGAGCGAAATAACACATCAATCAGACTTCACGATTCTTTGACGTGTTTTGGACCAAGAAAGCCGAAATATACGTGGGGGAGACTGGCGAGATTCTGCATCCCACCCCCTTCTAAGCAATCTTCTCGCAGTGATTTTTTGTCGAGGAAGAAAGGTGGACCTCATAATACACCCCCTCGTCCTATCCGTATTTCGACCTAGATGGCGTATCCTGAGCATTCTGAGCTACTTCTCTGAATATGCCGACTTGCTATGTTTTCAGAGTACTTGGATTGGTCCATTTGCCCAACTATCACGCGTTTCTGGTTTTCCGGCGTTCTCTGGCCCCACACCTTCAAGATGGCAGCGTCCATCCTGCCATGGTAGCTAGTTTCTGGCATAGCGGGCAGTCATTTTTGAGTCCATGTGACTCTTATCCCCTCTCACTACAATCAAAAATGCAGAGATTACTTTCAGTGGTGCTCAGGTTCCGTCATGTCATTTGTACGAGTCTATATCAAAATCCCAAAATTTACCCCCACTCGCTCTACTAAGCTATCGAACCCCCGTTGCCTTGTCTATTCATACAGGAATTAGTGGCTGTATACTGTAAGGTCATAAAACAATCGTCAAAGTAATTCTATCATTCAACACGAAGTTTCTTCAGATCGGGTCCTTCGCTCAAACGCTGAGAACTGTTAAGACTCGCAGGACTGGCCTGTAATTTCCCCTGTGCTGATCTTTCCGCCAAATCGTGTACCCATTTTCCACCCTCTGCACCCTCGAACAACCACACGTGGCTACACGTATAGAAGTAAACAGCACAACTACGAGATTTATTTTTGAATTCTCACCTGTCCCCTACTCGACGAGGTTCAGCACGATCTATGATCTCTTGAGAAGACCTCTTTGTAGACTTTGGATGAGGTGGCACTTCAAGATTTGGGTGTCCTATCTTGGTGGGGGGTGGCGGAAGATCCCATCCTATTTGCTCACAAAGGTGATGAACAATTTCGTCTGCATTTCCGAGTAGAACAATCTGGAATTTGAAACAGAGTTATTACTATATCTCGCAATGTTTAGATCAGTGGTCAGTGGTCTTACATCAGGGTTGATATGTCTGATAGGTGTCTTGTTGATTAAAATCTTTATAGAGCAGATAGGTTAGGATAATGTCAGAATAGCTACAACTTGTACATACCTGCGGTACAGAATGTGGCAAATGCGCTGTAAACACATGGTAAGATGGGTGTCTATTCACTATAGGAAAAGTGATGAACATACATATTATCTCTGATACAGGGGATACTTTGAGAGAAGTTCCTATGACAAGTAATAGGTCCACCTTATCTCGATCTTCGACGAGTGCATGGTCAAATTCGTCCGTAAGTTTCTCTCCAAAGAAAGTGATGTCGGGCTGGATAATGCATTCATAATGGTAACAAGTTCAAACAGTGGATGCAAAGCGTTGACCTTCATTACCCCGACAGGCACATCGTCTTCGTCTTCGTCAGTATCGCAATCCCATTCGTTCTTTTTACCTTTCCCTTGTTTCTTACCATTTCTCTTGTTCGCCTTGGTTTTCAAGCCGAGGATTTCTTTACGCTTTGCTACGCAAACATCGCAATATGGCACCCGATGTTCGAGGATATCTTTTTCAATCTCAGTACCAGGAACTTTGTGTCGACACTGTAGACATGAGGCCGTCTTGAATGAGCCATGACATTGTAGCACTCGCGATATTCCGGCCAGCGTCTCAAGGGTGTCGATATTCTGGGTGTAGTTCTGGGTTAGCAGCACAGCAATAAGTCTCAGGGAACGGTAAGTCTACACTATCAAGAACATACTCGTAGGAGCTATGCAGGAAGCAAATATCGTCGCCATAAGTGAATTTATTCTTAGGGGCGGTATGGGAGAGGACGTTACCTTGCCTCTAGTTTCTAAGAGTTTGATGAATCGATGGCAAAGCGAGGGTACGAAGTTGGACGGGTATATTTGACTAGATCAGACCATAGCGATTGATGTGAATGTCATAACGTTATGTCGGAGATGACATTCTTGAAAGAAAAGTGACTAACCTGGCAAAAGAGCTTGGTTGATTGTTCAGTCGTGAGGTTTTGAAGGAAATGCGGAGTATGACATACTAGAATACTATAAGGTAATATGAGACGCAGATTGCATGGAGACATAATTGGACAGGACCTACCAGCGGGATTTTCTTTGAAGTATTGGATATCAAACCTATTCAACAGTAAAAGTGCCGATGGATGTTAAAATATAAAGCAAGAGAGAAGGCAGAAATATCTTGCATTTGTTGAGGATCATCAAGTTCATATTCTCCTCGTTCTTTCAGAGTTGCATACAAGCCGTCTCGTGAACGGAAGTCTGGTATCCCACACGAAACACCTGGAATAAACATCGATGAGTGTCCTGGCGATATTGAACGGCTGTCATGGACTGAACTGATTCCTGCTCCAGTCAGAACGAGGATGCGACGTGAGCTAGTGATCAAGGAGACAACGTCCGAAATCGTATTGTATTGAGTAAGCTTTTCGCGAAGATGGATTCTACGTAAAAGAGGTATTGTCAAGACGATACCCCCCTGTAGTCCGCTAAAAGGAATATACTCACTCGCGAGACATGGCAACGCGAAGAAAATATAACAGTGTTTTTGGACGCTTGTTTCGCAGTTCTTTACACTGCAATATCAACTATACTCTAGCCTTGTTAACTTGAAAAGACGATATAAGATTACCAGCATTACACCAAAAGCATACAGTAGCTTTGGTATAGGTATATTCTGCATAATAACGTATTCCCTGACGAAGGAAGACATTCCTTAAAGAAAACGAAAAGTGAGTAATGGGTCAGGAATTGAGAGTAGAACTTTAATTGACGGGGAAGAACGGTTTATGAGGCTATGCTGGATCCTCACTCACCGCGCTCTTTGAGGTGATGCATGATTTTTTTGACGTCCTCTTTAGTCCAGGCTTCCTGTGCTAGCACAACAAAATAAACCTCTGTGAGCTGAAGTATTTACATAAAAGAATGCTTTGTGATATACTTACATTCTTGTTCATACTCTTTCAGCTCAGACATATCCAAGTCTAAGCCTTCATCCGACTCTTCAGCTTGCGAATCCTGGCCACCTGAATTATGGTGCTGTTCATGCACCAAAGGACAAACATCTTCAGTATCTGATACGCCGACGGCATCATTCTGCTCGTCCTCGTCGCCATTCTCGCTACCTTCATCCCCCAGGTCTTCAAGTAAATCTTCGAGGGTGTCGGTGTCCACGTCTACGTCTTCTGCTGCATCTAGAAAGGCTCTAACTTGTAATTCGAAAAGTGTGCTTTTTTGTTTTCCTTTGAGCTGGCTTCCGCCGTGCTGTGATGAGGATGCCTCTGTGCTCATGGAAGCGTAATAGATCTAACAAGTTGGCTGAAAGGCCCTTTGATATTGCTGTAGGGATCAGTCACGTGATACATTAAGCGCTCACGTGCCCTCCTACTTTGCTCGCGTGATATGTTGCTCGTCTCGCAAGTCGACTTGAGCGCCTGTAGCCCCTTTTCTCATTGATAACACATGCATTCATGTGACACTCCTGAGAGGCCCGTGCAGTTATAGAAAGTGTATCAAACGATTTCTCCGAGGCCTGATCTACTCGAACTATATTATCTTGCAGGATTTCTTCCAGGTAAGTTAAACAGTCCTACCCATTCTACTCCAACAAATCACAACTTTGGGTATCACATAAAGATTATCTGAAGTCCACGAACAACAGTCTTGTTATATTTTTTGCTTGTGGAAAAATGACAGTAATGATAATTTCTCGATTTATCATTTGAATGTCTCCCCTGTAGTGTACCCTCATATTTTGAATGGACAACCAGTGTGACTGACGAAATAATTCATGTTTATAGACTCGAAATATTGAACGGGTGCTTACCTTAGCACCGTACATTCTCCAAGCTCGACCTCTGAACTTGATCTCGTGAGGTTTCTCTTCCAACGTGTTTTCTTCAGAGGCCTTGATGTGCATTCTGCGACTACACACCATGTTTTATGGGCTTGATCTTCGAGACATCGAGCCAGACGAAGACCAGTTCTTCTAAATGCAGTTCATCTTTTCCATTACTGTAGGTGCCCGAATCTATCCATGTCGGACGGTGTGGTCAGGAAAGTTGTCAATGACTTTACGGCGCCAAACTGAACTTCAAGTTGCATTGTTCAAAGAATCGGATGGTTTCAAAATGTATATTTATATTGAACTGACATTAGACATGAAAGAAGTAAACAAGATGTACCAGGAGCTGATTAGCCGCTCGATCAGTGGAGTAAATAAATTAGAGATAAACGGCATGCCCAGTTCCTGCTTTTATTCCTATTCTCGACCTACAGATTATGGGAAGTGAAACGTCCGTCGTATAAGCAACAGGACGTTTACTTCAAGATCGAGGTGACTGTAAGGAAAACAGAACTATTGAATGAAGCGCCAGCTATATACTATTTTCATGGTGGTCCGTGCGCGCGAAAGGACTATATAAGACCGACACGCGCGCTTCTCATTTCTTTCTTATCGAAAGTTTCACCTGGCGGGTTGATATTTGGGTTTCTCCTCTGATTTCTATCACTCTAACGGGAGAATCTTGAACTTTTATCGTTCAGGGAGATGGAGTCCTTTCACCCAAGATCGCACCGATATGTTCAAGGTCGGCGGCGGCCCGTATGAGAGGTACATTCTACATTCTACATCCAAGTATGTGTTATATATTTGTCTTGAATACATTATTGCTTTTGTCCTTTATATATGATGATTGTGCAAAATGGCGTATCATAATGGTACTTGACGGCGAGTCAACGCATGAGCAACCCTAGTTTTTCTGCAATGTCTGGATTGGTATTCGAAGGTTTTGAGGTCATGTGTTGTGAATTTTGATGTCTGTCGACACTCTGTCGACAAACTATGTTAGGAGACAAACTATTACAGAAATTACTTGCCTATCCCTTGTTTTATGGTACTGTCTTTGAACTACGCAAATCGAAAGCTCCCTTGCACCCAACCATATATGAGTTCCAATGTTAGAGACAAAGTTGGCCCTTGAACTATCCAAAACCGATGGACGAAAAGCCAACGAGCATACATGTAAAGTTGTACACATTCTCGTAGTAACGAAGAAAGAAAGGCTCGCCTGTGGACTGTGGCACTTGCGGAAACACCAACAGGTGGTGCATCATTCTTCTTTCATCTTAGCACACAAGACGAAGTTTGCGAAGAAATTATAGAAATAGTGATGTCAAAGAAATACATACAGAGGAAAGAAATGCTAGTTACTAGAACACAAATCACTGCTCGTTGACAAACACAGCTGCCATACCCATGCCAGATCCAATACACATGCTCGTAATGAAGACCTTCTCATTCCGTTGTTTTGCAACGCTGAGTCCAGTGGCAACCTGTCGGGCACCAGCTATTTCAAAGATGATATATCAGCTATAGAAATGGGGTGAAAGCTGTAGAAACACTAACTGCAACCAAGAGGGTGGCCAATGGCAATAGCACCACCGTTAACGTTGACCTTCTCGAATGGAATGCCCACTTTTTGTACACTGTACACGGCTTGGGAAGCGAACGCCTCGTTGATCTCGAAGAAGTCAATGTCTTCTTTTGAAAGACCAGTTTTTTCGAGGACTTTGGGGATGGCATAGGCGGGGCCGACACCCATAATTCTTGGTGGTACACCGACGGCGACTGCAGCGACGTATTTCCCAACGATAGGTAGACCGAGTCGCTTAGCGACTGAGCGACGTGTGAGGACCACAGCTGCGGCACCATCTGATACCTGGGAAGCATTTCCTGCACGATATTTGAGCTCGCAGGTCCCTATCATATCATCACAAAAGAACTTACCAGCGTGGGTAAAACCATCCTTCGTGAATGAAGGCTTCAACTTCGACAGGCTCTGGGCGGTAACACCATCCCGAATGCCATCATCTGCATCGACGATGATTTCCGATTCTTTTTCTGTCTTGGGGTCAACGAACTTGACCTTCAAAGGGATGATTTCCTCTTTGAATTTCCCAGCTTTTTGAGCAGCAGCAGCCTTCTGGAAGGAGTGTGCTGCGAATTGATCTTGGACTTCTCTGGTGATGTTGAAATCGTTTGCGACATTTTCAGAAGTGAAGCCCATGGGAACGAGACAGTCGGCGGCTTCCTGGTTGGTCGTGACCTCGTCTGACCATCCACTTGGTAAAGTGCCGGCGCCCCATCCAAAAGTCATTGATTCGACACCCGCACCTAAGAAGGCCTAAGCCAAAGTCGCCACAAAAGTACATCATGTAGCTTACCAATACCAATATCAATTTGACCGGTAAGAATCTGGTTTGCCACTTGGTTGATAGCAGCCAAGCCGGAAGAACATTGACGGTTGATAGTGTCGACGGAAGCTGTATAGGGTATACCGGCGTGCAGAGCTGCCATACGAGCACCAGTAGCACCTCCACCAGGAGGGAGAACATTACCAACAGCAATATCTTCGATCAAAGCGGGGTCGAGGTTCGCTTTCGTGTAAGCAGCTCGTAGAGCACCAGATAACAACTCTTCAGGTCGAGTGTCTTTGAACCCGCCTTTCCTTCCCTGAAAAACGACACGACATAAATGCGATTGAACTTTAACTAACGACGATATGGCACATACCTTGGTAAGAGCGGTGCGAACGGCCGATACGATTACGACATCGTTGTCGTTCTTTGCCAAAACTCTGGCTTTGGCGTTTGAGGTGCTGGTTTGCATCGACATTGTGATGGATGATGGTAATGGTAATGTGGTTGTAGCGGATAGAGTACTGGGTTTTATGAATCAGCCCGGCCGGGAAAGATTCATGTGTTTACCGGATCCCCGATGACCGAGCTGCAGCCCGAAACCGCACCCTCGCCAGCGGATTTAACAGTTTATCACATGTGTTCTGCCGCAAGATGTCCAGCTCTTTGTCTGCTATGTTTTATGGAGACTTGTAGAAATATCATGTACCATTTTTCGTTGCTCAGAAGACGCCTCGTATGCGAATTTATGTCAATAAACATGGCCAGGACCGGCAGTGTACCGGCCGTGTCTGAAGAAATCACGGCGATAGCCCCAGGCACAGGCCGGGTTTACGTCACGTGTGGACATTGAGCGTGTTTTCTTCTTTTCCTTTGACAAGTCTTTTGCACTGAGCTTGTGTTGAATATAATAACGTTGAATGCGCCAGCTATAGTATCCTATTCATGTGATACAACCACCGGTTTTCGTAAACGATGCCCGGTATTGACTAGGTGCGTGCTGTGATACTGGATGCCACGATTTGGTCTGATATCCAGCGGGGACTTGATTGAATCACCGATGGATGCTCTTTCTATAACAATGTGCTTAATACACCCAAAGATTCATGATGGACTCCTCGAAAATGTCCGGGTGCCCGGCGGTTGGGCATGTCTTCGAACTGGCGGTGTTATCATGTGGACTATGTTTTCCCGCGCAAGCTCCCACCAACGTCCTATTGAATCTCACGCTTCATTGAACTGTGGTGTTAGTGTTCCTCCGCCAAGCTTAATTTCCCTAAAACTTCAGTCCATCGTTCGTCCCCCATTAATATCTGAGGCCTGATAGATGAACACGATGAAGACTATCGACGGATCCACGAAGAATGACGCTAAGTTGGTTCAGGATCTCCGTTATTAAACTATTTCTTGTTTAAGAGACTATCCAATGTCAGCGCTTGTGGAATTTGGTTGTAAGTATAATACTACTTCCGCTTGTCCCGTGTTTCCCCAGTCCATCAAAAATCACCACCGTTTCACGCGGTCCCCGCTTTCTTATCGCGTATCAGACATCGTCGAGCTTAACTATCTCACTCAAAGGAATCGAGGGACTTTTCACCTCTATCACTGTTAGTCTCCCTTTCAATTCCTGCCCCATCACCTTAAAAACTCCTTCAATTCCATTAGTTTGCACGGTGTTAAGGTCTGTCGGTTAACGACTCTTATGAGCTACTTATGGGACGGTGCATCTATCTCGCTTAGATGAAAGGCATCAGTACATCAGACTCACACCCTCAACTCGGCATCGTAGCACCCCCTAATAGCACGGGCATCAATATCATTGTCGTTGGCTGTGGCTATGGCGGGCTCGCTTGTGCCATTGAATGTAAACGGAAAGGACACAGAGTTACAATTTTAGAGAAAATCCCAGAATTCAAAGTCCTCGGTAGGTTCTAGAGAAATTAAATTCTGTCGGCTAGAATGAAATCTGACATTCTTCTCTTCAAAATGCATATCGTTAGGTGATGTACGTACCCCGTATTCATTGTTAGGAACTTCTATGTCAACTGTTGGCGTGATTTAGGTCATTAGTCTTATGCCAAATGCAGGACGAGTTTTACAGCGCTGGGGCTTGCACAATAGGTCTAGTCATCTTCCTCTTCCGAGTGGTCGCCTATCCTGACAGGTTTCGATTTTATGTCCAAACTCCTGGAATTTCCAGAATATGGCCAATATGTCGGCATGTAGACAAGTTGGTAATGCACAATTATCTAGGAGATATAGTTCGTGTGCAACCGCTTCCGCTTCCATTATGGGGTGCTTACGGTTATGATGGGCATCGAGCGGAAATACACGAAGTTATCTACAATTATGCGCTGTCCATCGGCGTTGATATTCGTTTCAACCATGCAGTAGAAGAATATTTCGAAGATGAAGAGAATGGAAAGGCTGGAGTAGTTGTTAATGGTGAAAAGTATGAGGCGGACCTGGTCGTCGCCGCAGATGGTGTCAAGAGTCAAGCTAGACATTATATCTTAGTGAGTGGTATCAATTTAGGCTGTGGATGTGTGATAAATGATCACAGGGCTACGACGACAAACCGAGAGCATCTGGATATGCTATTTTTCGGGCCTGGTTTGACGCGGAGGAACAAGGCGTTGACAAGGACCCGCTAACGGACTACCTATGCAAAAATGGCGATTCTTTTTATGGATGGATAGGTTTGTCTGCCCTCATCACAATACACACTCAGCCAACCAATCAATTGTCCTCTTTAGGCAGAGACGTACACTTTCTTGCCTCGTCCACCCGAGGCGGAAAAGAGATCTCATGGGTAATTACTCGCAAGTACGTTCCCATCCCATCGCCGCTTTGATGATGCTCATCTCGATATCTTAAGAGATGATTTCGAAATATCTGATTCCTGGTCGTTTGCTGGCAAGATGGAAGATGTCTTGGCAGTGGTTGATGGATGGGACCCCCGTTGTGCTGCTATTCTTGCTAAGGCACCGTCCTGTATCGACTGGAAACTCATTATCCATGATCCATTACCAACTTGGATAGGCAAAAGTAGACGAGTGATGCTGATAGGAGATGCTGCCCATCCCTTCTTGCCGTTAGTCCGTTTCATCATCATCATCATTGTATTGATTGATCACATCACTCAATGCCATCGTCTTTGTGATGTCCAGTACAAGTCAACAAGGCGGTTCGCAGGCGATTGAGGATGGTGTCACCCTCGCAGCTGCCCTACAGCTTGCGGGTAAAGACAATATACCGTTGGCTGTGGAGTCTTGGGAGAAAATAAGGTACGCTGTTCAGCTTTATTCTGATGGATGGTAATTGAGATCCCCGTCATTCCAGGTATCTTCGTGTTCGACGGAGTCAACTGATGGGAGAAGAAGTGCGGAACAAGTGGCACCGATCCAAACCTGAGGATCGAGGAGAGTCATTGGACATGCCTCGCCCTGAATGGTTGTTTTCGTTCGATGCTGAAGCACACACTTACAAAGTATTCGATCAAGTCTCGAAGGAAATCAAAGAAAACGGTTATCAGCTACCTATCCTACCCCCGGAGTTGATGTGATCAGTTTTTCCTGTCCCTACTCCTGATCCTGAGGCATCTTTGTTGGAAATGCCTTGGTTACGGGAGGAAAAGCCATATACATTCAACTGGAATGGTCTTTTTTAAATTTTGTTGGTGAACTTGGAGGAGCATCTCAGTAGAGCTTTTGTATTTCCGCGCTTACGACCTCACGGCCGAGACTTTGATGCCGATCATGTTTTCGATCAGTCCGTTCCCAGTCCATTTCCTCGGGCATTTCTAAGCGACGTTAGAGTCATCAGCGGGGAAAATAGCAAACAGACAAGGCAACAGTTGGCTGAGCCTGTCGTTACTTGCGTATGATGGGCCGCTGGAATATTCTGACTAGCTCGCGCCGCGCGTTGCTAGTACCTCCAACTCTGATTCCAATTCAATCATTGATACCTATTTAGTGGGTAACTCATATTCTAGAATCAGCTTCGATAAAGATGCCAACTGCATTTCAAAAACTGCAAGTCATATGGCACGAGCTTACAAAATTCTCAGGCAGACAAAGTTTGCTAGCTAAAGATGGATGGGCCAAACGGTTCAGGCAGTTCGAATGTTGTGGGTTCGACAGTTCTGTACCCGGGCAAAACTATGAGCCCCGCAATATAGCTAAATGTGAAGCCCGTATGCCTTCTCTCTTCCCCTTCAGGATTTCTCCCGAGTGGCCCGAGTCATACGACCGAGTGACAGCGAAAAATTCGAATGGACAGATAGGAAGCTTGGGACACACATGATCAAGTATTTCAAGGATGTGCCGATTATCGTATCATCCAGCGAACTAGGCTTGGCACAAGGATAAGCCTTGAAGCTAAATTTGCAGACCTAAGGTAAGCAACTCTTCTGGCCTCACGATCCAATGCAAGGACTGAAGTATTGACTAGGTATCACGAAGCTGGAAGATAAGATATTTAAAAAAAATTAGTCTTTTGGCGACCGTCGCTGGCATTCACGAAGGGCCTCGCGGGGTGTGCAGCTCTCGCTCCTCCCACCGTGAACACCACGATCCCAGGCTCAGGCGACATATTCTCAGGCATAACCTCTTATTAGGAAAAAAAACAGGGACGTTGTATAGCTGTTCTATGCAATAATCGCGCGACATAACGGCCTCTCTTCGCAGAAGCTCACATTCCAAGGGTACAAATCACCCTCGAAATACCCCCAATGTCCATATTTCAGCCTGAACCCGCCCCACCTGCCAATTAAACGAGTTCAAGATGAGCATAGGAGCAGAGAGCACTCATGAAAACTTTGCCCGCGTTGCGCCACCTGCCAGTACAGGGATCAAAATTGCCATAGTCGGCGCTGGGTATGCTGGTCTTTCCTGCGCCATAGAATGCACTCGGAAAGGTCATCAAGTGGTGGTCCTGGAAAAAGTACAGGAACTCAAGGTTCAGGGTACGTCGTTCCTCAACATTGATAGCAATGACGACATGCGCTTAATGATGAGCATTTTGCACATAGGAGACGTATGTGGCGAAAGTATGGCAAATGAAATCACTGACACTGAAATTTGTTTTGTAGATCCTCAGTCTTGGACCCAACGCTGGTCGAATCTTGGCCCGATGGGGACTCCATGACAAGTATTATCCCCTTCTTGCTATGCTTATACTTTGTCGTTCTGATGTCGTCTTTTTTATAGATTATGGCCGCTCTGCGGGCACCCCACTGCTCTTAACCTGCATAACTACCTAGGAGAGCTCGTCCGAGTTCAACCTACCATTCAACCCCTCTTTGGCGCTTACAGTTACAATGGACACCGGGCGGATATTCACAAGGTTCTATTCGAACACGCTATTTCGCTAGGGGTAGACATCCGCATGTCTACAGAAGTGGCAGAGTACTGGGAAGACGACAGCGAAGGAAAGGCTGGCATCATCCTCAGCGGTGGTGAAAGGATAGAGGCGGACTTAGTCGTCGCGGCCGACGGAATTAGAAGCCCTGCTAGGAAATACGTCTTGGTGAGCTCATTTCTCCTGACGCTCGTTTCGTCATACCTACCATACCTGGCTTGTTCTCCGTCCAGGGCTACAGCGACAAACCAAAACCATCTGGGTATGCTGTGTACAGAGCTTGGTTTGACGCTGCGGAGCAAGGTGTCGATAAAGACCCTATGACAAGTTACATGTGTAAGGACGGTGACGTCTTTCATGGATGGATAGGTACGGTCATTTGGATCTTCGAGACCCTAGCCATCTCTGACGCGTCCATGTGGCGCCTTATCTTCTATAGGACAAGACGTCCACATGCTCACTTCATCCAGCCATGGCGGGAAAACGATCTCCTGGGTCATTACCCACAAGTTGCGTTTCAGAGTTGCCTGGCTTCCACCGCGTTCTTCTCAGGACTAACGCTGTTCCCCCTACTGGCAGGGACGATACGGAGCTGCAGGATATTTGGTCTTTTCCGGGTAAGATGGAGGACGTGCTGGAGGTGGTAAAGGGGTGGGATCCACGTTGCGCAGCTATGCTTTCAAAGGCGCCTTCCTGTATTGATTGGAAGCTCATCGTTCATGATCCGCTCCCAACGTGGATCAGTAAGTCAGCCCGCGTCATTCTTATCGGGGACGCTGCGCATCCATTCCTGCCGTAAGTCTTTTTCTTTCTTTTCCTTCTTTTTGTTAGTACTTTTTTCTTCTTCTTTCGTTGGACGTGAGCATGACATAAACTTTATTCCAATCGTTGACATGAAACTCGGCGACTGCCCGTAGGACGAGCGTTCAAGGAGCTTCGCAGGCCATTGAGGACGGAGTCACCTTGGCGGTTGTCCTCCAGCTAGCTGGTAAGGGGCAAGTCACTCTAGCAGTCAAAGCCTGGGAGAATCTTCGGTACGTCAAACTTTCCCCCCCCCCAGCCTCAGCCTCCCCCTCGCCATCATCAGCCATCATCGCCATCCGTTCACCACTAATATCTGTTTTTGGAAACACAAAAAACTACTGTAGCTATCAGCGTGTGCGTAAGAGCCAGCTCATGGGAGAGGCTGTTCGAGACAAGTGGCATCGCGTGAAGCCTGGAGATCGAGGAGAGGATCTGGATATGCCTAGACCGGAATGGCTGTTTGGCTTTGACGCCGAAGCTCACGCATACTCGTCGTACGAGGACACAGCGAATGAGATCGCTCAGAACGGCTATCGATTACCCACCCTGCCCCCAAGTTGAACCCGTTCACGTCATATGAAAATGGCTGTCAAGTTGTTCACAAGTTTAGGGCGGAAGGGAACGGGTTTGGGGATATGTAATATGGTGTGATGATTGTATTGAATGTTGCATGGATATCGTTATTCATCATAGATCGTGATCTTCCATCGAGCGTCTATATCCAGGCGAGTGCGTTCTTCTATCAGGGTACACATGGTGGGTTGCTTGCAAAACGGCATAGGGCGTTTTGGTCCCCCAAGTTCTGAACATTGCAACGAGGCATAGGTCCAGGTGGTGTCAGCTGATAGGTTTGTGTATACATTTCTATAATAACGCTTACACACGTGTCACCCCCTTCACGATAAGTTATAAACAGCCAAAAACGCCACACTCCCGGGTCCATATCAAACAGAAACACTTGTGTGTGTGTGTGTGTGCGTGTGTGATTCTTATCCTAGTCAAACGAAAAGTCATGCCTATAATACCCCCCAACTCAATTGAAAAAACGGGTGTACTACATGATGGACGAGAGGGTTCCATTTCGAGGGGGAGATGGCATTTACCCGCCGGTATGAAAAAGAGAGAGAGAGAGATAGGGCGTACCACCCGGTCCTCGTACGCCTCGTGATCGTGTGGTGTTATACTTGGGTTTGGGTTTGGGCCACGAACGAAAGCGCAGGATGGGAGACCCATGGAACGTGCCCGATGAAACGTCTTCGTGCCCATAACACCTTTCGATCCGGTCGGAAAGCCTGGGACTCACGCCTAAAAATGTATATATACGAGAGTAAGGATCGAGGGTTTCAAAGAAGGAAGAAGGAAGAAGAAGGATGGGGAAAGGGGAAGGGAGAAGGAGAAACAAAAAAACCCCCCCTTTTTTTGCCCCTGCCCTTCCTTCCGAAGTCCTCGCTGATCAAAAAGAAAGTTCGCGATTCTGTCGTTCTCGTCCCCCTGATGGCGTGTTTCAAAAGAGAAGAAAGAGAAAAGAGAAAATAGAAGATAGACAAAAAGGGCCTTTTTGACCTGCCCATCTGTCCGTCCCGTCGTTCCTCTTGGGCCTTGAAAATCGCCAGTGAAGACTGGGGATGGAAATGATGGGGACTGATGAGGGTGATAGCACTGATAGGGGGTGTTTTAGGGTATGGAAGTGAACGGGGAGAGTCTTAGGCCTTGGGCCTTGGGGGATGGGCCTTCACGAACGCGTTCCCTTCCCGAATGAGTCGCAGCACCCGAAGAATGCCTCAACGTTCGAAACACGAGTCCTCCCCCAAGTCCGTGTCTGATGTACGGGGCCCTAGTACGACTAGCCAAAAGACACGCGTTCACACCATGCTAAGGATGTTGACTGTTGACTGTTTACTGTGGGAGAGGGAAAGGCAGGTGAACGAAATGGCGATGGCATCCTCTAAAGTGCTGTCGTCAACGAGACAGGATGATGACAATCGCCGTCGGGTCCGGAGAAGCCAAGTTGTCTGATGGGCCAGAAGGCATTGATAGTCATAAACATTCTAGACGGATCAAATAAAAGCTGGTTCAGCGAACACTGGGATTGATTGGGGTGAAAAGGAAAATGCACCCACAAAGGGTGGGTGATGGGGTTGAGGACGGCAAAGAGGAGTCCCGGTTGAGAATGGTCAAATTGGCAATGGGAGAGTTCACAAAGCTGTCATGGATCAGGCATCAGCGCGCCACGACGCATCTTGCCGGGGATAAAGAGATTTCATATGAACGGATGATTAGTACAGGAATACAGAAATAGTCTACATTGTGACTGAATGGACTGTGAGTTGGGTGGCAGGAAGTGATATATGATAGGGCTGAGTACTAGTAAGACAGCTCAGAGGCTTAATGGGGAGAGAAAAAAGGAAAGTGTAATTTGCACGGTATGTGTGAATGGGATGGTGGGGAGGACAGGAAGAGCGAAAGGGGCAGTTTGAGCACTTGGAGAGTGTTGCCGTGCACACCTGGATGATTATGTTAAAGCTGGAGACTGATAGGCTTTTCTGTGTGTACGAGGAGCACGCGAGATAAGGGGAATGAAGGGGAATTCAGGGTCCAAGTGATCCCGATGGAGTATAATTGAGATGAGTCATTGGGAGAGGACATATCGGAGGTGGTATTGGAGGATAAATTGATAGCGGCATTCAATGGTACAGTCACATGACGGCAGGGGATTGAGTCGGCGGCCGGGCTAGAGCAGAGCCCAAGGAGTTTAGCAGACGTGTTTAGCAGATACTTAGCAGACGTCTTCAGATACTTAGCAGACTAGCAAACGTCTTTAGCAGATACTTAGCAGATACTTAACAGATACGTGTGGAAGGGTGACAGCAGTTGCGTCGGTGATTGCGCTCATCCCGGACCGTTCATAATAATACTTCTAGAGTTCACACCTATCAACATCCGTGCTCTCCTCCATCCGACATCACATCCCTCCCCTCTGCCACAACATATCCGTCCCTCTCATCTCACCTGATTCTCCCATCCAAGCCCTTTTCATACTCGTCCGAGTCCCGATCCACGGGCCCTCCAGAGCCACAGTACCCCCTTCCAATCAAATCACACCCTTATCCTTTCCGAACCAGCGCACTTCTCATAATCTAAACCCTTGTAAACCAGCGACCATCTCAGCGGATCACTCCTCACCTCACTGTCATCGATCCGGTCAACCGTCTCCTCCTTTCACTCCCTCATTTCAATTTCTCTTCTCGTTCCCTTCTTCCCTCCTTCTGGATCCCATTCATCCTGCCATCTTATAAATATATACCATATCATTTCTCTCACTAATCGTCCACATGTCGCTTGTAAAATACATCGAGCTGCAAGAAGTAGTAGTACTAGTACATGTAAAGCATTCGTTCGACAATCGAGCAAAAAAACATATGCGTGACCAGCAAGATTCAAATATATAGCTAACTTTCAGTCACATCAGAAACAGAGCATACCCTACCCAAGATCTAGAAACAATTAGGAATCAACAACGGTGCTTGTAGTGCGAAAACATATTCGATTTCTTTTGGCGCCTTTTCGGCTCATCCATGGAGCTCCGGGCTCGCAAGGACACAGTAAGACGCGATCCCGCGCCATTAAGCAACTGCCTCGTGCACACTCGAAGTGCGCAAATCTGCGTGGTGGCCAAGGCGCGGTGGGGATCGTTGTCGCAAGTGGGGACTTTGGTCCACAACTCGCTCTGTTGGCGACGCGTGATATGACAATCGTGCAGCCGCTGTATCGTGCCAAGTGTGAATCTCAGGCAAGGTAGTAGCATGATGAGGTCTCCTCGAATCTGAACCAGAAGAAGACAACGGTGCGATCGACGGGTGGTAATGGTAAGGCGCAAGAGGAGTCACATGCGTCGAAATTGGGGGCAGCTGCGTGGATTGCGGTGGTGTCCTTGATCTCACTTGTGAGGTCGCCAGGGGGCCACGTCGGTGAGGAAATTGGTCAGGCCTGGAACGACCATGTGTCCGCTCAAACAGACCACACTTGTTACACAGCTAACAGAGATAGAAAAAATCAGACATGGTTCGCAAATATACAAAGCGTAGATTCAACTTACCACCTTGCCGGGACTGAGGTTTGATCGCCTCCACGTTGATGTATCAGTGGTGCAGCAATTGAAACACCTCCTGCGAACTCTGTCGCTCAATTTAGTTGTCGCATCGTCTGTGTGCACGATAGCCTGGTAATTTTGTCCCGGGAGGGTGTAGCCAACAGGCATATTATCCCGAACGCCACCAACTGAGCTATGTGTCATGGGAGGACTTGTAGAGTAGCCAGAGGAGACGTGATACGGCTGTGACTCGCTTATTGTGTACCTGTGCTCAAGGTGGGGGCGTGAAGTGTAAGAATAACTTGATGGCACTCTGCCGCTGTCCCTGGTCGAGACAGGGCCGTGGGCATAGGACCTGGGTTGTTGAGAGTAGTACGGATCAGCAGAATAGCTTGTACGAGAGTCAATCGAGTGCTCGGTAGGTGATCTACGGGGGGCAGGGGAAGAGACTGAGGAACGGTCCAAAGATGAAACAGAGAGAGATGGTGAGTGGGTCAGGGTTGCGATTGGAGGGGGCGAGGGACGACGATAAGGGTAATCGTAGCGAGAGTCGTACTCGCGTCGACCACTATGGGCAAAGACGTCAGGTGGCGGGCCCTCGCTTGATAAATGGGGAGTACGTACGTGGACGGCATGGACATGACACGATGAGGCATTTGGGTGGCTGATGAAGTATCTGCGTAAGAGTCAGTGGGTGACAAGGGAGGGAAGACGCGGTAACGAACTAGCAAAGAGCTGGTCTGATTTATCAGGAGGAAAGGTTGTTTGGAACTGTGATAATTAAATCGGACATCAGACAAGGGCATCACATGGGGGCAGAGAAAAGAACAAACAGTGCGCTGATCTGGATGATCACGAAGATGTAAATTTAGAGGCAAAGCTGTTTCCTGGGATCTTGTGTCTGAAAGCGGGAGTGCTCGCTGCTGGGGCGATATCAGAGCGTCCGGCGAGGTTGCAAGCTGGGCAGGATCAGACAGGTGATGATCAGATGGAGAGGAAAGGAGGGGCTGTGGGGGCGAACGATGCTGTTGGGTGCTGTGGCGAGATTCCCTGGTGGGATTTGCAGAATGAAAGGAGAAGAGATGGAGGTATTTGAGCACTCACCAAGACTCGCTATTGCTGCATAGGGCGCCTCCGAAGAGCGGTGCAGCACTTTGATGATCCGGGTGGGAGAACATGGGACCTTGTGGAAGGGGAAACGAGAATTCTGCAGCACATTCGGCGTTTGAAGAAGCCATGGCCTGCAAGGGAACTATCAGAAAGAACCACCTACCTCTTTTATTAATATTTTACCTCAAAATATATCCCGCTTTGGGCCATTATTCAATTTAATATCTTCTCATCTTATATCCGCTTTCGCTCTTTCAGTCTCAGACATCCCCGTGCCGTCCACGGCGCCTCCCCGTCTTCTCACATAGGCTGTGGCACCTGTCTCCTTTTAAATCGCCGATATTACGACAGACCCCGCGACTTTCCTCGGATCACTCCGCCGTCCAGTGCGACCCTCGTCTGTCCTTTCTTGCTGCCTCGTCCATGTCTTCGCGGATGCTCGCCTTTCTTTCTGTCCTGCCCCAGACTCCATCACACCTGTATCATATCCTGATGGACACGCACACAGCTGTCGCTGCTATTTACGTTGCTGCAGTGTCCTCCTTTTCGCCCAATCTATAGATGACTTCACAGGATATCATCAACCTTGATCGTGTTTACCTTATCACGGCGACCCTGCCCATCAATCTGATTCCGAATCTCACCATCGAGATTTTTCATAGGTTTGCCATCTCTCCAACTTTCGCGCCCTGTCCTGGCCTTCATTCTCGCTGCCGACAATAACACCGAGACGTGGTCTTTGCCTCTACGGTCTCCTCACTACTTCCCTTCCCTGCTCGGAATTCTCGTGATGCGATGCCCTGTCAGTGTCAAACTACACTTCCAAGTCTCGCCGAATGATGGCACCAGCCTGACGTCGTCGTTCTTGCTCAAGCCATATCCAGTATTTCATACACGGTCCTCCATTCTCTGGTTCTTCTCCGGTCTTCCCGTTTTTCCACGCTAGCCCAAACCGTGGTGTCTGGCCGCCTCCGAGCTAGAAACGCTGCCCAGCTCTGTCCCTTTCCCACCTAGAACACTCGCAGCTTGATTCGACAACACTGGGCGGACTCCTCGGAATCATCATCGAGGGTTCGTGATCATCACTCTCAGGCAACCCGTGATAAAGCTTCTAAAATGATCCTTTCATCTGACCTCTCGTGATCAGGCGCTTCTCTGTCATGGGAAAAAAATAGTAATCGCAGACGTACCCTCATGTCTATCATTCCTCGTCCTGTCTTCCATAAACAGATGTGTGTGGTTCAAACGCCTTTCTCTACTGACTCCGTAGAAGTAGCGGGCATCATCACTGTTTTTATCTACCCTCTTTCCATACATCCTTCCTAGGGCGCTGACAGGCATGTTCCGGCAGTATCTTTCTGTGGGGTGCTCTGACTCACATCTAACTTTCAGTCATCGCCTCAAGGAGAGTTGCGCAATCGTCTTATGCCCGAGATTTTTTGTTTCTATCCAACGTCTGCATTTGCAATCCGGGCGTGCACTATGATAAACATTGTTACGCAACCCGCCACCACAATCTAGCCGTTGCTGAGAGTGACCGTGTACATAACTATCTGCTTTATTTAGGACGAAGCGTGTACTTTTCGACCCAATGTTACTGAGGTGGAGGACATGGGTGTGATTGATCCTTTCACAGGGAGAGCTGCGGATCCATCACGCTTTGATGAAGTAACAAACAAGGACGCGCCCACTCGTATGGTTGACGTCCTAGTGCGATGAAAAATCTTTTTCCGTACAGCGTCAAACAGTCCACTTATGTTATCAGTATCTCGTATCACGGTCTCCCTGGCGCGGAAAGGCATTGGTAGCCGGTGAGATTCACGTTCAGTAACACTGTGCACATTCATATTATCTCGATATCAGTGCCAATCGTTTCGATTATTGGTGTATCACCTGTTGCAGAAGGCTTCTTTGGTGTTTTGTGTTTTGAACACTATATGGCCATCTGATACCACATGTGCCTGAATATATGTTTTATCGTCATTCCGGTAGGTCTATCCAGTGGTTCCCTTGTCGATATGTCGTTCATTCTTTAATCATGATCAGTCGTCATTCGGTCGTGGAATGTATATAACGTCACATAATCATCACATAATGCAACGACGTTTGATACCCAAAGGTGCATTTGGTCACCATCATCATCATTCTTCATTGCAAATTATACTGATTCGTCCGAGCTTCCATTGAGTTCGTGTCGTGATGGCATTACATTCACGAAACCATCTACGCCACCCATTTCCCGGGCCCCTCTCTTTGTACTTGGCCTGTGTGCCATGCCACAGTGGCCACAGCAGCGGTTTCCATCCACCATAATCGCGTTTGAGGCCACAGACAAGTGGCTCATCGTCACCTGAAAGTGTATAAGTGTGTACTTAATTTTGGTACTGTCCAACAACAGTAATTCCCTGATCCCAACCCCCCCTTGGAACCATCAAACGATCGCCCAAACCATCATGGAGAGAATTATCAGTAGACCCATTCCACAAAGGGGGTGCCATCAGGCTATGTCGTTCTCCCCCGCTGCTCGCACCGAATCACTGGCGATTCTCACATACTTTCTCAACAACACGACACCACAGGAACTGCACTCTCGCTTCATCAGTGCCCTATCTGGCCGATTGATGTCTCCCGTTCATCTCGAGAACCTTCTCTCGGCTCTTGAAACACTTGGGATCGTGACCCCGGTTGTGCGTGCTGCAGCTGAAGATAATACGACGAGACACTGTGTACGGTGCCACCGAGTTTATGTGGAGCGTCATAACAGCGGCAGAGCATGTGTCATCCCGCATGATGAAGTGCAACTCTATACGACAGGAACTGCCGAGAGTGGCAATGCCGGCGGCGGACCAGGACAAGTTCAAGGTCCTATTCATGTTCGCGGCTACCTTCCATGTTGCAAGGCCCCCCTCGATCCTAGCCACGCCAGCCACCTCCCAGCGGGTAATCACTTTGTCGGCCGACATACGACGATGGTGGCGAATGTGGCTTACAATGCCACTAACATCAAGACGTGTACGCAAAAGGGTTGTGGCGGAGCTCAAGAATAAGGAACAAGGAGTGGGTTAGTTTTTTTGAAACGGGTGGTGTACGAGGGATTGAGACACGTGTGGTATACATGCTATCGCATAACGCGTAGTACCCTGAAACGCAAACGTGAATATTTTGTCGTATTGGCTCGACGGTCTTTTTACAGCCTGACTACCGTGAGCGCTTGTTGGCGTCAGAGTGGGAAAACGTGTATTATGAGAAACTTGTTGTACGAGTCGACCAAGGTGGTGCTTGAGGTGCGGCGGGTCCTCAGCGAGCGTTGTTTGAAATTTTACGATTCATCATACTTGCCAATTTGGGGCGTATTTTTCCTCCTCTGCCTCGTTCTCAGGGAATAGTACTTGCCACTTGGGGAGCATATATTCGGGAGACCTTGAACATGATGTCAGTATGTCCTAAGCACGAGCTCGCTTGCGTTGCAGAAACTGACTAGTCAGCGTTCATTAGGCTATTTTTTTTATTTCCATACACTGGCAGCAGGACGAACGACAAATAAACGAAGTCAGACTATGCTAAATAGGGTAGGCGAGCCTCCACATTGGCTGAAAATGTAGACTATACTCTGCGTTGCCGTTTGCCTGTGGTGAACTGATCGTGAATCAAGTAGCGTACGCGGTAGGTTGGTGACATGTAGCAACATGAGTTGGCAGGTAAACCGAATAGGACTGGGACCACCGAATATTTAGTTGGACTGAACGTTGGGTCAACTTCATCTTTCCCAATATATTTCCCTCCTACAGTCCAACTTTCTTCTAAAAAAAAAATAATTAAACCGTCATTTACACCCGTCATTGACATAAAAATGGGGCGAGTTCGTTCGTTCGTTCATAGTTGCACTGACACTGACGATGGCCATTGATTGAACGTCTAGTATGACCGTTGACCCCAAAGAAATCGTTCGCAAAGGCTACGACGCTATTTCGCATTTATACTGCCGTGACAACTATGAGGGTGAAGGGTCGAACCAGAAAATGTGGGTATCGCAACTCCTCGACATCTTGCCTCCGCCGCCGGCGCAAGTCCTTGATCTCGGATGTGGATGCGGGGTCCCTGCATCACGCGATCTGGCTCTCGCGGGATACACTGTTACAGGAGTGGATATCAGCAAAGTACAGATAGAACGTGCGAAGAAGCTTGTCCCTCAAGGGACATTCATCCAGAGCGATATTTCATCAGAAAGTCTCGCTGATATTCTACCGCCATCTGCGCAATTCGCCGCGGTGATCGCGCTCTATGTGCTCATACACATTCCTATCGAGGAACAGCCCGCTTTGATAAGACGGATTGGAGAGTGGATCCAGGAAGGAGGATACTGTGCGATGGTTGTTGGTATCAGACCGTGGACCGGTGAAGTGGGTGGTTGGCTGGGGGCTTCTGAAGATGTGAAGATGTGGTGGTCACAGGCGAGCGTTGATGATTATAGGAAGTGGTCAAAGGACGCAAGTTTTGAGATTGTACGGGATGAGCAGGCGAAAGATCTCATGCCCAATGATTCTGAAGTGGCAGAGCACCAGTTTCTGTTGCTTAAAAAGCATAGAGTCGAGCCTATGGCTAACCTGTAAAGAGCGTTCCTCAAGCAGTAACATATCTGTTCATCGTGATAATACCGAAAAAGGTTTGTGTAACAGCAGTATCAGATTTCAGGAGTAGATTCTAAGGTTCCGAGCTGGGAACCATTAACGGTTGCCTCACGCTTCCCTGTGAACTCTTGATATCAAAGGATAAGGTGTGCACTGCACCATGACACTCAATGAGATTTTGGGCTGTATTATTCTCGAGGACATTCAGTTAAGAATGACCATGTGAAACAATTCACGACACTTGCCTTTTTAGGCCACTTAGACATACGTTCGCCAGCTATTTGGGACCTTTTCCGAATGGCTGTTAGTTGTCACGAGCACTATAACTTGAGCGTTAGCTGTCACGAGCACAGTATGACTCGAGCTCCGAGGCTTTTTAATTAGATTCGGGTTTGTGCCTGACGCAATTCGTTTCCTCCGACTTGGTATCCCCACTTCCGCTGGAGAATCCACACCACCCTAGCGTTTCGAAGTATTAAAGGCAAGCTTTGACATACTCCATCTCCTGGTCAATGAATTTCTGATGACATCAGCTTCCTTTTGGACATTTGGCTAAGGCTGTGTATTTTTTTACGTGTATGGATCCAAAGGACATAGTAAGGCAAGGTTATGATGCCTTATCTCTCTCGTACCGAGGAGATAGATCAGAAAACGATGGGCATAACCAGAAGTTGTGGACATCGCAGGTTCTCGATATCTTGCCATCAGCGCCCGCGAAGGTGTTGGATATTGGTTGCGGATGCGGTGTCCCTGCTTCGCGGGAACTAGCGTCTGCAGGGTACTCAGTCACGGGTGTTGATATCAGCAAAGTTCAGGTCGATCGCGCACGAAATCTTGTTCCAGAAGGAACATTCATCCAAGCGGACATAGCCTCAGAAAGCATCCTTGAGGTCATACCTATAACAGAGAAGTTCTCCGCGGTGATCGCCTTCTATGTGCTTATCCATATCCCGGTCGGTGAACAAAGTGCTCTGATTCACCGGATGAGCGATTGGGTGGAGGAAGGGGGATACTGTGCTATGGTTGTGGGAATCACACCGTGGACTGGCGAAGCCGTTGGTTGGCTAGGGAAAGACGTGAAAATGTGGTGGTCGCAAGCGAGCATTGAGGAGTATCGGAAGTGGGTTAAAGATGCGGGTTTTGAGATTCTGCGGGAAGAGCACGCGAAGGATCCCGTATCAGATGGTTCTGAAAGTGAAGGACATCAGTTTCTATTACTGCGAAAGGTGTCTAAATTGCAGCAGAAGGGTAAGCAGTGACATTGCTTTGGATAAGGCAAAGCACAGTCTGACCGGACTACCCTCGCAGATACATCAGACCCGAACACGAACACATATAATGGTGCTTCATACCTAATGCAATGAAATTAGGGCACACGACATACACAGGAATTGAACACTTCGTTTCTGTTTGATTTTCTAGAAAGACGAAAACATGGACAACTTGACTGACATAGCTAGTTGAAATTGATGGTATACATACCGGTGCCATATGACCAACAGATCACCGTGATGATGATACCTAGCACTGCACACATGATTCATGGGTCCGATATGCTACCGGGAATTCACTAGAACCTGATGGCCAAAACGATCATCAATGGGTCAACAATTCAATGCACTGACGCCACCGTGACATTACCCCAATGCCCATTGATAGCACTCGAATTATCACAAAGATAAGATTACTGATATGTTTGTAAAGAAAGCTGTAAACAGCGCGGAGCTCTGAAAGGACTGCCATTGACTCGGAGATACTGGAACCTTGAAAGCAGCGGTCTTGTCTTGTTTCCCACCTTCCAGCCGACAGTCAATTGCAGCGACATAATCATTCCTCAGATCGACATTCATCCTACACACTTCACCTAGGACTATCACAAGGTTGTTTGGCTAATCATCGAACTAGCATTGTGGTGGATTCAGCAAATAGGCTTTTGCTGTCGATGGCTGTAGCCCGATGACTTGATGGTCACGAAAAACGGCTCAATGACTGTCTTGGGCCCGTTTAATCCATCGGACCCACTGTCTATCGTGTTAGACGTATATGCAATCATCGTCGTCGCCTCTTTGAAGAAACTCACGCAATCCCTCATGTGATGTAATTACGGGATGTGCCTGAAGGTACAGTCTTGCGTGTTCGGTGATCTTGCACTCACATTTCTGTCTTCAGCAGGACAGACACCTTTGAACATGTAAAACGATCAAGGATCGAAGCCAGTGATGAGCTGGGAGCACCAACTGGAACAGGGTTTACTAGCCTCCAGACAATGTTCGTATAGTCGCCAGGTTGATCTGCGCATATATGCCACTGCATCTCACACTCTCATATTGTAGGACATCCCCATTATGTTCAACGGTTCTGAAGATGTTGATATGCAGAGAAAATGGTTTATCGTTAGTCTCAGTCAGTCTAGGTCCAGACAGATCCCATGATATATCAGCTCAAGACCCTTATTTTTGTTTCTCCTTTTCCAGCAAACAAATATTCGTACTTCTATGGGATCGCATGTCTCGTGAAAACGAGTTTCATTCTATATCCTGTGTTGCTCCGCCCTCACCAAGCGAGAAAAAGAAAATTAAAGGTACCGCACCCGCCGCGCTCGACGACGTTGTCAACTAGCAAGCACTATCTCCTCGTCTTCCACCTGAGATTATCACACGTATAATAAGGGACCAAGTAAAGTCAGCCAAATTTACTACAGACCCCGACTTCCTGAATACAAGCGAGGAGTATAATCGCTAAATCGAGGTTACATATTTTCTTCTCGAGACGTCGGCTATCTCCAAGGCATGGAATCATGTGGTAAATGGCATTATGTGTAAGAGGACAATTAGACTACGTAAGTCTCTGCGTAAGAGTGCAGCTTCAGATCCTGATAGGACCTACAGCAACGACGGAGTCCGTTAGACTTCTCAATAGAACAACATTACAAGATCCGGAAATCTCAAATCTAATCCAGCACATATTTTTCGTCAACTACTATCCAGATGCACCTGGGGAAGAATAATTCAAACAAGCTGCCGCCGTCTTGCTCTCTTTTAGTCATGGCCTTCGTGTTTTCGAAAGAGGCTTGAACCCCTTTTACTTCCCAGTCATTGATTCGCTACCCACATTCGGTTTCCTGCGAGAGTTTAGACTCCAAGTTGGTAATTGTAATCAAAACTTGCGGTCAGCTCGCCACTCTCCTCCGATTACCAAACACTACTATCGAAACTTACTCTGGAAAGCCGGCGGCCTATAGTGATAATCAAGGGCCGCCGGGTGATGACTTAGATGATATCACTCCCCTTAGCTTTAGCTTCCGTGAATTACGTCTGCAACAGTCCGAGTTTACTTTCTACAATGGCTACTCTCGAGCATTCAAGGAATCGAACACGTCGGATTGTAGGAAACAGGCCTCAATGCGCAATATATCAAATTCATGGGTAGCTTAGCCAGGTCCCTGGGTACCAAAGGAATCAATAGACACTCCCCAGATTGATGACGATGACGTTTCTCAAGCAGTCCTGGCCTTTACCACTCTAACCGAACTGCGAATCAATGGCCGTGACTGGCTGTGGAGCGATATCTTGTCTTCAGTCACGTCTTCTCACTGAAGTTCACTCTTTCGTATCCCAAGCACGAGCGGCAAACCTTACTCGTGTGCTCTCCGATAGCTCGTGGTAACAGACCCTTGAGTGAATCACCGTTCATCACTGGGCTGATATGGACTCTTCCTATGGTGTGAAGCCATCGGACTTGAAAGATGTGACAGGACCAACCTGGAGGAAGTCTATGTGGCTCGTCATGTCCGGTTCGTCTGGATCACGGAGGGCAAACCTTGGGACGGAAAGGTAATTATGAAATCCAAAAGCCATGCTTTTCTGTGGGCGCTGATAACTGATTGAACTTAATCTACTGTAGCATGGCTGGGATCACAGAAGCTGACCTCGGGATCTAAAGCTTGGCGAAGATCTATGAGCGGGGACGTACCAAAAGAAAAGCGAACAATGTGATCACATTACTGAGTGTGACGAGAGCAATTAGAAATCGGGCCATTTTCACAGATCTACTTGCTTGCTGTCCAATCTATCGTTGAAGGCATCAAAATCCCAGCATCGTCATCTAAAATTGTTCTTCGAGTTCAAATCAGAGAAATCTATCATATCAGGCCGAGCCGACACATGGTTTGTCGAATCTGTAACTTGGCTTTTTGTTTGCTGGTTTCGTAAGTCTGCATCTTTTAGTTCGCCGTCACCATCGATGCATGCAGTGATTTGTGAAGTCCTTGCGTCATGTGATGCTTCTTGTTTCACACTATGCTGTATCTAACCTTGTACGTTTTCAGTAAAATATGACCCCGACCATATCAGAAGCTGTTTTCATAACTACTGAGTCCACATGGAAAGCTTGGAGACTGGGCAAATTATAGTAAGCCAGTAGCACGCCATAGCTTGAAATGATATCGTCTGATCCAGAAGTGGCTCCTCTCTCATCTATAACCAGTGAAATGCGGCTGAGGCGGTTTCGAGCCAAAGCATTGAATGCCATCCCGTCGTCAATCTTACCATTTGTGACAAGATCTTAGACGCGTTCCTGCCGCCGCCGTTGACATCACTCATAGCTCTTATCGCCGCTTCCAAAATCATGACCATGTTGTTCAAGCTAGTGCCGACAGTCTCGAAATGCGTACGCTATATAGCATGTGTCTATTGATAGATGAAACGAGCATAAAAGTGAACAAACTACGATGAATTTGACTCATCTTTGTTCTTTCGGAGAACGAACAGTTTCACAATCTCTATATCATCCGTCCCTCTACACTCAATTCTGAGATGGCATTACCATTTCTCCTCGCTCTATCAACAGCATCCCTCCGTGTCAAATACTCACGAGTGCTGCTGCTGCTGGGCGATGTAGATGGTGTGCCAAATCCCATTTTTAACTCATGTCTATCAGCGCATTGATATGATTGTGTGAGTAAGTGTGCAGTAGAGGCAGGTGACTATATAGGAATTCCAGTTCGGTGAATTTAACCACCATCTCGATTTACTCGAGCACACCCCCTATTATTGGATGACCCAAGAACGTTTCACTATATTTACGTACGTCCTGTACTTGGACCTGCTCCGCTCGCCACACGCTCACTGAAACTGGGTAGGTCTACCTTTTCTTCACGGACGTGCACTGGCCCGGATATAGTAGTCCTGACTGTTTCTGATTCAGATTAATTATCTTCCATCGAAAACGGCTTTCCGCCTAAGGTTGATCATGCTCGAAACCTTCCGAGTTAACGACCAGCATGTTAGCATGTTAGATAAGAAGATCATTACCAACCACTCACGAAGTGTGAGCAGGCATTTCATGTAAGTAATTTTCTGTGTTTGCCTTGACAAGTATTGATTAAAGCTTGAACATTCAGGTCTAGCTTTCCTGTCAAAGCGGACAACATCAACTCCTGAATCAGGCCTTACTTTCTCGATATAAAAAAAATGGAAATACCGCCTAAACTGCGTTTGTTATTGCCTGAAGGTACGCTGTTGCTTTTGCGTGAATAAGAGCTCACAGCACTGGTGCAAGTAAAGGTCCACATCTGAATTGTGGGAAATTGGCCTCCCTGCTAGTATCTCTGTTATATCAATCGAATACAAATACTTGTCAAGACATTAATTGATGCAGATGGCCTTCTACAAATGATACCCTTATCAAGCTGACTGCGCTACAAGCTGGCGGCCGTGAGTGGCCCGAAGTGCTCTGTTGCCAATCGCCGTTCGCCCCTAAAGTTATTCACGATCTTGTGCTTCAAACCTGGGATAAACAAACTTACACGTGAGCTCGCCGAGAGCTCATGGCAACCGACTTTTGGTACGCCATCATTGTAATCCATCACGGACCTCAGACGGGCTATATAAGAAAAGAACAGGATATAGATCTAGGGAAAACATCCGCTCCATGCGAGAACACAGGCGTTAGGACAGGATGGGGTGAATTTAAAAAACAATAGACGTACTACACTGTGGGCGCTGATGGATGGTTGAACTTTTTCCATGGCAGCACGCGTGTGGACTTCGGGACGTAATGCTTGGATAGGGTTTACGAACAGGGGCATTTGAACCTCAATGGCAAGAACATGAACAGCGCGATCGTGTTGCTGGATGCGACGAGCGCATTGGAAATCGGACCGTTTTCATAGAAGCTATCTGCTTTCACGACCTATCTATCGTTATAGGAGCCAGAATCCCGGGTATCAATACCTGAAGCTGCATGTGGGTGCTATCAGTTTCAACTGGATGTTCAAATCAGAAAAAGCATCATATTAGGCCAATATAAGGCTATCGTCGGAATGGAAGCGTGTGTTTTTTAGATGGGCTCTGCAAGTCTGCTCACCATCACCATCAATGCAGTGGTTTGTGAAGTTGTTGCCGTGTCGTCGTTGGATTTCATGGATGCTATTCAAGACAAAACTTATATTTTCGAGATGACATTTATTCTACATGGTTTGTTTTTAAAGGTGATCTCATTTGTTAATCTGTTGCACGTCAAATGCACAGGTTGCCGTACGGCGGGCAAACAATTGCGATACTTTATTAATACCGTCGAACGGCGCTACCACCAGTAATCAGCCCCCAAGGATCGTAAAGATTCTTACGAGTCTCGTGCTGAGAAAGCCACATTATTCAAATGTTGCTCTATATACATAACCCAAAAATCTACGTGCTGCACCAAGAACGACAAACTACGAATATGATACTGGGCTGTATTTCTATTTCGCGAAAAGCCTTGTTACCACCCCTTTTACGACACTCTTTACGAAACCCTTTACGATACCGAGCGCCTCCTAAACATCACTTCGGCCTCGGGATGAGGAAAAGTGGAAAAGCTGAATGTTTGGTTGTCAGGCACTACACCCTCTTTTTCCATTTTGACATCGTACGTGACGACTATATGTGCCATCATTGTTTTGAGCACGGTGGCGGCAAAAAAGCGGCCAGGGCTAATCAATCATCGGTTTTAAGTGACCACTCTCAAGTTCAGACGATATATAGCGGCCACAAACCATGCATGTCTGCCATAACCAAAAGCGATGCAATCTGCGCTGACAGAAACCATCCTACGCTTGATTTCTTGTCCTTTTTCGGTTTGCAAGTGTGCGAATCGAAAAGGATCGAAAACGCCAGGGTTTTCGTACGTTTCGCCGTCATGGTGGGTGGCGATAGAGGGAACCGCGAGAAGAGTTCCCGCGGGGATGAAAGTGCCATCCGAAAAAGTGAAGTCTTTCAGCGCTTTACGATGCATGGCCACTACGAGGGTCGCATGTCAGCATGATGAAGTCATTATAGGGGTACGAAGAGGCTGGTTTGGAGGAGTAACATACAAGATCCTGTCCCAACAAACCGAAGAACTTCCTTTATGAAGCTGTCGACTTTGTGCATTTTTGCCATTGCAGCCTTGGACCATCCTTCCTTTTCGACGATCGTCATTACTTCTTCGCGCAATGGTTGAACATATTGTGGATTCGCAGCTAGTTGAAACAAGGCATGCGTGAAGATCTGAAATAACAAGTACACACGGTACGTTGAGCGCGCAAAGAGTAATGGGAAGCAAGCTCACTGTTGACGATGTCTGTTATAGGAACATGATGGTTCATAAGAGTCCACAACTATGAATGATGAGAAACAAAGAACGAACATGAATCGCAGCAAAGCTAATGGCATAAACGCGTAGAGTGAGGCTACGAATGGAACGTTCTTCCCCTTGGGCTTCATCCATGAGCCATGACAGCAGGTCGTTCTATGTATTCCCATATAGGATGTGTCATAGCAAAAAAACAAATATAGCACGTACCGGCTTATCAGCCCATTCACTACCAAATTCGTCCAGATATCTCTGGCGTTCTTTGATGATTGGTCCTAAATGGTTCATCCCACGAGCGATATCAGCGGGTATACAAGTGAAGCATTTGGCAATTAATCTGCGACGAAACATTGGAGATATGGTGTCTGTAAGCGGGAAGATGACATACGGTGTCATAAATTTAGGGAATATCTTGAGGGTAAGTGCAGTATATGCAATATCGAGGGCGAACTGGATATTCCAAGATCTCCAATCATGATCCCGACCTGACGAAAAAGCGATTAGGTAGGGTTGTAAAGAGGATTGGAAAAACTTACACAAAGGCAGGCCTACAAATACACGGCTACTGGCACGAGATATGACATCCATAATTGCGTTGAATGCAGGTAATTTCACCCAATCTTAAAAGATCACCAGTTACCATGAGTGAGGTTTTGCTCATAGATCAAACTTTTTCCAGTTTACCTTTATTTTTAATAGGAAGAACATCGTCGAAAGCAGTCGCAATTTCATCTTGGATGTCCAAAAATTGAGTGGCCAAGTTCCGAGTCAATTGGGTGCGGACAATCGGTAAATGGTATGGATTATGTCGTATCCCAGAGCCTAGCGTATACTCTACCTTTACAATCTTGAAAACGTGTAGCCTAATCAGAGCTCATGAGAAGGAGGAACATGTACGAGAACCTTACATCGTTGAGCGCTTCATTTCCCGAAAGTGCGTCGTCCGGAGCTCTTCGAAGCTCTTCGATCAACTGACGACCACTTATGATAACGATCCAATTATGTATGTCAGCAATTTTGAAAGGAATGCCCTTGTACTTTCGGAGACCATGAGGAAGTGGTGTTGATGACAGGGTGACTATACTTACGTTTGCATAGCCGTCTTGTAACACATCAGTAGCGTGAAACAGGAACTTCCATGCTCCTAAATACGATAGGAAAAAACCAGAAGGCCCCATCGTTGGAATGTGATCGAGCTACAGCTTGTCTGATGAGATGTCGAATGGAGTGCAAGGGCAGACGTACGTTCGATCTGTTGCAGTACTTGATAGCCAGAACAAATGCTACGATGCCACAGATAGAAAGTAAGGTAATGTCGGAAAACATCATTGATATGCCTTCTGTCTGTGGAGGGCTCGTGGGGAGAGGTTGGGGCTGGAGTGTGGACCTGACCACACAAGTTCCATTTGAGCGATTATAAGCACACACCATTCTCTTCGCGTCCGACAGATAAGATATATATAACAGCATTTTCATCGTAGATACCCTGGCCGCCAGTGCTTTTGAAATTAGGGCGGCAAACACACACCCATCTTCTTTAACTAAAATTACTTGAAAAAATCAAAACGCAAAATGAAGGCGCAAATTGTTAACTTTCAGAAATCAAAAGACGGAGATCATACTCCTAAACATATTATACATCTACCCACTCTGGCAGATAATGGGTAGTGGCCCTAACGACTTTCGGAAATCAGGGTCAGAGTCCGTCCGAGTCTTGAATCTTGCTACGGCAGTATATGGCCCTGTAAGTGTAAGGTTTTGCGATGGCCATGATATGTTTAGGAAATATTCTTACAAGGGGGCACATTGTCCAGTTCGAGAACCAGTAACGTTAACCCAAGTCCGGGTTTTAGTCTTTGTAGCGTCATCCCCACACGAGGCGAGCAGGTGACGAAAAATCTTAAATTTACTGACCTCGAGGCCCTCAGGCTGATACATTACCAGAGATCGCCGTTATAATTATTTCCGCATCGAGATTCGGTATTCTAGTTATTGACCATCAAACAATTGGAACGTCCATATCGCGGTGCAACATGAATGTGTTCTGTAGAACACATTTTTCTTCGGCCATTTCGCATGGGAAGAACGTTCATATGATCGATCCGGAGTAATGATAAGAACAGTTCAGGCTGAACGTGACCTGGCTTTTTTGCGTAGGAGGGTTCACGTACGGCGGTATGGTAGGTTTTCAGCTAAACTGTAGTTGAATGTGCCAGCCCGGAAAGAAGGCGTCGACGACAGTCGGAGTTATTGCATTACGTTAATGCTGTATAAGACAAGTGTAAAGAATGCCTTCCAATCAGTAGACTCGGGAAGAGCGACGGCGTTGACAGCATCAAGAACACCCACATACTGAGAATGAGAATAATAAGTATCACGGCAGTAGAAAAATCATTACCCTATCTAATAACCAAAGGTCGATCGCCCTGCGACATGTATACAAAAGCGTGCATCATAAGCATCAAAAATAATCCAAGGCAACATAGTACTACAGATCATTACCCAGACCCAATAAATAACTCAGTCAGTGAGACAGATTAGTAGAGTAACAGTGTTCAAAGCAGAAGAAACATAAAACTACATCGCCTTATCCATCCACATCCATTTCTACTTTGATACTTTCCTTTTCCTTTCTCAAGTCGCCGCCGTCATTACGATCGTACATGTCAGAATCATCTCTCTCGCTGCCACTACTGCTCCCCCTTTTTGCTAGCTGTTCTCCCTTCAAGCTGCGCATGCTACTTCGGGGAGTCTCATACCCGTCGAGGCACAATGAACTTAACGAGGTTGCCGCTGACAGGCCTGGACCATCACCGATAGCCAGACCCAACGCAGATTCGACGGGAGTAGAAGGAACGGATGAATATGGCGTACCACCTTGCGCAGGTGTTGCCGACCGCGACGAGAGAGTGGACGACAGCGTTGGAAGAGAATGTCTATCGGAGCGCCGATGATGGTGAGAAGAGCGGGGTGACGAATCAACAGATCCGCGAGGTGATCCCTCTTCATAATTGTCATCATGTAATCGTTGTTGCCGTTGAAGTCCAACAATACGTAGGCGCTCAACCCATCTAGAACATATGAATGAAAACGGATCAATATCAATAAGACACTTCTCGAAGAAAAACTGACGCGTCGGCTCTGTCAAGACTCTCTTTAACGACGCCTGTCACACCTCTCATCATATCCAAACTTTCTGTGGCAAGAGTTAATATCCGCTGTGCGGCTTGCGTTGCCGCACTCGCGGTGGGCGGTACGCCTGCTGTACGAGGCATGATGCGTGGAGACGACATGGGTGATGAAGCGCGGGAGGAAGCTGGAGTAGAGAGATTAGAACCTGCCATAGAGCCAGCACCCCTCTCCCGGTGATGTTGATAGCGTGAAGCACGGCTTCTCCTTCCTGTACCGCCTCCAGCAGCCCCCACTGATGCACTCGAACTATGACCTGTGACGGGGCCATCGGCCATCATGTAGGCTGCACTTGCCCAGCGTTGTGGGAGGTGTAAGATGAACCCCCTGACACGAGTGCGTGCAGGCTCCGGCAATGCACCGCCAGCATATTTGCTAACGACATCGACTACCTGACGGATAGTATGTACTACATCACGTCTCACATCCATTAGAGTGCGCATATGGGTGGCAGAGATGATGGCATCGGGCGAAGAGGACGAGGAGGTCGTATTTTGAAGGGAGACCATGAAATCACGAAGAATGAGGATTTGAGCGTCGATGTGGGACGTAGCATACTGGACGAAGCTTAGTACCGGCGTCGAATTTTGTCTCAGTAAACTCACCTGAAGCCACTGCAGACAATACTTAAGCCTGCGCATGCTTTCCTCGCTCACAGCTGCGCCAATGCCTCCAGCTTCTAGAAGTACATTTTGCCAACGGCTGCGCGGTACGACTTCCTGCTGATTTTGTTCGACAGAGTCTTCTCGGCTCTGAGGAGTTGGTGTCCTGCTTTCCGTTGGTGGCGGTGGCGGAGGATGGACAAAGGGGCTGTTGGCTGTTTATAGCCTGTTTGTGAAAAAAATTATTCTTGCACTATAGCGCAATGAGACTTACTTTCGAGCCATCCTTGTCGGTCTGCGGACGCTTTTGAATTGCTAGTTGATTGAGGTGGGGTGACTGCTTGAATCCTTGGGATTGGAGATGGAGGGTGATCTCTGGTATATGCGTCTTGTTCATCAGTTTGCATTCGTTCCAAGTCATTACTGGAAGCACGGCGATATCTGCCAAGCTATAAAGTGAAATGTCAGTTCGAGTATCATTGCGTGCAAGGAGTTTGCAGCTAGAAAGAGATCGATAAGGAAAACACACCCGGTCTAGCTGCCTACAAGCAAATTCATCGAGCTGATTAACATTTACCGGCAATCTCTCAATCACAGGGCGAGATATGGTCTTTACAGACGACTCCATCATCTCTGCGCCGTACTGATTACGAAAGAATATTGTCAGCGGGATGACAATGCCAAAGGATAATGAAAGCTAACTTTGACGACTCGTGAGCTAGCTTTTCCATGCTCATATGCCCGCAAAGCAGTGTTGACAATAGGAAAGTGGGACACTCGGGATACAAAGTCTGGCGAGTTGGAATCTTCATGTGTCTGTGCCGGTGATGGTAAGGGCGGTGATGAGGGCGATGCCATTGATGAGACTGAAGTTACTTGAGAGGCTGCCCGTATAAAAAAACATGAACGGTTTAACTATTGTGATATAACCAGCATTTAGAACATACACATGGCAGAGGAAGCACGAGCATTGTTCCTCATATCGCCGAGAGCGCGTACGGCGATACGAACACTTTCATCGTGGTCGTCGAGTAAGCTGGATGCAGACGTTGTTGCAGACGACGAGGAGGCAGACTCGGGCATTGTTGACGACGATGTCAAGGAGGGCTGAGCCTAAGCTGGACGTCGTGCAGAGAGGCGAGCTCGAGGCTGGAGCACATGCCAATCCAATTATAGGTCCCATTTCAAAGTTCTTTGGGGACAAATAAATTCACATGCTAACTGCAATGGCGTAACATGCGCAACCACTTTCCACATGGAGCCTTTGTTTGGCTTTCTGCTTGTCCTTGTTGACTCACCGCCCCCGCTTTGGGTCATATTGCAATCTGATTAGCTAATCACCCTCAATCAGGTTGAGAAGGAACGCCCTCAAAGGCAAAGGAAAAACAAGCCAGCAGCACTCACCTGTCTCGTCCTATGGCTGTTTACAGTGAGGTTTCTTTATAATACCCGCGTGTGGTTCACAGCTTACAGCTCGTAGGTTAGCATGCGGGACCGGGATCCGACAGGAAACCCAGTCCAGGTGGCCAAGACATACTCCAGGCGCGGCTCGGTTTCAGTCCAATACAGTCGACCACACCGATCTTTCCGTTCGTTTAAATCTCAGCGGCGCTCACTGACTCCAGCTTTGCTCCATTCCATTTTGTCCGCACGGGCTCGATCCCATTCAATCAGGCAAAACATGGCCTTCCGTGGACCTCAATAGACTTCACCTATCTGTTAAATGGCGTATGTCTGCTGTCACCCTACCATATCGTTTTTTACCCCCTCCTCTCACTTGCTCAGAAGTCACCCATACCCTTCTGACATGTCTGAGGAAGACAGAGTCCGAGCCCTGCTCGAGAACACTGAATATCAGCCGCATGACCCTTTCTCCTGGAACTTGGACGACCCAAGCTTGGGTGGAGCTCTGTCCATAGACCCCACCTTCTTCTCCAAACCAACCTTCTTCCCAATGGATCTATCAATGGCCGGTAGCCCACCATACCCATCTGTCTCATATGATTCGGATCAAGTTTCGTCGGGGGTGTCGTCCGGATCGTCGCCAAGCGCAAATATGGACATGGACTTTGGTTCTTCCAATATCATGGGTTTGACGCTCGACAATGACTCCACAGATTCACAGAATTCATATCCCACTATCCCCCCTCAGTCTCAGTGGCTGACTTCAGATGGAACATGGGACGCCTCTGCAGTGAGTCAGCTCGACGTCCCCAACTCTGTTCAACGCTCCGACTTTCTGAGCAGCAGCCCAGAAGAGGTCGAAATGTACGCCAGACTTGCGAATAGCGATCCAGCCCTGTTATTTCACCACACTCGCGAATCGCCATGCACCGTCCATATGTCAGAGGTGATGGGCAATGTCTCAGATCCCCCGCAAAGCGCTATCGTGCCGCCCACTGCTATTACCCATGATCCTTCTTCTTTCCCCGACGTTGCACCCGCAATGTTCAAAATGGAAGACCTAGAAGAAGGAGAGGACGAGGTGTACAAGGACGACGAGGAGCAGGAAAGTAACAACAGCTCTTACTGTCCCTCTGACTCAGATTACGCTCCCCGCTACCCATCATCCCCAAACGACATCGCTTCTGGCAAAATACCAGCTCGCAGAGACCGCTCTTCCACATATCTTCCCGTCCCCGTCCCCAACCTCACCAAAAAATCTCGCGGGAGAAAGGTGCCAGTATCCGGTGGCCAATCCATCGTGATGCGCAGCAAGGATAAGATGAAGAAAGGCATGCGGACGTACACTTGCACAGTCAACGGCTGCGGAAAGTGCTTCGTGAGGGGAGAACATTTGAAGAGGCACGTCCGCTCAATCCATACAAATGAGAAACGTTCGTCCACTTCATCAGTCTATTCGTGATTGTCTCACATCAATTAATTTATCTAGCATTTTGTTGCCCAGTCGAAGACTGCGACCGAGCTTTCAGTCGAAGAGACAATCTTGGGCAGCACATTCGTATCCACAAATCCTAGGCAAGGAATGGTCAAGGAAAATGGACCTGAGTCTTGTATTTGTACGTGGCGTGGTTTATATCAACAACAGGATATTGTAGCTGCTATTTTGTTTTCCATCTATATATCCATATGTATCAGTATTCCTTGGTCGATATGACCTATAGTTCCTATACACTTACTCTATCTTGTATTACTATCGAGTTATTCCTACAACCCTCTACGACTAAGACTCCAACGTTCATTCGTAAATAGAAAATAGCCAAAAGCTATAAACAAATCTATCATATTAGAGAACAACGACCGGAATAAATGATCAGTGCTCCACACTACTATTGGCCTATGTACATAGATATTATATACGAAACATGAAGATACGGCCTACTGGATGAATAAAGGCATCAGATGAATGCACTAAACATGAACAGGGGTGAAATCGGAAACATAAAGTAAGAGACAAACATGAATAGCTCAACAAAGCAGAATCGACAAAAGTGAACACTAGAAAAGTGATATATACAAAACGCCGGTCGCTGGGTTGTTTTGTTTTGCCCCCGCAACAAAATAAAATATCTACGCAGGCCGACAAATAAAATATGATCCATATAAGAATATAGAGAGAGGATTATCCACGAGTTCGTTTTAGAAAATACCAGGTATAAGATGTTGGGAGTGGGGTTTCTGGATAGATAGGAGAAAATAATAAGACGAACAAGGCTAAGGAGCGATAAAATGCTTCCCAAGTATGATTCGAGAGTTGAGTAGCCAGGCAAGATAGCAACCATTGCTACCTCACTCCCTGGGAGCAGAGGAATCCACGATAGGCCATACGGGCTCCCTATTCCGGTCACGATCACCCGCACGCATCAGTGGTATGGCACCAGCAACTATCCCGCTCTGCGATGGCTGCTGAGTCTGTTGCTGCTGAGGAGACGATGAAGGAGGAGGCGGGTTCTGCTGTTGTTGGTGTTGGTGTTGCTGGTGTTGCTGGTGCGGTTGTGGTGCACCAAGCATATCATCAATTCCACGCTTGACTCCCAGCATCAATCGATCCGTCTTTTCAATCATCTCCTCCAATCTTTTCCGCTGTTCGTGAAGTTCGATATAGTGCTGTCTCAGCTCGCTAACTGACGGGACACTCGACGCCAGGACGCCATTCAGGCCTTCGTGCGACTGAGCCAGCATATGCGGGGGAGGTGGAGAATGTCCATGAACTCCCGCCTGACCATAATAATGGTGCCCATGGGGTGGTGGTAACACGTAAGCCGCATTTGCAGCAGCTACACCCGGATTGAGGGGCGAATGCGTTCTGCTTGGTGCGTTGGATCCCGACCTGATGTAACTTGACGGGGCACCACTAAAATCACGACCTATTCCCATTAGCCCAGCTGCACTGCCATATCCTGCATAACCCCGCTCACCGGCGGCCAATGCAGCGTTCAATGGCGGAAGGTCGAATCCCGTGTGTGACGATGCCATGAACTGCCCATGACTTGCAGGACGAGGAAGATGTCCATGAGCGTAGCGTTCTAGCACTTCACTTTGCTGCAACCCGCGGGGTAACGAATGTGCGCGCTGCCCGTGATGATGATCGAGTGCCGAAGGTGAGCCAGCTGAAGGACCTGCGAGAACTGATGCCGCCGCGTCTGCGATTTGCTGAATACTGCCGCCCTCCCAAGTGGAGCCGTGCGAATCGCGTGAATGCTTTCTGCGCGATGCCTCTCTTCCACGCGTACGCGCAAGTTCTCTCTGTGGCTCTTCATCAGCCGGTTCACCCATGTCCTCATCATCGTCTTTCTCCCGTGTTCTACCCTTCTCCCTTTCACTCCTCCCTCTTCGCGTTCTCTTCCTCCTTGGCTGCTCCTGTGCTTCGCTTTCACTATCTTCACCAGTACCTCCACCGGCATGTTGACCAAGCCGACCAACAGCAACGAGAGCTTCGGCTGCAGCTTGATCTGACATCCGCCCTGATCCACCTCCAGGACCCATTCCCGCTGCAGCGGGAACGCGTTTTCTCCGCTTGATGACCGTCTTCTTCATAGAATTCGGTCGGTGAGTTCCATGGAGCTTGAAATACAACCCTGCAGTAGCGAAACGAGTTGTAAGTAATCAGGTGATGATAACAACGGGCAGAAATTGGTGGATGAAAAAAATTAGCTAGAAATGCCGCAGAATCGGACAAGTCCAGCAGGCCAACCGCGGAAATAATCTTATCAAAAAAGGCAGCATAACGGAATCGTGGGAGAATAAACAAGATTAGACAAGCGAAAACCAAAACTGATAAGATCCCCCATTTTCCCATCAAGGGTCGCGGGCGACCAAGGAGAGAATCGGAATGCCCGCAACACGCTCTACGTGTCATAGAAAAGACGCCGGAAGAAGCCCTTGGGGCAATAAGTGGGACGCGAGGCGTATTGACACGTAAAAAAAATGACAACGAAAGTAAAGCGAAGACAGCAGATCGAGACGTACCGCACGCGTTACAAATGTTGTTGCCAACGTCATCTCGCCTCCAAAGGGGCGTGGTGCTTGTCCCACAGTTGGCGCAGCTCAATGCGCCCACTGCAGCTCGTGCCCTTGCGCGCCCGTTGACTGCGCTCTGTCCAGTGGCACTTGGACTTTCGCCCTCCACATTAGGCGAGGACGCCTCCGCAGGAGGAGATCCAGGAGCTTGAGGGGGGTTTTGAGGTGGAAGATCACTAGGTTCTGTCTCAAGGCGCGCTGAAACAGCAAGAGCGTTATTATACGTAGGACAGCCAGAACATGCTGTCGTGCCTCCGGTGCCATCGCATCGTCCATCACCAGGACAAGTGCCACCTCCTGGATTCGTATGGGGAGTAGCAGTAGTCGCTGTTTTGGAAGCCACTGGTGAAGATTTAGTGGACTGCGGTTTTTGTTGTGGTGATTGCTGAGCTTCTGCCTGTGATGCTGATGGCTCTTGATGTTTTTGAGTGTGCTGCTGAGCAAGGGTAGGGGACGATAACGGGGCCCCAGGAGGCGCTAATGGGGGGTTGGACATGTCGAGAGCAGCAGATGTGGGTGTTCCACTTCCGTTGGGATGAGTAGCAGAAGAAGGCGTAGGCGGTTGAGCCAGAGAAGCAGGACGTGGAGTTTGGTTAGATTTGAGATAAAGACCTGAAGAAGTCATAGCACACACGAGGCATACACATCGTATGTGCGTTTCTAGTCAGCACTGCTATTGTACGATACTATCCAATCCCCATCTCAACCGCGAGTAAGAAGAGACCATGCCCTTACAGCGCGCACGGACACGCGTCAAGCATGAAAGCGTGCAACACTGTGATTGGGGATATGTACTAGGACCCGCGACCCGACCACGCGCTGACACGTGTACGGGTCGAGTAGATCGCGACACACGCGAGAAGGTTGGAGAAAGAAATGAGATGAAACGCGTACTCACCACAAGCGTTGCAGATGGACTTGCCGTCGAAGTCACGCTTCCACAAAGGAGTATTAACGCTGTCGCAATTAGCACAACCACTCCGGGCTGGATGTTCAGCGGAGTTGGGGGAATGATTAGGATCGTCTTGTGGCGGACGGTCGTTGGTCGATATGATCGAGTCGTAGAAATCACCGTTGAGCTGCTGTTGGAGGGTGTCAGAGTGCTGAAGCGAAGGCGAGGTTAGGAGAGCCTGGTCATGTCTTGTATGATCTGATGCTGTGCTTGGGCTGAACTGTTGTATCCGCGAGATGGAAGAGAGTGCTGGGTGGTGCATGTTGATGGCTGGAGATTCCATTACTACGGGTGGCATTTTTTTTTATCTGGTACCGAGTTTTTACAATTTTTCGAAATCTGAAAAGGGAGACAGGATTGTGAGTCCAAGAGAGCTAGGCTGGACATTAAGCGGCAAAAGGAGCTCAAGTACCTGCTACTAAAATGAGGAGTATGATACTAAGACGATGAGGGAAACGACGAAAGAGATGGCGAGAGCGACGGGGGTAACGATGAGCTAGAGTAAGAAACGGGACAGAGGAGGGTTTATGCTTTTTGGCAAGAGACGGGAACCGATAAACTGAGATAACGACGGCAAAGGCACAGCAGCCAATCAGGAAGCCACAGTTTCAAAGTCCCTTTCCAGATAATCTCGAGGTTTCCTAATCTCCGCTATCGTTTGGGCGGGAGTCCTCTCTTCCGCTCGCTCTTAAAAATTACAGATAAATCAGGATTAATTTACATGCCCTACGACAACCCCTCCACCTCATTCCGCCCAGCAACGACACCCGTGCTGGCTGGCATCGCAGGTGTTTTAATCGGGTATTTATTTTTCAAAGGTGAGGTATTTTTGTTTGTTTGGCTGTGGCGCAGGTATGTATTCCCCATCTTATCTTAACCGTGCTATTTTTTGACCCTGGAATTCTCAGACTCGGACGCCTACCCAACCGAACGGAGGCTTAACTAGAAACAGGATCACCCTGTCATGGAAGCTTTGTCTTGGTCATGGCCGCCAGGGCACGTTGCCTTCTAGAAAGCAAAGCTGAATGAATACTTATCCATGTCTCTCATGGCCTTGAATATAAAATCGGGTATATCTCAAGCCCACCGCCATTATGGAAACAGATCGCTAACTGGTCCCGTTTTTTCGCAACCTTGACGTCCGTGAACACCATGAACCTAAACTTTGAAACAGAAACGCGGGGCGCCGATGCTTGTATCAGACTCTCGGGACATAGTCATTTTCGTCTCATCATCAACGATCCGAAAAGATGGATGACCTAACGACATAACCAAGCAGTTTATTAACATGGGTCTGGACCTGTGCTCTCCTTGCGTTTGATAAGATAAGCCCCAATAAGAAATTATGCCTCCGCTTTTTTTTCTTGTCCGTCGATCTACTGACGAACGATAGCTCAACCTTTCTGATTATCTGATAGAGCTAGAAGTGCACGTAAATGAAGATGAAGTCACACATGCAGGATGGCGTTCTCCGATCCTCACCTGCAGGCTCTCTGGAAAGCTAGGGTTTGTGATCGTGATTTCGTCCGCGGATAACCCAATGATACCAGAATAAAATGACACACAGCAACGCTATCTATATACCCGGTTCGCCAACAATAATTCTCGTTCAGGCTGCTTTGAAAACCGTATCATCAAGCCTATTATATCATTACAGCATCTGTCCCCCTTTATGTGCCACTCCGGGTCATCGAATATCATATCCTAACGAATGGTCAATGGGCAATTTCATGTTCGGGCATCGATATGTTCATTGTGATAGAGGCTGTAAGATGTCAATGCCCTCTGTCACCGGAAGTTTAATGACCACCTTCATACGTATGAATTCAGTACTCCAGACCCAATACCAATATCCAGGGCAGACACGAGGCTCTCAGCCGCGGACGAGGATTTTCGACTGCACATTCACCACGATCACGTTCGTAGTGCGGCTCAGAAGCCTACTCATTGTCCATAATCAGCTATCCTGGAACAAAGTCGGAACCACGGTTATCAGATCACTACCCCAACAAACTTGAATTGGGTTACTAGCCCGATGTGGCACTGTCACAACAAACGTAGATCACTGACAACTGGGTTCAATCCTCGTTGGTGCGGCCATCCATTGATTTTGATACAGTAATTTGTAACGCTGCTTCAACACCATAGATCTAGGGAGAAACATGCATAAGAAAGCAGGATGGGCATGGCATGGCATGGTCATGTATTCCGGCTGTCGACGGAGATATCGGAAGCTGGTTTATCACAGTATATGTAGCGGAAACTCTCAAAAAGACAAAACTCCAGGGACTGTTGCGCATCACTGCCTCGTTCATGCTTCTGAGGCTGCCTGCTTTGTCCTCTTCTTTGCAACAGTGTTTTCTCTGTATCATAAGTTAGATATTGAATGAAGAGATATGGATGTGATATAAGTACCTGAAACCATTCTTGAATCGCCTGGAAACGTCCTTGAGGTATCGCATCCTGCCAGTACCAGTGGTCTTTCTGCGCTTGGCCTTCTGGCCCCACTCGTACGACCGCATCTTAGCGGCTGGGTACCCGCACTGTGCGCAAGCTGACATATACGATCACCATATCACAAGAAAAGAGTGGGGATGTTTGTGAAGATATCACGACGGAGAATAAATCAGGCGCGCAGAAAGATTGAAATTTAATCAATACCAGACAGGTTGATCGAAATGATGTGCGTACTTTTGTGCTGCCTGTGGAAAGCACGTCTGCCGCAACGCCGGCAGAGCGTGTGGGACTTGGTGTGTCGCTTACTATTCACAGAAAAATATTAGCTATGATACTCCTAAGAGATTCGCAGTTGTAGGAGGAAACGTACCCGAAGGACGAGGTACCTATTCACGCGCAAAGTCATGAATGCGAATCAACCATTAATCCCGGAACTTCAAACAAATCACTCAGAACTGGGAACGAACCTTTTGTCTGAAAGAAGGAACAAGTTAATCAGTAAAGTGCGCAGACCACAAACCCACGAAACGTTGAGATCCTCATAGCGCAGCACTCCCAAGCCAAAGTCATCTGCCCGCTCTAACAAACATCCAGCCTCCTATACGTCCAAACTCGCCCAAACCAAACCCATCCATAGAAACTGATTTCCAAGGGAGTGCACTAGAGAGTGAATGAGCAGCAAAACTCACCATCTCGCCGTCTTGAGTCGATTTTTTGTCGAAAGTTGTTGCCGGATAGAGTTTGTGGTCGCTCTCGCGTTACTAGAGAAGAGGCGTGGGATGGCAAATAGCGCGTGGGAATTGGCATGTGGCTACGGTGGCAACTCGACCCTCGCAGTCAAGCTAAGTCCACCATTTATCTCTCGTAGCGTTCTGGAAACTAAGGAACTACACTGGGTCCGATGGTATCGAAGACGTAACATTCTGAAAATACAGTAGGAGAAAGCTCCCAAGCAAATGCTCCTGTCGAGTTCCCCGTCTATTCTTTTCTAGGAGTTTTGTTGGGCCGCCCTGTTGTTGCAGTCTGGAGCCTGAAAATTTCCTCACGGCGCCTCGTAACCTTCCAGAAATATAAGACACAAGGGCAACCAGACTCATGATCTGCAGTAAGTTCCGGTGGAAGAAGCACCTGTATCTCCCCGTCCGTCTTTCTCTCTCTCTTCTTTCTATCGCAGTACTGTTTATTCCCTGAAATGTATCGCAGCGCCAAGGCTTGGGGACTTGAATTAGAATTGGAAGCACTGCTAGTGAATCACGCTTAATCGTTGAACCTACAAAGATATTCACGGATATTAGATATTATCGGTATCCAAAACAAGCGGTGTCTGATATCTTATCTACCGTTCCCCTTGCGCGATTTTTCTCACATCATGCATCTGAACCATGATGATCATCCCAGCGGCTTTATCATCATCCTCAACTTCATCAGATTTCTTCTGATCAGTCTTTTAAAAACAAAACTAGCGTGGCACGGGTGAGCTGCGGAGTCGTTTCAAAGTGACGACAGAACACCGCGAATAGAGCTAACTGTTGGGATCTGTCAATTTGCGACTTATCCCAGGGACTGTACTAATAGTAGCATCTAGTACGGCAGTCAAGGCAATTCAATGCGGCTATATAGATGATGGAAGTCCACTGGCCTCTGATTAGTGTGAACCTGCCTTCACTGCTCAGTCAATCTTGCAGTTACTGATCATCGGTGAGAATCTCGACATGATTGAATTAATGAAAATAACTGCTGTTTGAATGCAAACATTGGGCGGTGTTAACTGGTGTCAGTCTGAGCATGATATGCACATCCTACAGTATCTGTAAAATTGACATCAGTAAGTAATCACAACATAATGTATTTTTGGGCATTCAATGTGCCATTTGCCTTCCAACTCCAGTGGTGCCTTGTGGACAGGGGGTTGAGGCCATCACACTCAAACTTGCAATCTGCATCATTGCAACTATCTTGCCTTCACAAGCACACATACACATTCATGGCAATGACAAAGGCATCATCAAGGCCTGGCCAAAAGGGTGCAGCAGGAGCAAACAAACAAACCAAGTCTTCCATCAAATCCGCAATTTCCTTGAGCCCACTCTGCATCATACATACTAGCTACATCAATACCCTCCTTAATCTAGCTGATACTGTATCCAAGGGATGGTTCCCCCCTCAATCCATTGTCTTTACAGCTATTGTCATCACATCACTCCTGGATTGATGGGAGGTGGAATAATGGCAGCTGGACAAATGGGAAGTGTGTAGACTCAAAGAGATCTAATATAAACCAAATGCTCAGACTTCGTGGGCGAAGCTCTGAGAATGTATTCGCGTACCTAATATAAACCAAATGCTAGGTACAGAGTAAGTATATCACATAAAATAAGGAAGGTATAAGATCCTCACCTCAGACTTCGTGGGCGAAGCTCTGAGGTGGGGCAATCGTTGCTACGAAGGTTTTTAAACTCGAACGGAAGTATAACTAAGGGGGTAAATTGCCCCATCAAAACGCACGGGCCATCCTACCACTACACTTTCCTAGTATGGTGTCCTGCGCCATACTTTCCCTTCGTACGACGCTTGTCTTTGTCGACTCGCGTTTTCTAACACTCCCCCTCAAGCGGTACGTAGGCCTAACGCAGCCGCAAAATGTTTCACCTTTGCAGAGGGCAAGGACTTGGTGAGCACGTCGGCTGTCATCTCTTCAGTTGGGCAATAAGTAATCTCGATCTTCCCTTCTTCAATGGCGTGCCGAATGAAATGGTACCGAACATCGATATGTTTGGTTTGCGCGTGGTATTGACTGTCCTTCGAAAGTGCTATGGCTGATTGGTTATCACACAGGAGGATGGTTGGTGGTAAGTCTTGATTGAAGAGTTCGCTGATGAACATCCTCGCCCACAGTAGTTCCTTAGTGGCATGTGTCGCAGCCACATACTCGGCCTCTGTCGTTGATAACGCGACAATTTCTTGTTGCTTCGAGTACCACGAGACGGCGCCACCATCAAGCATCATGGCATAGCCTGATATGGCTCGCCTGGTCTCGTTCATACTCCCATCTGCATCGGTGTATCCGGTAAGTGGCTGTTCTTCCGGACCGTATGCTAACCATAGCTCTCTGCTCCCTTTTAGGTACCGGATCACCCTTTTTGCTGCCTCCCAATGGGCCGGACCTGGGTTCTCGACAAAACGAGAAAGAATTGCAACAACATGCGCGATATCGGGGCGTGTGCCAATCGCCGCATACATCAGTGATCCCACGGCCTCTCGATATGGGATGTTTCGCATTTCTGCGTAGTCTTCAGGCGTCTTGGGGCTCTGGTCTTTACTCAGGTAGGTGCTAGCAACCATTGGGATCGCTAACGTTTTTGCATCTTCTAGGTTGAAGCGTTTGACAATAGTGTCGAGGTAGCTGCGTTGTGACATGTATAAGGTGCGTGTGCTTCTGTCTCTTTTCACTTCTATTCCTAACATCCAATGTAGCTCCCCCAGGTCACTAACTTCGAAGAGTTTTCCTAGGTCAAATTTCAAACGGTTCATCTCAGTCATTGATGGTGTGACGAGAGTCATGTCGTCTACATGAACTGCAATAATGGTGAGCTCTCCTTCATTGCGCCTATGGAAAACTGCATGGTCTGTTTCACAGCGAATTAAACCAATTTTCTGGAGTCCGTCGCATAGAGTCTGATACCACCTGCGGCCGGCCTGCTTCAGGCCATAGAGTGTCTTGTTTAGGCGCAGGACTTGGGTCTCTTTTCCAGGTGCGTTGTAACCAGGCGGTTGTCGCATGTAGATGACCTCGTTTTCTTCTAGTTCGCCGTTTAGGTATGCACTTTTTACATCCATCTGGTGAGTTTCCCAATCATTTCGAGCAGCCATCGCTAAGATGATTCGTAGCGATGCCATCTTTGCAACGGGGGCAAATGTGTCGAAATAGTCTATTCCTTCCACTTGGCTGTAGCCTTGTGCTACAAGCCTTGCCTTGTACTTATCGATGGATCCTGACGCTGTTTTCTTTAGCTTGAACACCCATTTACTCCCTACGATGTTCGCATCTTTGGGTTTCTCAATGTAAGTCCATGTTCTTGCTACTCGAAGCCTGTTCAATTCCTCATTGATCGCTTCTTCCCATTTTGGCCAGTCTGGGCGCTTTCGGGCTTCTTCAATAGTTCTGGGTTCAACGCCTTCGAGATCTGCCATGCGTGCCACCATGGCTACATTTTGGGCGAGATCCCTTAGTGCTTCATTATCTCTCTCCTCCTCATCTCTCCCATCCGGATCGTCGACGTTCAGTTGGATGCCTTTGGGTAAGGTGGGTCCATTATTTCCAGATACTGATCCTTTTCCTTGTAGGAGGTCGCGAACATATTGGGTTGGCTGGCGAATGCGGGTACTTCGACGCGGAGCAACTATAGGTGGAGGTGGAAGAACCGGAGCTGGTAGGATGGGATCAGGATCAGCTTGATCTTGATCCTGAGGGTATAGTGGGTCAGGGATTGCTTGGGGATTGGGTGAATCGGGATGAGGTATGTGATCACTAAGTTCTACAATGTCACTCTCCTTTGGCGCTTGGTCCAGGACATCATGCTCCCCCTCAAGCCCAAAGGGAGGTTCGTTGTCAGCATCTACAGGTACATTCGCGACGTCAAAATGCACTGAGCGCTCAACAGTGACTGAATGATTCTCTGGCCAATAGATGCGGTGTCCGAGACTTTCGGTATCAAAACCGACCCAGTGACCCCTCCTAGCTCGGCTCTCAAGCTTTGAGCCAGTTGCGTCGTGCACGAGTACATTGCAGCCCCATTCGTGTAGGCCAGCAAGATCCGGCTTGACACCATGTGCCGCTTCAAACGGCGTCATGTTGTCTAGTGCCTTGGTGGAGGTGCGGTTCTTCAACCAACATGCATGTTTGATGGCTTCCCCCCACAGGAATTTCGGCAGGCCACTGCTAAGTAAGAGGGCGCGTACTTTTTCGAGTAGGGTACGGTTCACGCGCTCTGCAACACCGTTCTGTTCGGGGGTGTCATGCACTGTGAGTTTCCTCATAATTCCTCTATCTTTCAGATAGTCACTAAACGCATTGCTCATATATTCGCCACCCCTGTCGCTATGTAAGACTTTGATTGCTGCATTCATGTGGTTGCGGACCCAGGCCTCATACATTTGGAATTGACGGAAAGTGTCGGATTTATCGCGCAGTAGATAAACATGTGTTTCGCGTGTCTTATCATCCGTAAAGGCAACATAGTACCGTTTTCCACCCAGCGTTTCGACTGGTGCAGGTCCCCATAGGTCGGTGTGGATCTCCTGGCCATATTCCTGTGCACGCTCACCCAGTTTCACTTTAGGGATTGCCTCGCGCTTGCCCTTGGCGCGGACACAAGTTTCACAGAAAGTGTCTGTTTCCCTATCCTCCAGGAGTTCTACCCCATGGATCAAGCCCTTCAACACCATGCGCTTTGCTGCATCAATGGCTATATGGCCAAGGCGCTTGTGGAGTTCAGTGACAGATATGCGCTCAACAGCTGCATTGGCGCTTTCGTGGCGAAGATTTGTGCCTCGCGACTGGTACACACCACCTACTTTAGGTATGTGTCCTCTTATTTTTCCTCTCAGGTCATAGATAACGCATTCGCTTTTCGCAAAGACGGCCTTGTAGCCTGCCTTATCCATACAGCCTATGGAAACTAGGGTGTAGGCCAAATTTGGTGCGTATAACACGTCTCTCAGGCGCACTTGCGTGTCTTTATGGGCGCCGTTGGGGACACT